CGAGGCGCGCTTTGGTCCTGCAGTCCAGCCCGGCCGAGTACGGCGTGCGGGGGCGGGGTGGAGGGGAGAGCACGTTAGTGGCTCGCCCATCCCGCCACATTAAACATGGAGAGCCTCGCCAATCGCTTGTAAGGCCTTCACCCCCTTCCCCCACCCCCTCCCACTCGCCCTCATTCCCTCCAACGGTCGGCGTGCGCCCGAGAAAGGCTCTCAAATAGGTTGGCCACACTGCTTACTTTTTCATGGCGTCCATCCTGCAGCACGGCCTCGAGCGGGGCGGTGCGGCGCGGTGCGGCGCGCGGCGGCGCGCGGCGGGCCGAGCCAAGGGCAGGGCCACCCTCGGCCTTGGGATTGGGCACTGCTCGGCCTGCTACCGCCGCTACCGCTGCCACTCTGCCACTAATTCGTTCTCTCTCGCAATCCAGCGGGGCGGGACGCTATATGAGTGCGAGAGAGGCAGAGCGACGAAAACGACTCTCGGAATCAGTCTGCTGGGCCAGCCGGTCGTCGATGCTATTGGCAGCCTCGGCTATGGGCAGTCATGGGCAGTCGCGGGGCGGGGGCCGCTTGACGCACTGCAACGCGCGGCCGGGGAGCCCTTGTGCCCCATGCCCCTCGTACTACTGGCAGGGGGGGGGGGCTGCCGTGGTCGACTCCCGGAACGGGAGGTTTTACGAGTGGCATGTCAATAAACGGCGCTGGTTGCTTCAAAAGAAATACTGATTTGAATATTTTGGCGTACTTCGAGGTTTATTTTTTCTTGGGAGAGAGGCGAGAAAATGTTGAGAGTGTACGCCGATTCTCTGGGCTACTGAACGCGCCGCATCGCCGCGTCTTGCAGAGGCCCGTCCCTTGTTTTGTTCCCCCCGTCAACCAGCGGACTGTGAGACAGACGAGAAAAAACAAACCAGAGAGAGGAGCGACGAAAAGAGAAAGAAAGAGTTATGAAAACAAACGTGAAAAATAAAAGGCGTGTCCAGTGGAACGTTCGGGGTCGTGGCCGGGCTGGCGTCCGGGCACCTCTGACATATCGACATCATCAGCTGCATCAGCATCAGCACTCGGCGTTCCAGCCCCCTAACGACATTGCGTTCAATCAGCGTGTCCAGCGCGGAATACATTTCGGATCTGTTATTGATGACACGGCGATGTTCGCGTCCACCCCGCCCGCGCCCGCGCCCCGCCCCGCCCCGCCTGTCGCCGCTCACTCGACCTGGAGGGGGCAGATCTCATTGCAAAAGGCTGCCGTGGCTTTGGCACGATAACGTTGATAAAATGGCAGTGGTGCCACGCTGGGGGCAAGAACTTCTCGGGCCAAGTTCTAACCAAGTGTGCAAACAATATCTATTGGTTGTATCAGTGGATCTCAACCTTTTCAGGCTCGCGACCCCAAGAATGGCGTCCGCAGAATGGCTTGGGCTGAAGAAATGCTCTCGGCCGGAAGTGGTATGGCTCGTGGCCTTGTGGATTGGCACGCCCCTTGACGGGTGCATCTGTTGCCGTGGCGCCCCGCCTCGCTGCCCCGCTGCCACCGGCTCGCCAATTTGGCTCACGATAAGGTCGCAAGAGCTTCGCAGAGCTCGGCAGTGAAGCGGAGTGCGGCTGGCCGACCTTTGCACGCGGCGGCGGCCCGTCTCCAACGCCCGGTGACGTGACGTCACCCCGGCCTGCTCAACATGCCGGCTTTCTTCGGCGAGTTTCCCCGAACTGGTCTTTATACATAATGTAGCGCCACAGCGCGGCGCCGCCCCGGTCGTCACTGGACCGACGCCGTCGGCGACGGCGACGCCTCATCACAACGCCTCATCGCGACGCCTCATCGCCCGCCTCCGGAAAACGAGACTGTATACCGCCTAATTGAGGACCTTAATGACAGACAGACTTGGAAAACAAATTTGGCGGCGATTCTCTCAGACAATGACAGCCCTGCTCGAGGCCCCCACCGCCCTCCACTCCCTAAACTCGCCACTCCGCGCATCCGCAGCGGGCTCTTTTTCCAACGTGACGTCATTTCGAGCTGCAGTGGCGGTGGCCGGGCGGTGGCCCTCCCCCGCAGGCTGCACAGCGCTGTCTGGGCTGTCTGTCACACTCAGAGCGTTTCGAAGCGTCGCGAGAGAGACAGCGCGACGAAGCACCGTTCGGACACAGCCTGCTGCCGCCCGGTCGTCCGACCGCTCTGCCTACCGAGGCCGAGATTCGTTTGAAACGCAATCACCGAGGGCCCGGCCCGTTTTATCGGTTGCCATGCAGCTGCGCGCCGAAACAAGAGATCCTTAATTATTTTTGCAAAATAAAAACAATACTTTATTTATTTAATACGATTCTTTCGCTACTAGATTAATTTTCCTGGCTCGTCTCGAACAAAAGATGTGGAATTTGTGTTTTCTGGGTGCGGCGTTCCGCACGTTTTCAGTCCGATACTTCGGCCGCCAGCCGGACAGCCAGCCAGCTAGCCGCAGCCAACGTGACTAATTTGAATCCGAATCGACAGGCAGTCCTCGCCTTGCCTCCGTCGGCCGGTCGGCTCGACGCCGTCGCGTGCCAGGCCTGTTAGTGTGTGTGTGTGATAAGGCGTTACTGACCTTCCTTAGTGCATTGAAACAGATGCACAGCACACTGCAACACAGCCGCACTGTGGGTATGGCAGCGGTTCTCAACCTTGGGGTCGCGACCCCAAATGGGGTCGCGAAAAAATTTCGAGGGGCCGCGGCGAGGTAACTGGGGTCGCTTGGGGTGGCCCACACGCCGAGCACTGGCGGGAACAACTTAAAAAGTTGATCAAAACGGTCACAAATGTCTTTGAAAAATCGTGTTTTGGGCCGACTTCAGGCATCCACTGCGTCTGATCCGAGGCGGTATTTCGTCCTCCCTCAACGGACAATTGGTCTTTAGACCTTTCTTTAGCATGCCTTTGTTGCCGAGTGCGATTATCTGCCTTAATTTGGGAGCAGTATTGCCGCAAAGTTGATCAAAACGGTCACAATTGTCTGTGAAAAATCGTGTTTTGGGCTGACTTTAAGCAGCCACTGCGTCTAATCCAAGGGGGTATTTCATCCTCCCTCAACGGGCAATTGGTCTTTAGACCTTTCTTTAGCATGCGTTTGTTACGGAGTGGGATTATCTGCCTTGGTTTGGGAGCAGTATTGCCGCAAAGTTGATCAAAACGGTCACAAATGTCTGAAAAATCGTGTATTGATCAACTTTGCTGCAATACTGCTCCCAAACTAAGGCAGATAATCGCACTCCTTAACAAAGGCATGCTAAAGGAAGGCCCAAAGACCAATTGCCCGTTGAGGGAGGACGAAATACCGCCTCGGATTAGACGCAGTGGCTGCTTAAAGTCGGCCCAAAACACGATTTTTCAAAGACATTTGTGACCGTTTTGATCATTTTTGCTGCAATACTGCTTCCAAACTAAGGTGGATTATCGCACTTTGTATCAAAGGCATGCTACAGGAGGGGTCGCGTGGGGTCGTGAAATTTTTCCTGGGGGTCGCGGAAATTTTTCGCTACAAATTTGGGGTCGCGAACCGAAAAAGGTTGAGAAACGCTGGGGTGTGGTAATTGCACGCGCTGAAGCGTCCCGGCGGATGCATAGGGTTTGTTGCGAATAGTTTTTTGCAGCCGGTGGGTGCAGGACATGACAATTGTCCAGGTCTCCGACACAAAATGAACCACAACGCATGCCAACAACTGCATTTTCCCACATGCTGCAAAATGCAAGGTCGCCTGTAAAGACATGAACAAAATGCGTTCAAGGGCGTCTCAGAGTAGAAATAAAATAGCATGGGATTGTGCGTATGGTCGCACCGCAGTTTGCACGGCAAGAAGAAAACACAATTGAGTGGCATGAGACCTTTGAACCGCAGAGCGGGCAGAGCGCAGAGCCCCTTGAGGTCCTGTCTGTGCCGCCCTGCGTCCAGCCGCCCTGCGGGGGCTTAGACGAGAGGACCCAACCCACGCCCTCTGAGCGCCTCCGCGGTGGGCCGCAGAAGAAGCTGCATCAGCACAATCCCGAGATGAGCACACCTTTCGACCACGGTCACCACCAGCATGACCGCGCCCGGCCGGCGCGCGCTCGGCACGGCTCGGCCAGGTGTGAAGGCTTTTCCGCCAGACTTGTATAAAAGGGGAACAGGAATAACAACAGGGCGGGCAGGGTGGAAGCAGCAAGGGCGGTGCCGCGGAAAGCCACGCGCCAAAAACGGTGCGAACGTTCTTTTCATCTCGCGCCTCTCGTCTCGCTGCCTTCCATGTTTACAAGTCGCAACTTGACAGGGTCACTGTTATCTGCACTGCGCGTCACGGCCGCACGGCCACGGATTGCCGCGGCATTGCTGCCACAGTGTGCCACAGGCCACGGAACTGTCACTTCAGAGGACTCGATTCGAAAACGTGTTCCTGGTGAGCACGCATCCTTCGGAGCGGCAGAGTAAGTGGGAGGTGCCCTACACTCTCAAGGCATTCACTAACAGTGGATCACAACGCTTTGACCTAAATGGGTTGCCTGAACGAAATCACGGCAGTGGTAAGAGTTTAATTCCTCTGTAACGTCCTGGGCCGGGATGTGACACCAGCAAACTTGGCCTCGGCGGTCTTGCTCTCCATAATTCACCGCAACGCCTAGGCCGAAAGTTGGCCGCGGGTTTACTTTGGTGCTTCCTGGGGGCTTCCTGGGGCTCGCCGCCGACCGAGTCAGCCAGCCAGCCCCAGTGCTCTAGTGACCCGCGATGGCATGTTGTGGCCCAGGCCCAGGCCCAGGGCCCTGGCGGGCTATGGCGGTGGGCCGGGCCCACTGGGGTCCCTATCCGTGGTGCGGGGCTGCGGGGGCTGCGGGGGCGCGAGGACTGGAGCCCTGAGGCCAGTGGGAGGGGGAGGGGGCGTCTCGGCGGTGCGGCAGGGTGGCTCCAAACCTCCAAACTCGCACACAGAAAAGTCCGCGGAAAAGTCATCCTGCAGACGAAGAATGCCTGGAGTGGCTAGTCTTACGTAACACTCACGCTTGCTCCTAGGCGGTGGCTCGGCAGGCTGGGCTGGCCTCGGCTCGATCCAGCAGCAGCACCACAGCAGCTCCGTCCGTCGCGCCGCGGCTGCTCTCAGCCTTGCCTCATGCCTGGACGGCCCGCGTGCCGCAGGCGTGCCGCGTGTGCAGTGCTGCGAGTCCTCACGGCTCCATCACGCACTTGTCCAGGAGCTGGGCCGCGCGCCTCCGAGTTCTCCGTGTGCGACCGTGTGCGACCGTGTCCCGTCCCTCGCTCGGCTCGGCGTGGCTCGGCGCGCTGTGGCTCCAGCGCTGCTCATCTGCCGAGCCCAAGCCCCATGACAGAACTGGCGAGGCAGCCGATCCGAGCCGCCACGGACGCAACGCCAGCAACGCCAGCAACGCCAGCAACGCCACGGCCCGAGGGGGGTGGGGGGCGCAGCCAGGCGAGCCAGGCGCAGCAGCAGCGCCAGCAGCGCCATGAGCGGAGCAGGCGCCGTACCGCCATGGCCTGGCATCGAGCTCACAGCCTTCTCGTAACGCGCGCCTTCCCGAACGGCCGAACGCTCTCGCCTCTTCTTTTCCCTCTCCCGCTCTCGCTCGGAGCCGCCACGCCCCGCCAAGCCCCGCCACGCCCCGCCACGCCCCGCCACTCCCCACCACGCCGCGGTCCGGTCGATCGATAGTGGCAAGGCGGTGAACGGGACGCGCAGCGCGGCAAGTTCAAACCGCGGCGCTCGCGGTGCGGCGGGGGGTATCGCCGAGTGACGGGCGCGGCGAGCGGCGGCGAGAGTCTCTCCCTACGTGGAGTATCGCGGCGGCCGTCGTCGACCGGGCCGGGCAAAGTGAACTGCGTCCTGCGTGGGTGGGTATGGAGGAGGAGAGGAAGGGGGCGGGGCAGACGGGCAGACACATGAATAAGCCCCCCACCGGGACGCGCCGGGACGAGTCGGGATGCGGTCCTGGGCTAAAGCCCAGACCGTCCCCACGCAACAAAACCGCGCCTCCTCGGCGTGCAATTTTCTCGATTTTATTTTACCGGTCGGGTTGCAGACGTCTTTTCTCTCCCCCGCACTGGTCGGTCCAAGGACCCTGCGGGCTCGGTGCGGGGCCGGCGTCCCGGCCGGGCCTGACTGTCCGTGTCGGCCTCCCCTCGTCTGGGGTCAGGGCGCCTGGCGGGTAGGCAGCCCCCACGCAGGGGGACAGCATGTCGCTTGGAAAGTCGGGAGTTGCCTGTGTGCAGGAGCGGCTGTTCGGATACTTCAGCAGCGTCACGTCTTTGAAACCACTAAGTTTGCTCATAATCGGTTCGAAGAACGACACGACCCAAATAAACCTACCCGAACCTTCAGACTCGATGCCGCACGAATTTTGGTCGGGTACAAAGACGGACCAACGGACTAGCCCTCCTAGTTGGCATCCTAGACGCGATCATATCGCCAAGGTCGTCGCCCTCGAGGGTGGCACCCTTGGTGGCACCAGCACTAGAATGCGGAAGGTTCGACCAACTCCCCGTTAGCGAGGTTTCCGCGTCCTCGGCCGGTGAAGGGCGGGGCGGGGCGGGGCGTGTAAGGGCGCGAGGACGCCAGCCCAGCGCGGGGGCCGCGGGGGCAGCAGGCGCCACGGTTCTTTTCGCGTGCCTGTTGTGTAACCTAAACCCGCCCCCGTGCCGCACGCCCGTCGGCCCCGTCCCCGCGGCGTCCCCGCCCTGGCCACGTCGGGGCCGCGGTGCGCTGGCGGACGGGACGCGGGGACAGGGCGCGGCTGCGCTCGCCCGGCGGCAGCGCTCGGCTCGTCTCGGCCCCCCAGAGGCTGCGTGCAGAGAGTCGTCTCCGCAAGGCACCCCGCCCACCCCGCGCTCCGATCCTCCCCGCACCCCGCGAACCACGACGGGAAGGGCACTTGGGCGCCGCGGACGTCGCGGATGTGGCCCGGGGAGCCTGCGGCTGGCCAGGCGCGGCGTCTAGCGACGGCAAGCGCCCCCCAAAAAATAACCCCGTCGGCACTGCCAACCTGACGGAGGCCCGTCCGCGCGCACGGGCGTGCGGCGGCGTGTTTCGGGCGCCAACGGTTGGCAGCGCATTGTGCAAGCGGGGAGCCGGGGGCGGGGAGCTGGGGGCGGGGGCGCGTGGTGGACCGAGTGGACCGCCGCCCAGTGTGTGCCCCGGGACCCGGGGAGCCGTAGGGACGAAAGGGACAGGATGGCTCGGTGCGGGACCTCGGGGCCCTCCTCGGGGCCCCAGCACGCGCGGCCCAGGCCTTTCAAGGCCTCCGTGGGCACGTCGCCGTCGTGGATAACAACGCCCCTGCTGCTGCTTGCCGTCGTGCTGCTCGCTGGAGTCCTTCCATGGGCCGAGGCGGCCAAGAAGGTGTCCGGCGGCGCGTCCCCGAGCCCAGCCGCGGGGTCCAAGGCCACCAAGGAGCACGTCGAGTCCGTCATCGAGGATGTGTCGGCCAAACAGCTGGAGCGCGTGCTCAACGAGAAGGACTTTGTTGCCGTGTTCTGGTGTAAGTGTGTGCAGTGTCAGTGAAGGCAGTGAATGTCAGTGCAGTGCTGTGTCAGTGAATGTGCCGGTGGAAGGGAGTGGTGGTGGCGCCCACCCCAGCCAACCCCTACCAACGCGGACCGCCACGCCACGCCACGTGCCGTCGCCGCCCGCCTGCCCGCCTGCCCGCCTCCGGACATGCGGCGGCAGCGGCAGCAGCAGCAGGCAGCATGCGGCTGCCCCAATTATAGCCCAGCCACCGTGCGGACCCCACGGCACGCCGCGGCACCTCGGGGATGGGGCTGCATCGCGACGCCCTTAGCCCTCGGCCCTCGGCGAGGCCCTCGGCTAGCCCTAACGGAGTACCAGCCCTCGGCGTGGCCCTTGGGCATCTGCGCTACCCTTCAGCCCTGCAGCCCCACGACGCGGGCCGCCAGCTGTATCAGCCGGCTGATTCCGAAGAATGCTCTCGACGCTCTGTCTCTCTCGCAGTGTCATGGGCCACAGGGGCGCGAGAGAGACAGAGCGACGAAACGACTCTTCGCTCGGCAGACGGAGTGACGTGCCGCGGTGACGCGGACTCGTGAAATTGGACACCGAGCGGTGGAGGTGGCGGGCCAAAGACTGTCTGGACCGCGTCCTGCCGCGAGGCCATCGGAGGACCTCGACGCACGCGGCGGAGCGGGTGGAGCGCGGAGGGTGGCGGTGATGGGGGTCGAGGGTTGCTGCGCCGCCGCGCCACCGCGTCGTTGCCAGACAGGCAGGTGTTGGAATGGCTTCGGCTGCGCGGAGGGCCTGGCTTGACAAGAAGTCACCCGCCGACGCCCTCCTGGCCCGCGACTGTGTACTCTGCGCCGGGCAGGGCTCCGTGGTAAATCGGAAATGGCGGAAACGGCGTGCATTGCGGCGGGGCGGCGGGGCGGCGGGAATCGACGGCCGGACGCTCGGCGTGCCGTGTGCCGTGACAGGACCAATATGTCGGTCAGGGTGAGAGGAACAGACGGACGCTGCTAGGCTGCCGAGCCTCCGCTCGCCGCAGCGCAGCCAGGCAGGGCAGCCAGGCAGCCGGGCCGCACAGCCAGGCAGCCGGGCCGCACAGCCAGGCAGCCGGGCAGGGCCCGCGCGCCGCTCCGAGCGGCTCGACCCGACCCGGCTATTTGTGGCGCGCAGAGCCGCGGAGCCCAGAGACGCGGGTAATATCACCCGTAAAACTCGGCGAGAAACGCGCCGAACGCGCCAAAAAATCGGGGAAACGGATATCGAGGCAATGCGAGTTGGCTCGGCGTGGCAGCGCTGGGCCATCGCGGGGTAAGGGGTGGGGTGGGCGGCGGCGGGTCGGGCCGCGCAACGACCGACGCGGCGAAACTCCCAGGGCACCCCGAGCGCTGTCTCGAAAGAAGGCAGTAATAATAATAGTCGTAATAACACCAGTGTATTCCGTTCAGGACTGCAAAGTTATGGCGGCCAAGGTCTGTTGAGGCCTAACAGCGCTGATGATGGCGGGTGAGCGCGCAGCCTGGCGCTGCCTTGGATAGAGACGTGATTGCGCCCCGTTTCACGGATCACGGCCAATGGCAGCCAATGGCAATGGCGGCCCTTTTGACAAGCGTGTCTCGTCCTATTAGATACAGCATGGTTCAGAAAATAGAGGGGCCGGGCCGGGGCTTACAGTGGCACCGTGCCACCACACTGGCTAAGGAGGCCTTCCCTAGCCGCCCCTCTGGCGTCTCGCTAACAATTGTCCGAGAGAACAAAACACGCGCCTCGAGAATGCCGATACTAAAATCAGCCGGCCCGCTCCGGACTCTGCCGACGCCACCGTCAGGCCGTCTGGGCGTAAGTAAGTAATTCGCAAACTCGAAGCAGCGGGCCGCATTGGTTGCGTCCGCCAATGAAATGTTTGGGCGTGCGCCTTCCAAATGTTTCCCTGAGATCCTGCGGAGCGCGGCAGAGCGATCCCGAATATCGCCTTCGTCTCTCCGTCCCTCCCACACCCACTGCCCGTGGGCCACGGGGCGTCCGTATCGGTGCAAGAGAGACGGAGCGATGGAACGCTGTGCGGAATCAGCGTGGCTGCAGCGCCGACCGCGTTCGGCGGCCGGGGAGGGTTTCGGGCGCGCGCTATGCAAACGGTTAGGTGACAGGGCCCTAGCGCCACAGAGGGTGGAGGCCCCACCCACGCACTGGCCAGGGAGAGAGCTGCGCTGCAGACCGCCACAGACCGCACTGCATCCGCACTGCATCCGCACTGCGGGGCCGAAGCCGATGCCATGTCAATAAACACGCAGACCTGTCGGACTTCGCCATGGTTCGCCGTGCTTCGCGCTTCGCGCGTCAGAAAGGACTCTATTTTAAGGCCGGCGGTGCCCAGGGCGGCCGGGTGGGGCGCCTTCAGCAGCCTTCAGCTTCAGGCGGCGGCTTCTCTCTGTTCTCTGGGCCCGCTACACGTGTCAACTGGCCTGTCCTCTAGAGGCTCTAATCGTCGCGCCGGCCGGGTAGGCAGTCCCATCACCGGCCACCTCTGTCTCTCTCGCGCTCATGGGGCGGCCAGGAAGGGTGGGCGAGAGTGACGAAAGCACTGTTGGGAATCGGACCACCGTTCGGATGCAAACAGTCGCCGGCGCTGACGTCAGACCGGCATACGGCCGGCCCTCATCTGGCGGTTGCTGGCGGCTGCTCACCTCGGCGCCGTCACCGTGCCGCCATGGAGCAGGCCACGTGGCCGAACCCGCAAGAGACCAAACCCACCCCGAAAGCCGTGTTCTGTCCAATGCACGGCCCTGGAGCCAGTGCCAGTGCCACGGCCGGTAGACTTGCAGTGCTGCCAACCCAGACACGAGCCAACGATTCGTTAGTCGCTTGGTTTGGCTTGGCTACAAAGGCTGGCCAGACCGGCCACCATGACTGCGTAGCACCACGAAGCCGCCTTCCATTGAGTTGTCGCGCGCGCCGCGCCCAGCCGCCCGCGCGTCCACCTAGACAGCTCCGCCGCGCTTGCGCCGCACCCCGGCTTTGGGAATCAGCTGTTTGATAAACAGCGTGGCGCTGTCGCTCTGTCGCCCTGTCGCGCTGCGTGCACGCCGTGGGCTGCGGGGCGGGCGGCTCGGCGCGTGTGGAGAGGGAGGGGAGGCCACGTCGCGCCGCGTCCGCCGCGAGCTATTCTCGGGACCAATCTCCTAAGATGGGATGGACGCCAGCGGGCGACATTTTGTACATGGGGCCGTCGGGCCGTCAACGCGTGAGGCGAGACGGACGGCACGCCTGCCCACCTTGACCCTGGCGCCCTGGCACGCTGACACCCTGAGCTTGTGCCCTGCGCGGTGAGCGCCCGGCCGCCCGACCAGCGCGGGGTAGGCAAGCCGCGCCACTCCCGTGCTTGACGGGACCGTCGGACTTGCCTGGAACTCGCCCAATCGCTAGCCTCCAGGGAACTACTTACGAGAAAACAAAACCCTATTCCGCGGCGAGGTGTACATTTGACACGTATATCCCCTTCTTTCAGATGCGCGAAGTTGTCACACATGCGACAAGGTGCTGGAAGAGCTGGAGAAGATCGATGACGACACGGACTCGTTTGGCGTCGACTTCGTCAAGATCAATGACAAACGACTGGCCAAGCATTATGGAATTAAGACCTTCCCTGCACTCACTTATTTCCGAGAAAAGACGCCCATCATTTACGAAGGTTGGTACCTCTTCAGAAAGTGAAAGCGCATGGAGTGAGGTGAGAGACGTCGACCGGTGCGTGGTGGTTGAGTCACGAGGGCCTCGATGGGTGGCCACTGTGCGACCTTGGCCAAACCCTAGGCCGAGTGGAGCCCTTACAGCCGCGTCGCTCAGAAAAAAGACACTTATCGATCGTCCTATTGTTTTAAGTTTTTGGCAAATATATTTTGAGGGTCACGTTGTTTTTCAAAATGTTGCGGAAAAAGAACAATTGGTTTCTGTTTTTCTTTTGCAGGAGACCTCATGGACGAAGAAAACGTGTTGGATTTTCTTACCAGCCTGGAAGCAATGGATCTGCCGGACAGAATCGAAGAGGTGAACGCACGAATTCTCGGAAAAATCATCGAAGAAACGGACTTTGTTGCCGTCCTATTTTGTGAGTAGGAAACATCGAATGTTAAGTTTTGTAAATATGTGAATTGACATAGAAGAGTAGACAAGACTCTTGTTTATGTGAATAACGTTACTTCGGCTGTTCCTATGTGGCCGAGATCACAAGAATTTCTTTGGAATTCATAGTCATTGGAATCGACTAGACGGGACAGATATTAAAAATGTAACTGACGAATGACAAAAATCTATGTTCTGTAAATATTGTGTGACATATATGTGCTAGCGCTAGATTTTATCTGTTCAGCGTATATTTTAGTAGCAAAAAGGAAAGGAAAGTTATAGGGTATTCCGATGGATCTGAACCGGAACCCCGAGCAGTAGAAATATCTGGATCCGGTATGAGAAATCAGGTGTGCGGAGGTCATTCGCACACCCGATTTTGCATACTTTCAGTCCTCCGCACACCTAATTTCTCGTACCGGATCCAGATATTTCTACTGCTCAGGGTTCCGGTTCAGTTCCATCGGAATACCCTATTGATTTCTACTTTACTTTCTCTATTTGCACATTCCACGTATCTACATTTCATGCAATGCTATCCCTTTTTTGTACTGTGCAAACTCCCTGATTTTGAACTGAACGACAAGTCAAACCACGGAAACATTTGACTTTGTGTTTGGTTGGATACTTAAACATTTCAATCGTCTGAAAACTTAGTATTCTTTCGTAGAGCTTCCAGAACTTTTTCTTTGAAAGCTTCGTTGAAGCCTGTAGTTTTAGATCCCTATCATGCATGCGTTTTTCCTGGGCCCGCCTTTGAGAGTTTTTTCCAGGCGTGAGGCAAATCTGACTGGTCCTATTCATGTTTCCCCGATGTGTCGCCTGAGCGAACCATCGCTGAGTCTGGGCGTTGGCAGTTACGGCCAATAATGCCTTGACTCAATGTTATATGCTCGTGTTTTCGTCGTCCACACCCAGGCCTGCGCTGCTTGAGGCACATCAGCAATCACCCTCTGGACAGGTGCCCCAGATTTAACGGAACCCCAGGGTCGAATTGGCTTGAAGCACACAACAAAAGAAAAGCAGTGCGTCAGAGGGTAGACACACAAAAGTGTTTAAAGTTATCCTTTTTTCGTAAAAATAAAAAGTGCTTCAAGTGTAACCGATTATTGCAGCACGCTTTTGCATTGTTCTGCCTGCATTACATTGTGTGCCACTGACGGCTGTGCGCGGTCTGCGTGTGGTCGGCGTGGCCTCGGGCACTGTGTGACGTAGCGCTCTGACCGAGTCTGTTTGCCACCCTTAGGTCCAGGAGCGAAAACATGCCCACCGGGATCCCAAAGTAAGTACACATGATGCGACACTCGGAAACCCTTAAAACGGAGATATGAAAATAGCTGCAATTTCAGAGAGAATAAAAATAACCACACTTCAGTTTCCTTTTCTTAGCTCAGCACGCCTTTTCTTAAGCATGATAAGTTATTTTCAGGAATGAATCAGGCCTTGTCAAATCTATAAGCACTTGATTGCACGTAAGCCTTTAAATAACATCAAATCACTTTTTTCTTTTCAACTTTACGCACTTGTACTGCACGCGGCACGAACAGATAATGAAATATTTTTCTGAATCGCAATAAGAATTATTTTAATTGTGAACATATTCCGACCTTTTTGTGGCGTATTTTGGAAAAATTCGTTATGGGTCCCGCATTGCTTACATTACCATTCAGAAGCACATGTTTGTTGATGACCTTGGCCTATGGTATATTAACATTAAGTGTTGCTTATTGTACTTTGCAAAGTTTATGTCTTAACATAGCGTAATAACTACCAGTCTCCATTTTGTTTTTCGACTTTATTTAACACGAAACAGTTAATGTTTGCACTCTAAAATGTGTGTTTTTTGTCTCGTTGCACAGACAAGCCTGCTTGTAAGAAGTGCACAAAAGCATTAATGGAACTGGAAAACATAGACGATGAAGCCGACCAGTTGGGTATTGGATTTGTCAAGATTGCTGATGAAGCTTTGGCGGAGGAGTACAACCTTGGAGAGCTGCCACGACTTGTGTACTATAGGCATCAAATACCAATCATTTACGAAAGTAAGTTTTGAGTGCCTCAAAATTATAACCGTCTCTTATCAAGCAACTTCTTGTGGTCAATAGTTTGAACGGGCTTACTTACAGACGAGCTGACAAAGGAGGAAGACGTTCTGGAGTGGTTGGTGCAAAACAAATCAACTGGGGATGAAGAGGATGTGATAGAAGAAGTGACTGCCAAAACACTCGACACTCTAATTGGAAGCATTGACAACTTGGTCGTCCTCTTCTGTACGTGTTCAGTATATGTGGCCATGAAAGGATATCCTCTCAAGGTGTGGTAAAAAATTACTAGTAAAATAGAATGTTATAAATCATAATTTCTTATTTTGTAGACGACAACGACGACGAGGATTCGACACAGGTACTTGGAGAATTGGAAAAGATTGACGACGATTGTGACAAACATGGTATACAGTTTGTCAAGATTGACGACGAAAAGGCTGCACAAGCATTTGGAATTGACCAAGTTCCAGCAATAGTGTACTTTGAAAAACAAATTCCAAATGTCTATGATGGCGATATTGAAAATGAGGATGAAATATTAGAGTGGCTAGTTGACCAACTGGAAAAGGATGAAATAGAAGATGTTACCGATGAAATGCTTGATCGCCTCATAAAGGAGGGAAAAAATATGGCCGTACTGTTTTGTAAGTATAACCTGACTTCCTGTATAAGCTGCTCTTTCTAAAACTTAGGTGCTAAATAGATTTTTTATTTTCTTTAAAAATTTTAGATGACAACAATGACAGAAAATCTCAAAGAGTATTAAACGAGCTAGAAAACATTGATGATGAGTGTGATCAGCATGGTATTGTTTTTGTCAAGATTGATAATCCAGAGGAAGCGAAAGAATACGGCATAGAAAAAATTCCAGCTCTCATGTATTTTGAAAAGAGTATCCCCATGATGTACCCCGGAAACCTAGAGGAAGAAGAAAAGGTGTTAAGTTGGCTTGAGCATCAAATTGCTCACGATGAGATAGAAGACGTCACTGACGAAATGTTGGACATGTTAATTGACAAGATGAACAACGTTGCAGTTTTGTTTTGTAAGTACCACAAATATTCCCTTGACACAGAGCCATGCAATGTTTTATACTATCTTTTACCCATTTCAGACGACAGTGACCAAAAGAAAAGCCAAAAGGTTTTATCGGAGCTAGAAAATATTGATGACGAATGTGATCAAAATGACATCGCATTTGTCAAAATTGATAACGATGCTGAAGCAAAGGAATATGGCATTGAAGAACTGCCAACTCTTGTATACTTCGAAAAACGCATTCCTCACGTTTATGACGGCGATCTTACCAAAGAAGAAGAGCTCCTGGGGTGGCTCCTACACCAAAAACGCCATAGCGAAATACCGGACATTACAGATGAAATGATGGATATACTGATCGAGAAAACCCCATATTTAGCAGTCCTTTTTTGTAAGCTACCCTTTTAAAACCTGCCCAACTCTTGAAATATCGTTTAAAAAAATTGTCAACACCAACCATGAAAATTATTTGCAGATGATAAAGATGACAAACAAGATATTCGAGTGCTCAACGAACTGGAAAATATTGACGATGATCTAGATCGAGAAGACATAGTTATAGTGCGGATGGACAATAAAGCAGAAGCAAAAGAGTACGGTATTGACCATTTACCCACTCTTGTCTATTTTGAAAACAAAATACCAGCTATATACGAGGGTGAGTGCTTTTTATGTTAAATTGTGTTAGGCTTCAAATAACGTGACGTGCACTTACATTAAAATTGACTTTAAAAATGACATCAGGTGACCTTATGAATGAAGATGAAGTTCTGCGCTGGCTTGTTGAGCAAAAGACTTCCGCAACGATTGAAGAAGTGACTGACGAGATATTGAAAGAATTAGTTGAAGATCACGAATACGTCGTTGTCTATTTCAGTGAGTAAATGACCCAAGCTTACTAATCTTGTTTTTTAGGGGTTCCCAAGAACCCCTATTGTCCGAGGTCCGTGGATTCCTTCCCCCCCTCTCTTCGATTTTCAAATAAACAACGCTAAACTATTTCAACTATAAAAAAAACGAAAATTCCAATTTTTTTTGAAAATTCATCGTGGAAATTTTCCGTAAACGCGAAAAACATAAATTTGCAACAATCGAAAACCAGAACCGTTCATGATATGAAAAAATGGTTCAAATAAAAAATGTACCACTCCTCAAAACTAAACCTTCTGGCTCATCAAAGTGACAAGAATATGTCTGTGTTCTGAGAAAATGGTTAAAACATGAAAAAAAAATCGCCATGGCAACGACACGACACCATCATGCCAACTGTCAAAATTTAAAGTGACCCATCAAAAGAAATCAACACGCCGTGAAATTCGAAAATGCCAATGCTAGCGCATTGCACTGTGTCCTGACATTGGAACATCTTTGAAATCCGTCATTGGTAAAACGTTCGTAGCAGAAAAGACGCAATTAATTAATTTTCGTGGGTTGGCAACAATTTTCTCGGTGTCTGCGCCCTTTCGAAAATCGCGAGACTGAAAAAAAGAGTAGTCGCGCATTGAAACTGCCCCTTCATTGTTGCTGAGGTTGGATTGTTTGGCATGCTTCTAAAGGCTGCGGTTGACTTGTCATGTTTTCTTCAATTCTGTGACCAGCTAAACGGTTGGTTTGACAAACCGCACTCGCACTCCGTAACAAAGGTGTTCTAAAGGAAGGCCCAAAGAGTACCCACCCGTTGAGGGAGAACGATTAGCCGCTTTAGATTAGTCGCAGTGGGTGCCTAAAGTCAGCTCAAACCACGATTTCTGCACATTTGTTACCGTTTCAACAAACTTTGCTGCAATACCGCTCCCAAACTAAGGCGGCTAATCGCACTCCGTAACAAAGGTGTTTCAAAGGAAGGCCCAAAGAACACCCACCCGTTGAGAGAGAACGATTAGCCGCCTTAGATTAGATGCAGTGGCTGCCTAAAGTCAGCCCAAACCACGATTTCTTCACATTTGTTACCGTTTTGACAAACTTTGCTGCAATACCGCTCCCAAACTAAGGCGGCTAATCGCACTCCGTAACAAAGGTGTTCTAAAGTAAGGCCCAAAGAACACCCACCCGTTGAGGGAGAACGATTAGCCGCCTTAGATTAGACGCAGTGGCTGCCTAAAGTTAGGCCAAACGATGATTTCTACACATTTGTTACTGTTTTGACAAACTTTGCTGCAATACCGTTCCCAAACTAGGACTCCTTTTTATTGGTATTTCAAAACTTACTTTTAAACCAGTTATGAAACTGGGAACACCCTGCAATGCGATTAGCATTGGAATTTTTTCTTTTATGAAACCAGTTGCTTTTCCCACCTTCGTCACTAATGCAATCTTTGTCAACTTTTTTTAGGTGGAAAGTGTGAAGATGGAGAAGACTGCGATGACATTCTTGACGAGTTAGAAAATATTGACGATGAGCTGGATGAAACTGGTATTATATTTGTTACAACGGAAGACATAAACTTTGCTAAAAAGACAGGCATTAAAAATTTTCCAGCATTGGTGTTCTTTAGGAATAAAGAGCCACTCACCTATAAAGGTTTGCATGTTTGAATTTAAATATATATGTGTAATAAAATAGTGACGCACAATGATTAACCATACAAATAATAAAACAGGTGACTTGGAGGACGAGGATGAAGTTTTGGCATGGATTACTGACGAAGACACTTTGGAAATACCTGGTCGAATTGAAGAAGTTAATGCAAGAATGTTGGATAACATCCTGGATGAAAATGACCATGTTGTCGTGTTTTTCTGTAAGTCTTATCTATTTTACCAGCGTTTAAAAGCTATTCTTCCTGCTGTCAAGTTAAATTTAATTGATTTTCTACGGCAGACAAAGAAGGAGATAAGAAAAGCCAAAAGGTTCTTGCTGAACTTGAAAATATTGACGATGAGTGCGAAGAAAAAGACATTGATTTTGTAAAAACATCAGACGAAGGAATAGATAAAGAATACGACTTGGCCTCTTTGCCAGCTCTTGTGTTTTACAGACACAAATTTAGGAAAATTTATGACGGTAGGTATTGTTTGAAAGCTGGTTTTGTGTTCCTATCTTTCAATGCAATGACAATGCACCAACAAAATCTATGTTCTAGGCGATCTCATGCAAGAAGAACAAATTCTGGAATGGGTGCTGGATTTGCACGAATCAACTCCTGATGTCATTGAGAGTGTTGATCGTAAAACTTTAAGAGTACTAATCGAAGATGTTGAGCATCTGGCTGTATTCTTCTGTAAGATTAAAACGTTAAATAATATTTCTTTCATAGAAAGCCTCAATGTTGCAACAGTGTTTTACTTGCAGATGATGACAAATGTGGAAAAGTTTGTGATGATATTTTAGAAGAGCTAGAAACTATTGATGATGATACCGATAAGCACGGTATCCAATTCGTAAAAAGCAAGGATTCTAAGCTAGCATCTGAAATTGGTATCTTCTCATTCCCTGCCCTTGTCTACTACGAAACCGGAGTTCCCATCATGTACGACGGTGAGTCAACTATTTCAATTGAAATCATAACATCATACACGCAAAGATGCTCTTCCAAGTTCCTCGAATAAAATAAAATAAATTGTATGTACTTTCAATGGTAAAAAATCTTGTAACGTATTATTTGAAGTACTTAAGTAGAATTCAATGGCATGCAAAAAGAGCACCTTAAGAAATAAATCTTCTATTTCTAATAAGCACATTCCACTGTTGTTTACTAGTATTTATTTTTTGAAAAGCTCGTGATTGAACGGGGGATCGTTTCTCTTTTAGCAGAATAAGAAACTTTTTTTCATAAAAGTATTTTTATGTAGTAATTGAATAAAAAAGTGAACAATATAGTGCCTACAGTAATAGTTTTAAGTATTTTAGAGAAAAATAAGTCTGTGGAGGGATGCCTCATAAGTGACTGTGGTCTTAGTTTCGTTTCTCTAGAAGATCAACCCATTTTTTGGCTTTTATAATTTTGTAAGTTTTGACTGGCGGAGATTCATCAAGGCCTCTGACGTGGGACTTTCAACGGTGCAGGTAACATTAGAGCTTCACCCTACCAGGGCTTGCATTACAAAAACACAAGTGCAAAGAGTAGTGCATGGAGGGTGGCTTTCACTTGCTACCAAGGTCATTCCAAATCCAGAGAATAAAGAAGGAAGAATTCCCAGACACAAAATTATAAGTTTACACACTTAAACTTTCAGCAGAAAATAGAGTAAACTTATTTCTGGATGGCAATCCGATGATTCAGCGGTTATGTTTTGCTCTGAATACCATTCTAACCACTAACCTTGTTGTGCATCTTTTCTAGGAAATCTTAAGAACGAAGACAAGGTTCTCGCTTGGCTTGTTGAACAAAAAAGTAAGAGTTGATTTTCATTTGTTTATGCTAACATTTATTTGTTTCTCCTCTGTCACTTTGTAACTTTTTTCTTAGCTCTAACCCTTTACTTAGAAAAACATATACTCGTGGATTTTTCCTCCAATTTACACGGGTAAATTTTTCTCTTCGGTAACTGTGCGTGTTTCAGAAGAACTTTTTTAAGCAATTACTTGTCCTGCATGGGTGCTCTTTTCGTTCCTGGGATTTATTCCAAAAGTTAATAACATTTGGCCTGCATTTATGTAGCCGGACACTCTTTGTCTCAGCCCATTCCCATTATCTCTTTGCTCTCTATTTTGTTTACGGAGAAAGGCCAGCATGAAACTAATTTCATACAAAGTATCAAATCCTAGTCCATCGCAACTAAAAGTAAGCCCCACTTTCTGTACAGAGAATTAAAATATTTTTGTGCCACATTTTTTGTATTTTGGGTACTTAAACTTTCTGAAAACACGCAACAATCTTTTAATTATAAAGTAATGTTCTGAATCTGGACAAAAGGCCAACTTTGCAATGGCACTTTGAAACTTCCTAATCTTTCTAAACAGATGATTTTAAAAAGAGAAATAAGAGGAAGAGTCATCTCAAAACGTCTTCCATGCATTAAGAAATTCCGGCGCCTAATATCCAGAGATCAGCAGCATGCAAAATTTAGAGTTTCCGCTGTCTTTGGGGAAAATAACCTTTCGGGAGGTATGTAGCAAATTAAAGACATCCATTTTATGAAGCTCGCTTTTCTTGGCCCCAGCCAAATCTTTGCAATAACTAGCTTAACAATGATTTATTAAAACCGGTGCCGATATCCTTTACAAATGTATGGTAATGGTTTAGTTGACATTCCAATGATTTCTGCATATTTTGGTCCCCAAAGGCAGTGAAAACGTTAATGGGAGGGTTTCTATAAACTGACTGCCCCAAGTTTAGTAATAAACTGCCTGTACCTAAAGCTGTTTTAAAAATGAGGTAGAGCAAATGATCAGAGATAATATAGGGAATGATCCCGCGCAGGTGATGATAGCGATGAAGATGATGACGATGATGATGATGACGAAGACGACGACGAAGATGATGACGACGACGATGATGACGATGATGATGATGATGACGACGACGACGACGAAGATGAAGACGATAGCGATGAAGATGATGATGACGACGACGATGATGATGATGAGGATGAGGATGATGACGAGGATGATGATGATAAAAAACATAAGGGATCAGTCGCTTTAAAAAATTCAGGTAACACTGAGGAAAAGGCGTATAGTGCTTATTTGCAGAAACTTTTAGCTAAAATTGAGAAACAAAAACAATTGCAGGAAGAAATGGAGCAATTCGCTCCCAAAAAGCGCCTAAATAAGTCCTATTTGCGGCGACAAGGCCGCATGTGATAGGCAATCGAAGGCATGTGTGTGCTATGCTTCGTAGGCCTATTACGATCCCAAGCTTCCAGGACATACACCCTTTTTCAAGATCGGCCCGTAGATGCCTTGAATGACCAATAGTGCAGTTACCAATGTTTTCTTGTGTTTGAAGAATTAGTGATGGGATCGGCACCAGAAGATTCCCTAACATTTCAGTCAAGCTCTGACACTAACCAGCGTGCTTATGTGCATAGTGCATCCTAAGTCTGTCAATCATGATTGACCTTGACATTCTCTGTCTAGATCACTCAATATTTTTGACAGAATTGGGTATATTGATAAGAAGGAGCGGACCTACTCTGCAGCAGACGAGCGGTCGGGTGACCTTTACCCATACCAGCCTCGCCCCATAAGACAGCTGGATCGAAGGCTTCATTCAAAACCTTTTAATCACATCCTAAATATTTAAGATTATCCTGTCTTCATTAAATTCTTTTTGACACCTCTTCTCTGCTTACTGACATCAACCATAGTGATAAATATTCTCATATCAGTTTGTTTTTATTACAAAGGAGAATAAATGCATTCTAATATTAAAATTTTCCTATTGTACGTCACTAACCGTCTCTAAATTGGTTGAGTTTTGAAGGTGTTGTTCTTACTTACGATTAACTCCCTGAAGTAATCTTGCACCATTCCCACGGTGGCGTAATTTTGACAGTAAATATGGATCTCAAATTTAAGCTATGTTATTAAATAATTTTTAAATTATCCTTACACAACATCCCTGCCTGCCCCTGACCCGACTGTTCTGTCTGCTGCAGGCGACGGCTGTTTCTTCATCGGCTTGGGGGGAAAAAGTGTGCCCCCCACTTCTTCCGCATATGACTCCTTCCAGTGCTGCCCGTCCAAGGCTCAAAAGGGCAGCAAAGTGGCAAAAGCGAGTCCAATGCAGAGCAAGGCGAGCCAGGGGGCGAGCAGAGGTTCAGGGGCGAGCGCCGCAAGTGCTCGAGCACGTGGGCGAACCACCAAGTTCCAAGACGACGACAAGGGAAAGTCTAAGAAAGGCAGCAGCATCGGATCAGCAGTTGCACCAGCTGGTCGGGAGAAATCTAGTAAAGGCAAGAAGGGATTGGGGAAATTCATCTGGTGGTGGTAGGTTTTACAAAAAAATATTGGCCTTTCCAAGGCAGCCGGAACAAGATTAACCCTGGTCATGCCAGGACAATATTTAACGTCTGTGACAATCTTAAGGCGTTTTTGTAACATCGGTGTTTTCTTGCATCTAGCAAGAGACAAGCAACTGCTCAAATGCAATAAAATGAGATTTTTATAAAGCTAAACATCGGATTGAATTATATTGTAAATATTTTATTTAAAAAATCAGTCTTTTCTGGACTAATTACTTGTAACTAATAAGTGGGCACAGCTTCCTTCTCTGAACTTGGAATAGTGCGCACAGTATAATTGCAGTGCTCTTTGCAATATAATTTTAGACATCTGATCTTTACTAAAGATATTTGTTGTTGCCACACTGTTGTTTTTCAGTATTATTTTTAACATCGTGATGAAATTGCTCAGTAGATTTTTGTACTGCTAGATGGTGTTGCCGTATGAAACGGGAGTGAGAATCCGATTAATTTTGATCAGTTTTTTGAAGTAGCACCCGAGGGAAGCAATATTTACTTGGCCTCCCTTTGTTTCTAGTTTCATAGAACTGAAACGTCCTATGCGTTTCCCCTGATACACTGTACTGATGTTTCTTTTCTAAGCATTTTTATGAAACATTAGGTTGCAACTTTGCAGATTAGTGGAGAGCATTTTTAGGAGTCTTTCAACGTCTTTACATCTCTTGCAAATCATAATTCTGCAGAGAAATGACTGAATTGCAGTAGAGCAGTTTATAGACAGTGTAAAAATTTCATGTTTCAGACTGATGGGGACCACTTTTCATATTGTGCATAACTTAAGGATTTCAAAACGGGTTCAAGCTGTCCGTTGGGGTGTTTCGATGCTGTTACAAAACTTGTCATATAGTGTCTCTAGATGGGGTGATATCTGCAAGATGAAACACCCCATTAGCTTTTCTCAGGAAGAAGGCCTTTCGTTTATTCCGCCTTTGGAAGAGACCGTGCCGGGCAGTCCTCCCTGCTTCTTGCATGTAGGCTTTGCTTGTATTTCTCGTTCCTTCCCTTTTACTATGTGCCGCCATTTGCCATGAAATCTTTCATACAGATAGTCCTTGTACTTTCCTGTTGTGTAACATACTACCTTTCAATACTGTCCCTGTGTTTTAATTATCATCGCAAATATTGTTTATTCATTGCTGTTTTCAAATATTCTTTAATGCCTTTTCTTCATTGTTTTTGATTTCCCTCCAATATGTGACGAGAACACCCTGTCGCATGTACCATGTTTCGTGCAATTTATGAATTACTCCTAGCTGTAATTTTCATCTTTTCGTTTATAAAGAAATTGTAGTGTAGGCTAGTCAATGTTTCATTTGTTCAAAGTGGAAGTTGTGTTTCAAATGTTTGCGGTGAACAAATTACCTTGCACACATTTTGAAATATTATTATCTAAGTTCTTTATTGTGTTTCATCACGTCACATATGTTCGCCTGTATGGACTTAGCCGAGACGAGTGAAGTGCTAGTCATTTGTGCTTGCCAGTTAAGCAGTAACGGTGCTGTAAGACAACCTTAGGATTAAGTTCTTTACAAATTTTAGAATCTTTACCTCCGCCAATCTCCGCCAATGCAAAATCGTCGAACAAGACGCTCCTGGAATTTTTCATACTCTTTCAAAACTTCTGTACATAATCAAGTGGCGCTAATCTGCCGATGGTACAGTTGCCTCGTTTCAACGTTTTTCTTTTCCATATGAATTAGATACAGCAGCATTGTACCACCAGGCAGACGCTTGATTTTGGCCTCTAGTGCGTAATGTCGAGAAGTTGGAGCATTGACAGCATATATTTATAATTTTAAGGACTATTTTAAGTGCAAATGTTTTGTTGACATTTTACTGTGCATTGTCTCAGAGAAAGCCCTGTCTCTATCTTAGTAGGAAATTTGAGAGACAAACCAGTTAGCTATGTGGCAAAGCGTGGCAAGGTGAGGCCTAGACTTTAACAGTCTGGCCAACTTTGCCGTTTTGAACACCAACTAAACTGTAATCAGTCACTACTTTTGTATTTTGATACGCTTCTCCTAAACTCCAAAACGTATTGGCCTTTCTGGTAACACTTGTAACAACAACTAACCAAAGGGAAAAAAGACAAACGCTGAAGAATTAGTTTGACCATCCTTTTTATTTTTTTCTCAATTAATGTGGCTTGTGATGCATTTAAAGTAAAAATGCGTATGTGTCAGGCCTGCAATACCCACAATCGATTTACCCTTTTAGATTTTCTTTGGCGTGACACTTATCTGTCTCTCAACACATTAAAAGGTAGTTAAAAAGTAGAGCAGTTGCACTGCCCGCCTAAATTTTGCTCTACTAGAAGGCTACCACCTCTTCACGTTTAATATAGTTTTTGACTGTGAAGTAACTGTGATGTTTAAAAAATGAAAACAGTTTCCTATATTTTAGTAACATAAAGAAACATCAAATCTTATAGTTATTTTGTTTCTGGAATGTCCTTTCTTCGACGGTTATGAATTGGAATGTCCTACATTATTAGACTTTATGGTAGAAAGCTTATGCTTTAAGGACTTTAAAAAGCAAAGGTTGGAAACTGTTGTACAAATTCTTGATTGGAAATAAACTAACTTTTTCAAACATCATGTTCTTTCTAACTTCTGGAGTATGCTGTGCTGAACTTCCTGTACGCAAGGGATTCCGCACTTGTTTTTATGGGCTCCACGGACGAAGTTATGCTTACCAGCTCTTTTATAAATTAAACTGTTGCATATCGAAAATTAATTGGGGTTTGTAAGGCAAATTATTTCATCACAGGAGAGTATTTGGCTGTACGTTCTTTACAATGCTTACAAAGCACCTTCTCAATTCTTGCGGAAACTTATATGGGAAAGGGTTAAATGTAACACTGAACACTAACGAGTAAGAGGGCTTATAGAAGTACTGCACATAACCCCCTCTGTCAACACTTCAGAACGATTAAGGTAAGTTGTTATCGTCAAAACACTGTAAGCGCATTGTTCGGTCGGTTTGTCAAAATGTATGTTACATTGTTAGCTTTTGAATGCAGTGGAGATACGATCACCCGTTTAATGTTGTTCTTGCCCTCTGTCAATTATTACGTTTTTATATAGTTTCTTACCACGGAATAACAACTTTTGTCTTTCAGGCAATCTTTTGGATGAAGATGCAGTTCTTAACTGGATGATGAGGCAAAAGACGGACGAAAGCATTGAAGATATCGACCGAGACACATTGTTTGAGTACATTGATACAAAGGAATTTCTGGCTGTTGTTTTCTGTAAGTAGTAAAAGCACTACTGCTGCCTGATTGGAGCCTTCGAGCCTTCTTGACCGGAATATAGCTCACGTCTCCACTGCGTCAGAAGTGCTTGCCTCGTTTTTAGAATGAAGATGCATTTGTAACCCTTCGTTTTCAGATACGGAGGATGATCCAGGTGTTCCTAGAATACTTCGTCACGTTGAGCTGATCGACGACGAAGCAGCTCAGTACGGAATCAAAATTGTAAAATGCAGTGACAAGCTCATGGCAAAAAAGTACGGTTTCCGCAATCCGCCCGGCATTACATATTTTAGGAAAAGCAAGCCTATAAACTATGACGGTAAGATTTCCATTCAGGATTTTGATGCCCATAAAAGTACAATGTTTATTTTCTAATGTTTTCTTACATTTTTAATCAGGGGACATTGACGACGATGAAGAGCTACTGGACTGGCTGACCGACCCGGAAAACATGGAACTGACAGACCACATCGAGCGCGTCAACCGGAAGATGTTTGCAAAAATCCGACAAACGTCGGACTATGTCGCTGTTTTCTTCTGTGAGTCTTCATGCCAACACCAGCAGAGAGGCCATACCATGATATCACGTCTCTTGTTTTCTGTAAAACTTTGGTACAAGGCTGGAACTTTGTTTTGGAACAAAGCAGCAATGACACTGTTTTGATGTGAGTCCTGCTGTCCAGACAGTGACGACTGCAAGCAGTGCGCTCGAGTTCTCGCTGAGATAGAGCATATTGACGACGAAGCTGACGGTGCTGGAATCAACTTCGTAAAGATTGACGACAAACAGATGGCCAAGGATTACGGCGTCTTTGCTTTGCCTGCCGTCCTGTTTTTCAAAATGGGCACCAAAGATCCCGTCATTTATGCTGGTACGTTATTACTTGAAAAATTACAGACTGAACCTCATGAGAATGGAACTCTTAATAATTTTTTAAGTATGCGGCCCTGTGCGTGTGCACTCGCGTCAGGCTGTTCTTTCTGACTTTCTATGTAGTGCCATGCGGGGCCTGCATACTTTACAATGAGTGTTTTAGGTTCCATTCTCCTCGTTAATGAGCGAGCAAAGGCAGAAGTAAGTTTAACTGCAATCGGAAAATATTTGATTAAACAGGTGACCTATACGATGAAGGACAGCTGCTGAGCTGGCTGCTCACTCAAAAGGATCCTGGTGGTGAAGTCATTGAAGACCTTGATGGTGACGACCTGATTCGCCTCATTGAAGAATCCGACTCGCTAGCCGTGTACTTTTGTAAGTAACATTGTGGGAAGAGAAAACAACGTTAGCAGCTCAGTCTAAACCAACCATCTGGCAGGGTCCCTACCAAGTCTCTCCAAATTTAATAGAGAGGTCATTTGAGCGGGTGAGCGGCTAGGGTCTTTCCACGACAGTACTTTTTCAAACTACGGCGGCGCACAGTGTGTCTGGGTGATGAAAAAGTGGAAGAACGAAACGTGACCTGCTGGTCAATGCGATGTTGTTGGCTCCCCAGGGAACAAGACGCTTTGCGACATGTGTAGCAGTAAGCAATTCCGGAAGCAGCGAAGGAAGGAGCTGCTCGCGGAGAGCTTGATGGCCGCCGAGGCGGCTGCTGCAGCGGGCATTCCCGTTGGCGCAACTCCGGCAGCTCCCGCCGCGGAGGAGGGCCCACCAGGCGACGGTATCTTGCATCGTGTTTGAGATGTGAATCCAGTCAGCTTCCTAATGCAGTAAATCGTAGAGCGCATGGAGTTGTCGTCCACAGGGCCGAAAACAAGGACCAGACCAACGAGAGCAAAGCTGGCAGAGAAGGAGTTTCCCCCGTCCTGCCTGTGTAGTCCAGCTTCACTCCGTAGCTCTGCATGCCGAGGCAATCCTCTTATGCAGAAGAGGCGAAGCGCTTACCCCACCTTTGTGTTCGGAACGTGCGTGCGAGTGTACTGTACAGAGACGCCTGGACTGTTAGCGAGACTTTGACGATACGTGTGACCCAAAAGTAGAATTTACTCTGAAAATGTATGCAAACACTTTTTTTTCAATCCCTGGGATTCTCATTCGATGAAAGATTTTTTGCAGTGTAGCCTTGAGGACAAGAAGAAGATGTGATTTAGTTCCCTTTGATCTGTCAAATTCTTTTGTCTTTACATTTCTACTTTTTTTCAAGTAGATTTTAAAACAAGCTGTTTGGCTTTTTTTAAAACAAGGATAAAATATGATACCAAGAATAACTTCTATAATTAGTTTAAACGCTTTTTCCCAGAGCCCATCTTGCGTGCAAAGTTTTTTTTTTTGGCGTGAGAAGTAATGTTTTGGAAACTGCCTTACAAATTCCGTAGCTTCTTTCACAACAAGAGTGAATAAACAGCCTGTGTGGGGATTTCATGTACATATTTGTTTTGCAGTTATGGGTACTTGCAGCATACAGGTTAAGGCAAGGCAGCCTTGGATGCAGAAAATTGTCCGTGGAGCCATCGATTTTAGGCTGGCCACAGATGGGATCTCAGCACAATCTCAATTTATCGATTGGGATAAGTTCTCAGTTCAGAAAAATCATACCATCTGGCGTATTCTTTTAGATTTCAATTTTAAAAAAAACTGTTTTGTTTTCTTGTTTAATGGCGTTCATTTCATGATTTCCCACTATATTCGCCTGTTTCCATTTTCAGACAAAATGGACGGGTGCGACCAATGCAAGGAAATTTTGGAAGAGCTAGAAAACATTGACGATGATTGTGACAGGCATGGAATAATTTTTGTCAAGACCCAGGTAAGGTGTCTTAAAGTTTAACTCGGCCTGATGTAAATTCGATAGTTCTTCAAACAAAGATGCATTTCAGGACTTCAACATTGCGGAGGACTACGGTGTGACCGATTTCCCATGCTTGGTGTATTTTGAAAACATGATACCGAACGTCTTTGAGGGTAAGGCTTCAAACATGGAATTTTGAGCCACCGGGTGTGGTAAATCCGAATCGTAAATGTTGTCTTTTTCCTTCAAAATTATTTACAGGCGACTTGGCAGAAGAAGAAGAAGTCTTGCAGTGGCTCATAACTCAACGCACTGAGGATCGGATCGAGTTGATCACACGAGTGATGCTGGAAGCGGCAGTGGAGTCGACACAATATCTCGCAGTTTACTTTTGTATGTGCCAATAATTACTTTTAAAAAGATCAACTACTATCTTTCTTGGGACTAGTCCCCTGACGAGCGCTGTAATTCCAGACAAGAGCAACTGCCACACCTGTGACCTCATCCTGGAGGGTCTGGAAGGTGTGGACGACGAGTGCGACGTGTACGGCATCCACATGGTGAAGATCCAGGACCCGCAGCTCGCCAAGCGCTACTCGATCAAGACCTTCCCGGCTATGGTTTACTTCAGGAACGGGAACCCGCTCTTATTCGAAGGTGCGGCCGCAATCCTGGTCAAGCTTTACGCTGAAGATCAATGAGTGGAACGAAAATAAACACTTTACTTTACAGGCGACCTGCAAAATGAGGAATCTGTTCTGGAATGGCTGATCGACGATGACAACAGGGAGTTAGCAGACGAAATTGAAGAAGTCAACGAGCGCATGCTGGAACGACTGCTGGACGAGAGTCTCTACCTGGCTGTTCTTTTTTGTGAGTACATCCGCATTTCAAGACGATTACACATCTCCTGGACTTGGAGCTAGCTAACGTCGTCCACCTCTGTGCAGACGACAACGACTGTCCGGAATGCGACGACATCCTCGAGGAGCTGGAGAAGATAGACGGAGAAGTCGATCAGTTTGGTGAGCAATAAAGTTCTAACTTTAGCTAGTTTTATTTGTTGGTTTTAAACTGTCGTGCCGTGATTCTGAGACCTTCGGTGGCACAGGCATTGACATGGTCAAGATCTCGGACCCCGAGGCCGCGGCCCGCCACAACATCATCAACTCGCCGTCCCTCGTCTTCTTCCGCAAGCGAGTGCCGCTGCTGTTCGACGGCGACCTGTCCGACGAGGAGAAGGTGCTGGCCTGGCTCACGGCACAGGACGTGTTCGAGATCAAGAACGAGATCGAGGAGGTCAACCGCAAGATGCTGGACAAGCTGCTCGACGAGAACGAGTTCCTTGCCGTTTACTTCTGTAAGTAACGCAACGGTGCGACGGTTGTTCGCCCAGGTCACCATGTTGTTATTGTCGGTTGATTGCCCTGCTGCAGACGATGAGGACGAGGACGACGGCATCAAGATCCTGGAGCGCCTGGAGAGGATCGACGGCGAGACGGACAACATGGACATCACCTTCGTCAAGATGGCGGACCCCCGGTACGCGCGCAAGTGGGGCGTGACCAAGCTCCCCGCAATCGTCTACTTCAGGAAGAGATTCCCCAGCATATTCAGAGGTACGACGCCGGCAGACCGCATTGTCGCTCTGTCCTTCTCGCGCCCTATGGAACGTTTCATGAGTGCGAGAGAGACAGTGCGGCGATTTTACTTGGGGAACGAGCCAGCATGCGGCGGCTGCGTGGTGCGCTGGGTTGCCTACCACCACGGCGCGAGGCGCGAAGCGGTAGGTCTTGAACCCCAATCCCACCGTGTTGCAGGGGATCTCACGGACGAGGACGACGTGCTGGAGTGGCTGCGGAAGAACAGATTCCGGCAGCCCGAGCTGAACCTCTTCATGTACGCGCTCATCGCCATTACCATCGCCTTCGTCATGTACACCGCCTTCCTCATGTACGGCTTCCAGCCGCACGCCAAGACAGCGTGACCGTCGGCGTGGCGGGGCGAGGCGGGGCGAGGCGTGGCGGGGTAGCCGCGCGGCCCCGCGGAGCAACGCACGGGACTGGATCTCTCTCATCTGGGGTGTGGAGGCTGTGCCCTGGCTGTGCCCCTGGCGGGGCGTGGCGGGGCGCGGTGGGGCGCGGCGGGGCTTGGCGAGGCATTCCCGAGTGGAACAGCCCCTGCCGCCGGCTGTGGCCGCTCTCTCGCCTACCTCTCTGGTAGGCACACAGCGTGCGTGGGCGTGGGCACAGCGTGCATGGGGGAGACGCGGCGTGGCGGAGCGTGGCGTGGCGTGACGTGGCAAGGCGTGTGGCACCTAGCGGCCGAAGAGCCGTCGGCACTCCGGACACTGCGTGTTGCGCCCCTCCCCGACTGGACTCCCGCTCACCTCGAACCTCACTGCGCCGGGCGGGCCGGGCGCCGGTGGGCTCGAAGCTCGAATCCACTCCTTCGGCCTGTTCCGTAGGACCCGGAGAAGGAGGGGCCCCGAGGCCTCGTCCAGTAGAAATAAGCTAAACACTGATCTCAACCGCCATGCTGATTCCGGCCCCCTTCCCGTTGAAGGGAGGGGTGGGGCCGACGGAGGAAAGGGGTGGCAGAGGGAAGGGGTGGCAACACTGTGGGCAGGACTGGAGGGCGGCGGCAGCACCACTGGAACAGGCTGTCACCTATTTTTCTTGTAGAATGTAACATCATTGGATGTTTAGTTCCATTTCATCCCTTATTTATTCGGCCTTTGCTCTTATTCAATGTTAAGATCTAGCGACCTAATACCGAAGAATGAAGTTCCAGAGTGTGCGACGCTAGTGACAAACGGCGCTGAGTGGCACACGGAGTGTAACATAGTGAAACAGAGTGAAACAGTGTGAGAGGGAGGCAATGGACTCAATGACGTACTGGTGACGACGGGGTGGGGGCGGTGCTGTGATGATGTGTTCAAAGTAAATAATACTTATTGTGATCCTATAATACCTCTTAAAGAGGAAATAAAACAAATTTCCATTCTAAACCAGAGTCTTTTTTTTTTGCCTCGGGTATTTTCTGATGCACCCAGGCGCGGATCCACGGGGCGATGCCTTGAAGGGGGAGAGGAACTCTAAAGTGGAGTGAAGCCGCCTGGACGGTAGACAAAGAGTCGCACTTTGCCACTGTAAGTAGGCAACTTTTGCTGCATCACCGCCTACCCCTGAACCCCTCTCTGGATCCACCCTTGGATGCACTTTCCTTCCCACTAATCTACGCCATGCTGGAGGGTTTGATTGATGACCGTGCCATGTACGCGGAAACCCAAGCTGATGACACACTGGAGGACCCTGTCGTAAAACGCACGGAAATTCATAAATTTCGAGTACCAAAACACACGGCTCGTTTCGACTCAACATTTCGGAGGATTGTTTCTAGTGCGGCGGGAAGCTTGTCGCCATGTCTCCACACGGGGTGCGATAGAGTCATCCGATCCATCACAGCCTATCGAGTGTCCGTAACCAGAGTCGTCGTGTTCGAGGCGTTCGAGGCGTTCGAGGCGCGGGCCCAGTAGTGCCTGCGCAGTCAGGCCGCGCCGGCCGCGCGGTTCCAGCCGGTCGCAGTTTGGCCAGCTCACCGACTGCACCAGTGGCGGATCCAGAGGCGGTCTATAGGGGGGGCAAAGCAGCACTTTTTTGCCCACCTTTCAGGCGGCTATCTAGGGACTATGGGCGGGGGGCATCTCCCCCCCCCCCTCCTGTATCCGCGCCTGGACTGCTCTGCTTGACGGGGTCCTCCCATTTCGACCCTGACTCTTTCGGCCAATCCTGCATCGCGCCGAGACCTGCTTGGCTGACCTCTGCTCTCTTTGCAGCGGAGAGGCAGCGACAGTTCAGTCGCGATTGAGCTGGCAATGGCTGCCGATGTAGTACATCACTGGAAGGTGTCCAGTATCACACACAGAAGGTCTTCATCGGCGAGCCCAATTCAAACTCACGCAGAACTTCTTTTTGTTGGGGGCGTGCGGCGCAGCCACGAGTGCAGACAAGCCCCAAGCCCTCAGGGGACGATTAGAACTTTGATACCATGCAGCGGGCGGGGAGAGGCGCGGCAGGTTGGGGCGGGGATCCCCCTCCGAGGCGTGCGTGCAGGAAGCCCCTGGAGTTCCTTTCCGAGCCCGGCTCGGCCAGCGGTGGCCAGCGGGCCAGCGAGGGGTGACGGCGGCTGTGGCCCGCAGACGGCGAGACGGCGGCGCAGTCGCCACGCCGCACGCCGTCCGTCGTCCGCAAAGGCGTCTCAGTGCCCACTGGACAGCACAGCGCGCCCAGCGGCCCGACGCCCAGCGCGGGTGCCTGCTAGCCAGCTAGCCATGCGCACGGTCGGCAGCACGGACCTGCAGCAGCCCTCTGCGGGCATGGCGGACACCGCGGAGTCGCAGAAGGTGGTCATCGTGGGCGGCGGCCTGGTGAGTCGACGGCGTGCTAAGCGTATCCAGTGCGATGCAGCGGCAGTGATTCAGAGACTAATGTCCGCATGTCGCTTTGCCTCGCTCCAGGTCGGTTCCCTGGCTGCCTGCATGTTTTCCCAGCGCGGCTACCGAGTGGACCTGTTCGAGTACCGGAACGGTAAACCACTAAATCAAATGTGCGTTTCGGAAAAGTGTGAAGTGAACCGGGATTTGAACCCACGCACCGCTTCCGTCCAGATCCGCGCCTCAGCGCCGTGTCCCAGGGCCGCTCCATCAACCTGGCCATGTCGCGGCGGGCCCGCGCCGCCCTCGGCCTCGTGGGGCTGGAGGGGGAGCTCCTGCGCCACGGCATCGCCATGAAGGCCCGGATGATCCACGACCTGGAGGGCGGCACCAGGGAGATCCCCTACGATGCGCGCACCAACCAAGTAAGACACACCTCGTGCGTGAGTGATGATTCGGATTCGAAATCGGAAGGGATGGACATGGCGGCAGCGTAGTGGTCACTTTTCACTTCCATGTTTGCTTCCTTCCAGTGCATCTACTCTGTGGGGCGCAAGTTCCTCAACGACGTCCTGCTCTCGGGCAAGTAGATCCAGAACGGCTTGGAACTAACTAGGCACGGCTCTCGGAACGATTCAGTCACGCTGTTCGTTGTGTTTCTATTTTTTATTTTCAGCTGCTGAGAAGCGGTCCAACGTCCGCCTGCTTTTCGGCCACAAGATGACGGGGGGCAGTCTGGACGAGGGCCGCGTTGAATTTGAAAGGTACGTACTGTATATCAGAGTGTCCGGCCTGGTCAGAATGCCATCCTTAGCTTTATCTTTTCCTAATCTGTTTTCTTTCTCCGGCTTCGGCAGAACCGAGGGTGGGACCGGCGGCCCCAAGGCCAAGGTCAAGGCCGTCGAGGCCGTGGGGGACCTGGTGGTGGGCTGCGACGGCGCCTTCTCGTCCCTGCGCCGCCTCTTCATGAAGAAGCCCATGTTCAACTTCAGCCAGACCTACATAGAGCACGGCTACATGGAGCTTCGGATTCCTCCGACCGCCGACGGGGAGGTGAGCAGACACGCAGGCAGCCCGTAATGGTAATGGCTCGGCTGGGCCAGCCCGTCGCGCGTGCGTGTGCGTTGGGTTGCCTGCCTGCCCGGCGTCTCTGCGCGTGCCGCGTGCCTCGCCGCTGTGCAGCGCGGTGCCGCTGTGCAGCGTTAGCGGTGCCGCTGCCACACATGTTCCTGCAGAAACAACGGCGGCAAAGTTCGAAACCCATTTTCCGATCCCGCAGTTCGCCATGCCGCCCAACTTCCTGCACATCTGGCCGCGCGGGGAGTTCATGATGATCGCGCTGCCGAACCAGGACCGCTCGTGGACCGTGACGCTCTTCATGCCGTTCGCGCAGTTCGAGGCCATCACGACGGAGGCCGAACTCCTCGCCTTCTTCGGCCAGCACTTCGCCGACGCGGTGCCGCTGCTGGGTGAGGACGCCCTCGTCGGGGACTTCTTCCGCTCGAAGCCGCAGCCCCTCGTGTCCGTCAAGGTGAGTCATGCCGGCCCTTTCGGCCGCCGCCAGCGATCGAACCCGTTGTCCGCACGTTACACAACAAGGCCCCACGCCGTGCTGTCGGGCTGCCGTGCCCTTTGTGCGTTGTACCAGGTGTTTCAGAAACCCCGTAGAATTTTGAAGGTATGCAACCCGCTCGCCGTCGTGCGGGCGGGCTTGCCTACGCGCTGGCCGGCGGGCGCCGGAGCGATCATGGGTTGCCACTCGTCCACTAGTGCAGCTGGGTGACGTCGCCCTTCCCCTTACCGCTCCGGTTGCACTCGGCTGGCCCGGTCAACTGTCACAGGTGGCGCTAGCGTCGTCTATCGGCCGCCAATCAAACCATCTCGGATGATGTCGCTAAATTCGCAAACATTCGCCTATCGGTGATTCGCCGGCTAGCGACATCAGCCGAGATGGTTTGATTGGCGGCCGATAGACGACGCTAGCGCCACCTGTGACAGTTGACCGGGCCAGCCGAGCGCAACCGGAGCGGTAAGGGGAAGGGCGACGTCACCCAGCTGCACTAGTGGACGAGTGGCAACCCATGATCGCTCCGGCGCCCGCCGGCCAGCGCGTAGGCAAGCCCGCCCGCACGACGGCGAGCGGGTTGCATACCTTCAAAATTCTACGGGGTTTCTGAAACACCTGGTATTCCTGGCGTGGGACGGGGCGTGTGGCGCGCGGCGCGACGCGGAGCCTGCCAATTTTACCTATACTGCCCGCTATAGAGTTCAGCACGCCGCGGCCACGCGACTTGACGACGAATGTCTTGACTTGTTCTAGTGCCGGCCGTACCACGCGGGCCGGGCCCTGCTGCTGGGCGACGCGGCGCACGCCATGGTGCCGTTCTACGGTCAGGGCATGAATGCGGTAAGCACTGTACACTGTGCTTCTGTCTCTCTCGCACCTACGCGGGACGCCGTATGAGTGCGAGAGAGACAGAAAGACGCCAACGACACCAACGGCTGGGAGGGCCGGCCGTTTCCTAGCGACGGTGCCCTTGTAACGTCAACCCTTTTCGCGCCGCCGCGCCGCCACTGCAGGGCTTCGAGGACGTACGGCTGCTGTCCGGGCTCCTGGACGGCCTGGGCGGCTCGCCCGCCGGGCTGGCCGACGTGCTGCGGAGGTTCTCGGAGCACCGCAACGCCGACGCGGAGGCCATCTGCGACCTGGCTATGTACAACTACGTCGAGGTGGGCATCGCTCTTTCAGCTGCTCATTTTCCCGTAGGATTGTTCTTGACCCGACGGTTTTGACCACAGATGCGCGACTTGGTGAACCGGCCGTCCTTCCTGCTGCGGAAGGCGCTGGACAACGCCCTGTACGCCGTGCTGCCCGACGTGTGGGTGCCCCTGTACAACTCCGTCACCTTCTCCGACATGCGCTACTCGGAGTGCGTGCGCAACAGGGTGTGGCAGGACCAGGTGCTGTGTGTAGCGGGTTATGGCCCTTCCCGCTCCCCTCCCCATCCATCTTGACTTGGCATCTGTCTTTTCATCTGCAGGTGATTCGCGGTGTGCTGGTGGCGCTTCTGGCCTGCGCCGCCCTCCTGGGCCTCGTCGCCTTCGTCAAGGCCTGAGGAACTAGCCCGAGGTGCGAGGCACGGGCCACCCGAGGAGAGAAGACCAAGAAGGCCCGCCTGAAGACACCCCGCCCCGCCCCGCTCGAACATCAAATGCTAATGTTGTTTTTAGTTTTGCTCTGGGAGCGAAAGATTATTGCATGCCGTTTACTACTGTTAAACACCATCCCAGAGAAAAACGCTGATGACGTTTGGTTTTGTGGTGAGAAACTCACTCAGGAATAGCAACTAGGTTCATGAATATTGTGTGCATGAACTGCACTTTGTAACTTCTAAACAACGCATTCCAAAATGAAACAAAAAGAAATATATGGAAAATAAATTTTATTAACTAGTTGAGCTACCATAAATAGAACAACAAACAGAACAAGTCAACAATACAGTAAGTAAGAAAAACTGAAATCCATTTTAAACAGTCTAACAACATCTTTTTGACGCCTCCCTCGTGTTAGCGTTTCTCTTCGCAAATTCTCTACCACGACGACATCAAGAGAAAAATTAAGGAACACTTAATTTGTTTTACGTAAACTTAACAATATCACTCTGACGCCGCCAATAATGCTGTAGTAGAAAACAAAATGAACAATGAAGAAAACAGCGATTTGGCGCTTAAAAAAAGTTTCATCACAACCAGTTTTATTGCTGCTTTCAGCGGCAGTGGCGCATTTATTGTTTTTTATAAAAAAAATACGTCATAGGAATGGACAAAATTATTGCTAAATCTTGGCTAAGTCGAAGGGACAGTAGTTGAGCAAATATTTCAGCGCGTCACTGTACGAGTGTGCGAGTCGATGGTCGCAGCCTTGGTCAACGTGATCAGGGCGCGTCAATGATCAACGGCGACGCTGGCCGCGGTGGCGCAGGCGGTCGCACGTTGGTCGCGGCGTCCGCGTCTCATTCAAACACCAGCGGGACGTCCACGCCACCGTTGTACTTGTGCTTGTGCTTGTCGTAGAGCGCCCGGAGCTCCACACAGAACCGCGCGTGCAGCGCCTCGATGTCCTCCTTGGTCGGGTTGATGTTCTTCTCCACCTCGAGAGGCTCGCCCACTGCACAGACCAACGGAGAAGCAAGAGTGAGGCGACTGATCCCGCGGTCAATGCTGTCGCCGCTCTGTCTCTCTCGCACTCGCGGCGCGTCCCGTCCCGGATGGGTGCGAGCGTCAGCGCGACGAAGACGAAACGCTGTGCAAATCAATTGTAAGACAACATGGCGCCGAGCTTACCCACGACGGTGACGGGGGAGCGGTGCGGCAGCAGGCCGAACGAGTACTGGAACATGCCGCGGCCCCGGATGATGACGGGGGCCATGCCGATGTACTTCCGGAGCAGCTCCTGGCAGCGGTAGAACAGCGAGTCCTGCTCGCTGCTCACCTGGTCGTACACGACGTGCTCGCCGAACGAAAACACGGGCACGAGCGGGGACCTGGCGGGAAGTTCAAGAACCGTGGACAACTTGGAAATCGCTGGATATTAGTTGGAAATTCCGCCCCCAACCACGCCACTGGCGGAAAAGATGCTCTCGGATGATGTCGGCCTGGTTCGAGATAAGATTAGCAGCAGCCAGTCCAAGAGCACTTGCGCCCACCTTGGCCGCAAGATAAATTAATCTCTGCAGTACACTTCAAAAGAAATTGCGCCGTCTGTGATGTCATTGTCATTGGCAAGCATGAACTGGCAGTTCGACAGCGCGTCGCGCAAAGTGTCAGGAGAAAAAAAAGATAAAAAAAAATTCCAAGGATGTCTCCAAGGGGACTCGCGACGAGTGGCGAGCCGCGCGCCGCCGCCGTAGACTCCACGATGACCTACCCGTGCTTGAGCGCCAGTCTGCAGAAGCCCTTGCGCTTATTGATGAGGATGCGGTACATGTTGGGCCTGGACATGAGCGCCTCAGCCGCGCCGCCCACCACCAGCCCCACGACGTGGCCGCCGCCCGGGGTGCTCAGGGTGGCGTTGATGGCCTCCGGGGCCGCCGACAGTGCACCTGCAACGTCAATTAAAGTTAGAACGGAGCACCTCTACTCGGGGACATCCTAACTTTCCACAAACAGTGCAGAAGACCTGGCCGAGCGATATGCCCCGCGCGAGAGACTCTGGGCGCTAGCGCGCTAGCCTCGCGGGGGGTATTGACGGTCGTTTCTTTCCACTCTGCCGGCATTGCAGTGAAATCAAGACTGCGCATTCCGACTCCGAGAGCCATTCTCGCGCAGGTCGCGGGTTTCCCGTCGTGGACGCCCTCTCCCTTCATCGTCACACCATGGTGCACTGCTCCGCCACTCACCCAACATGAGCCCCACCTCCCTCGAGAAGGGCGCCTGGAAGTGCTGGTGAAGGCTGAGCAGGTGCGTCTTGTGGTGGGGGAACACCTTGTCCACGTCGAGGGCGTTGGTGCACAGCGCCGAGAACACGCCCGTGGACAGCACGCCGTGGGGGTAGATGCAGAACAGGTAGTTGCGCTTGGGGTCCAGGTCCGCCGTCTTCACCATGCTGTGCGGGAAGTACTCAGCCATGTAGCGCCACCACGCCCAGTTGCGAACCCAGTTCGTCCTGCAAGGGAATGCCAAAGCACGTCAGTCAGTCCTCCAGCGCGGCGCGTGCGTTGGGTTGCCTACCGCCGCGGCGAGCGGCGACCCCCTCTCTCGCCCCACTGAGCCCCACTCAGAAGAATCGTAAAGAATCGTCGCTCCGTCTCTCTCGCACCCCTATGAAACGTCCGACAGAACGTGCGACAGAGACAGAGCGAGGGAGCGACTGTCCGGAATCAGTCGGCTGCTTTCATCAGCTTCAATGCACTCCATGGCACTCCCGGTGCGGGCCGGGCTGGGCCGGGCCGGCTCATTGAGACAACGACTGCTAAACATCGAGTTCCGGCGACGCGTCCTGTAGCGCTGTGGGCCCCCGCCCCACCTCCCCGGAGGCAAAGGGTTCCAATGACGCAGTGCTCACCATCGGTAGCCCGAGTAGCAGGCGTCGTCGTAGTAGATGAAGACCATGTAGGCGATGGCCAGCCACCAGTAGCTGGTGTAGAAGATCATGTAGACGATGGCGCCGTAGCCGAAGACGGGGCCGAACACCAGCAGCACGAACCAGCCCACCACGGACAGCGTCTGGAGCCGCCGCTTGAGGGGCGTGTTCAGCGGCGCCCAGCGCACGCCCAGGAACTCCATCTGCAGATGAGAACACAGAGCGTGATAATAAGTCGGGCCGCAAATCGCGTTAGGCCGGACGAGAAAACGTCGAAACGCGAAGGCGGAGCGCGAAACGCGGAGCACGTGTCGCGACACTGTGCAGGAACAGCGATACGGTAATCAGAACACCAATTCTAATGCGACCTTGGCGGTGGGCTCGACGGCAAAGTTCGCTACTGAACAGTAGTAGCCTCTTTTTTGCTGAACTTTCCCGAACGCGTGCCGCGTGCTCGGTGCCCCTGGCGGAGAGGGGCCGGCCCTAGCCCGCGCCGCAGCGTCGCCAGGTTATTATTAAAGCCCTGTGAGGGCCTTGGCCCTTGGGCCCTGCAGTGCACGAGCACTGCACACACACACACGCACACACACATGTGGTGCGGCGCGACGGCGGACGACCCCACACTACAAAGAAGGTTTCTGGTTCAAAATTGGAAATTACATGCCATTTTCAGCCCCGCTTCCCTCCTTGGATTCGCAATCAGGCACCCCTCCCTCTTATCGAGCCGAAGGGCAGGCGGGCACGGCAGGGCGGCAGGGCAGGCGGGCAGCCACCGGTAGCAACCCTTCTCTTCTTCCCTTCTTCCCCCTCCCTCAAAAAGAGCAGCTTCGATCACGCCCCTCCCCTCCGGACTACGGACCCCCCCGGCGCGGAGAGCGGGCGGGACGGCGGTGGTACATTCGGGGCGACGGGGGCGTTGCTCCCCGTCAGCTTCCCAGTGGCCGTCACCGCGAAGCCAGGCGAAGCGCGAAGCCATGGCGAAGCCCACCCCCACCCCTTCCCCCCTACCACCCTCCTTTCCCTTTCCCCGGCCGACCGGCGATAAGACTGCACTCGGTGTACCTGCACGAGGCACGATGCATCCACTCAAGCGCTTTGGAAGGCAAATTGGTGCGGCCCCATTGCGTAACAACTGGCCAACCGGCACTAAACTCGAAACACGCCCAACCACCTCATTCACCTGCATTTCCCACAGAATGTAGAATGTAGGTGTAAAATCGCCTCCGAATGACGCGCCCGCGCCTCAATTCAAACAGCCCACCAGGTGAGCCGCGCCACCGCCTTCTCACCTGGCCGCGCCGCTGCCGCTCCAGCCGGCCAGCCAGCCAGCCGGCCAGCCGGCCAGCAGCCAGCCGGGCAGGCAGACAGGCAGGCAGCCAGCAGCCAACCAAAACAAGCCAGCAGCCAGCCGGCCGCAGTTAACACGGCACGGCGGCCACGTAACGCGGTAACACCGCGCCAGACGATAATTGTCCCAAAACAAATAAAACGCTTGCAGCGTTGCACGTACCTCTGCTGACAAGGTCCTCGCGTGCGTCCGACAGGCGTCCTCGCGGCCTCCAGCGAGGCGCGGAGTGTCAGTGGCACGGAGTCACGCCACCGGCGCGCAGCTCGCGCAGCGCAGCGTAGATGAGGTCGCCGAGCCCGACCCGGTCAACATAACCTCACTTGGGGCACGCTGGACGCGCTGACGCTCTTGCGAACGCTCGGCGCGTACTTCCTCGACGGACGCGCGTGCCGCGGAAATCGGCGTCGCCCGCTACTACTGCGCCCGGAACGTGTTCGAAGAGCGCGGCAACGCCCGCGCGGTACGCGAGGCGGTTTGATTTCGATCGCCGTGAATGTGACTGGGCCGAGCGCGGAGCCGCGGACTGGAGCGCGGTGCGGCAGCAGCAGCAGCGGCAGCGCGGCCCGACCAAAACTGGAAAACGCTAGCCGGTGCGACGCGGCACGCGGCGCGCTTCGTCTCGTGCGTGTGCGTGGCAAGGTGCGCGGCCGACGCACGTCTCGACACAGCGCGCCGCGGACACGGACTGGTACTGGTTTTAGGCCCCTCCGCGCCGCTACTCTCCGCTGCCGCGCCGCCGTGCCGCCGCGTCGAGCCTCGCCCCCTTCCCGCTCAACCCGTCGTGGTCGTCCTCGTCCTTTCCCTGTCCCGTCCCCGCGGCCGGCAGCACGGCGCAGCACGGCGCAGCACGGCCGCGAGCCGAAGCCGCCAAGCCGCACCGGGTCAGCCGAAGTCCCGGCCCGCGGCCGCGCGCCGCGAGAAGCCGGTTGCCCGAACCGCGGCCGCGGACCGCGGTGACGACGATTCGCGCCTCGCGCCTCGGCCACCCGGCCGCGGTCTCCCCCCTCCTCCTCCCCTCCTCATCCTCACCGCGTCCAGCGCGGCGTCGCGCGGCGTGGCGTGACACGGGCGGCGCGGGGGAAGGGGGAGGGGAGGGGATGCCTAGACACTTAGACATTGTCGCAAGTAGTCGCGGTCAGTCCTGTACTGCCCGTCTGGCCCTCTGATCACTATCGCCCGGTTCAATGGATCGATGGTCAGGCTCAAACTCAGAGACGAGACGACAAGACACCCAGCGAGAACTGGAAAGGGAGGGGCGGGGCCGGCGTGGCGTGGCGTGCTGACAAGGTGCCGGTCAGCTGGAAAAACGGCGAGGCGCTCGCCTTGCTACTACACTGCTAGAAACGGGGCGGCCGTCACTTGGACGCAGGGAATGTAAAGATGGGACAATCAAACAGACACTCTGGGAAACAAACAGGATAAAATTTATTCAAAATTGAAACAGTTAAAAAGGTGTCGCCGAGTTTGGAGATTCACTCAATGGTAAGCTGGATGTCCTGGCCGGGGTGGTAGGTCTCTTTGTGCGTTTCGAACAGCTTGACGAGCGCATCCTCGAACCGCCTGTTGAGGTCCGCGATCTGCTCGTCCGTCGGCTCGGCCACTCTGTCCACGGCAACCGGCGCCCCTACTGCAAAGACACCACACACTCGTTAGAGGTCACTCCAAAAACACGCAGTCGCCGCGAACCGCGACCAGAACGCCATTTCTGGGCGGGTATCCGAAGTGTACCGGGCGACGGGCGGCGACCGCGAGACTTGGCCAGACTTGGCTCGCCGCGAGCGGAAAGCAGGAAGAGCGGCCCAAAATTAGCAGCAGTAATAAGGGGTCGGCCGTAAACCGCGTCAACGAAAGACTGATTCTGATCCTGCGGCACAGTCTCGGCGCTCTGTCCAGTCCAGGGGCGGCTCCAGAAAAATTTTGGGAGGAGGCATTTCAGGTACATTTAGCCTTCTGACAGGAGGAGTGTCAGGCTTGTTGCCAAACCGCAAACTATGGGCACTGGGTCGGTCATCGCCCCATGGCCATGGAGCCCCCATGAGCAGCCACTGGACTGGCTGTCCCTCTGCTCGCACCGGCACGGGAAGTCCCACGAGTGCGACAGAGACCGGGCAAGATTCGGAACACGCGTAAACTTCGGAAAGGCCTGTTTGCAGGTATAAGAGGGAAAGGGGAGGCGTCCACGAATAAACAACCCCTTCTCGCGGTTTTGGGACCGGCCCTGCAGACTGATTCCGAGAGTCACTGAGTCTCTTACCTCGCTCTGTCTCTCTCGCACCCAGACGGGACGACCCACGAGTGCGAGAGAGACAGAACGACGATAACAGCTCTCGGAATGGCGGCAGGCGAGCGACTTACCCACGACGGCGACGGGCATTCGGCGCGGGGCGAGCCCGAAGGAGTACTGGAACAGGCCGCGGCCGATGGGTAGAACGGGGGCCAGCCCGATGCGGCGCCGTAGCAGCTCCTGGAAGCGGTGCAGCCTGGAGCCACGCGGGTTGTCCACCTGGTCGTAGAGGTTGTTCTCGCCGAAGGAGAACACCGGCACGAGGGGAGTCCTGCCAAACAGGGAGAGAGAAAACTAATTAGACATCCGGCATAACTTGAACTTGCGCCCTGTCCATGTCGGCGGGGGAGGGGGAGGAGGGAGGGTAAACTGCTCACACACACCCTTCGGCACTAGATTGGCCGCCTAGAAGGTACGCAACAAGCACCACTTGGCCCCTGTAAATAGGCTGGGAAAATCCTGGATCCGCGCCTGTCGTCACTCTCCCAACTCACCCTTCCTGCAGAGCGAGGCGACAGAACCCCTGGCGCCGGCGCAAGATGATGTGGTACTTGTTGGGCCTGGACAGCAACGACTCGGCAGCGCCCCCGACCATCAGGACGGCCATGCGCCCCCCGTCAGGATGCCGCAGGATGTTCGTGATGCTCTTGCGCGACGAGGACACGGCGCCTGGACATTGCAAATTCGTCAAAGTATGTACAGTCGCGGCAGAAGGGGCGGCAACAAACTTGATACCGGCAGATGCTCACCGACGCCCAAGGCAAGGTCCCTGACGAAAGGCGAGGCGAAGTGCTGCGGCAGCGTCACCAGCACGGACTCCATGTCGGGGAACACGGTGCTCACGCCCGCGGCCTCCGTGCCGAACGCGCCGAACGCCCCCGTCGAGATGATGCCGTGCGGGTAGGCGCACAGCAGGTAGTTACGCTTCGGGTCCAGCTCGGCGGTCTTGACGAGCGTGATGGGGAAGTAGCTGCAGAAGTAGCGCCACATCGCCCACCTCCGCACCCACCCGGACCTGCACAAGCCGGCCGTCAAAAGCGGTGCTATCGCGCTCCAGGAGCCCACGAGTGCGAGGGAGACAGCAACTAAATTCAGACACTACAGGTCATCGCATACTGTACCTCCGGCCGCCTTCCTCGCTGGTGTTCCTGTCCAGGAACATGTAGGCCAGGTAGGCCAGCACCAGCCACCAGAAGCGGGTGTACATGGCGGCGAGGGCCAGTACCACCCACGCGATGAAGCCCCCGAACACGAAGGTCACGAACCACACCACCACGGCCAGCGTCTGCAGCCGGCGCTGCAGCGGCGTGTTCAAAGGCGCCCATTTCACCCCGAGCATCTAGACGGACAACAAAATACAACTCATTCCCTAAGCCACTCCTTTCCTGCGCCGGCCAAATTTGTTATTGTTTGGCGGTGACTGTCAACAACAACAAGAACAACCGAGACGAGGCAACAAAACACGAGCCGCGTGCCGTAGAATAAGAAGGCGTTTTGTACTCACGCTGAATGTTACTGCCGACGTTTAAAACGAGTACTGATGCGATGCGTCGCAGTCGCACCGCGGAGAGCCGAGAGTCTGTCTCCGACTCCGCCTAGCCTCCGCCCCGCTGGTTTGCTCTGTCGAATCGGCCGGCCAGCGAACGCACGGCTGTGACTGCGGCCTGCGGGAGCGGCGGCCCGGCGGGGGCGGGGCTGCGTCAGAAAACGGCAGCGAGTCGCCCCCAGCTTCAGTCTGCCATCTGATTCCGAGCACCGCTTTCGTCGCTCTGTCTCTCTCGCACTCATGGGGCGGTCCGTCGGGGTGCGAGAGAGACAGAGCGACGAAGCAGTGTTCGGAATCAGACGGCTGCTTCAGCCAGCCAGCAGACTGATTCGACTGATTCCGAGAGTCGTCTTCGTCGCCCTGTCTCTCTCGCACTCAAAGGAACGCCCCGTGAGTCAGTGCGAGAGAGAAAGAGCGACGAAGACGACTCTCGGAATCAATCTGTCTGCTCTCTGCTGTCTGATCCCGCACCCCCGCGTTTTGATGCCCCCTGTCGCACTCGCAGTGCGGCAACTGGAGGGCGTAAGGGCATCCGAGGGAAGGGGTACAAATGGGATACTAATCGAGATGAGCTGCGAACCAATCAAATGATTGGCAGGGTGTATGGCTCAATCAGTTTCAAGTCTCCAAATCCTTCTGCTATTGATGTGAACGCAACCCGGCAATGCCCCCCCCCCCCAAACAGAAGTGTTATAATTTGATTATGAGGTTTTACGGCCACGTTTTCACACATGCCATGCAAATTCTTGCGTTTTTACGATGTAAAAATTGTGCCCCCTCCTTTTCTTCCCTCTCCCCCCTCCATCCTTTACAGCTTGCACCAACGGGTCGCGTGGTTTCGGCTCGGTCCCTCCCTGTAGGACGAAGAGAGCGCTGCTTTAGGCATTTTCCACTGTGTGGCAAATCCTCGATCCTCGCTCCGGCATGCCCCGGCAGCACGTAGCGTGCATTTCCAGGAAAATTCAGGTGACCCTGCGGTGACTCATCGCCTCTCTCCGGCAATGCTCCCCCCTCCCTCCCTCCTCACCACCCCTCACCTTCCCCTCTCGCGCGCTCCGCTCGCCGCCAGACGCACGCACACGGCAGCAGTTGTTTCCGGCTTCTCGTCAGCGACGGAGGCAAGGCGTGTGAGGTTTGGTGTAGCTGCAATCCCGACGTTGATCCAGGCCCTTGAACGCGTGCGCGTTATTTAGCATTTCTCGTGTTTTGGCGAGAGATTTCTGCTTGTGTTGCTGGCGCGCGCCCTCTGCGCGGAGTGTGCTGAAAGCACGGGGAAAGCACGACAGACGCGCCGTCAGGGCAGACACCACACCACCACTCTGTGTTGTCCTGGCGCTTGTTTGCATGCTACGCCAACTTATCGCCTTCGTATATTGATTGACCTGCATTGCCGCTTCTAGAACGTCGCTTTTGCCGCTTCGTGGAGTTGCTTTCCCACCAGGTTTGTGTTTTACATCGTGTTGGATCACAAGGCTGTCCCTGACGCTTTGTGTTCGGTCTTTGTTTTGATTGGGAGTACAAACCTTATCAGTACATAGTGCGTACACATACACAGCAAGGTACTTTAAGAAGCGGTTGCAAAGTTTTCTACCTTTATTTCCTGCGTTATGTGTCTTGAACGTGTCGAACCCTTGTTTCGAAGGATTAGTCCCTATACTTTTTGTGATGGCACAGGCAACAGAGGTTATGTCACCACTAGCTAGATTTTAGCGTCTGGTTCAGGACTCTTAATGCTCATTCTAAAACTGATTTGTTTTGTATTTGATATGTTTAGATTGAAATGCGGTCACGAAGCCGTTCCCCTGCTCGCAGGCATTCTCCACCCCACAGAAGCAGGTAAACGTCAGATCTTGTCTTTGAGAGAAGAGTTTAAACAATGTCTTTTATGTATCTTTTGTACCTATTTAAATTGGCATTGTGTCTGTAATTTTTTTTTTTAATACTATCTTAACATTGCAGGAGTTCTTATGGTAATGGAGAGTCTTCAGGATCGGCCAGTGACAGATGTCTGCATTGCATGCAAACAGTCAGACGGTTAGTTACCGAAAGAAGTTTTTCTTCTTACTTCTTCGTGTATTAGGAGCTTTGAAACATTTGATATTTCAGGCACCACCCTGGTCCCGAGGGGGCGCTTCCTGATAAGGACACCCTTAAAAACATGATTGTAAATCCTCAAGGAGCAAGGCCACAGTGTGGCCAAACCATACCCGTCGAAGAGGTGCAAATTCCAAGACGCTATGGTGAGTGATCCTGACCAGGGTCCTTCAACCACTATGGCTGTACCGGGTCTGGTCGTCATAATAGAAGCACGTGTTGCCGAAATACAATTTCAACAAGAACGTTAATTCTTATCCATATCATATTACCATTATTTGCTCTTCTCTCTCCGGAATAGCCGTGGTTCGTTCAAACTAACTTAACTTTAATGTAAAGATTGCAAACTTTTACTATCTTTAACCTTGGCTTGATTTAAGTTTTAGATGTTTTGTCTTTTGAGCAAGTTTTTCTTCAACAGTAAGAGTTTATTTCAGCTACTGAACACACCTATCATATAAATCTACAATGCCTTTTAAAGTGAATTTTCCCCAAGTTATTTTAATAATTGGTCTTGCTAAAGTAAATTTTATCAGCAAGTATGTTACTTGATTTTCTGAATTGAGTTTCATTGATATCTCTTAAGTTTTCCTTCCTTTGGTAATTAACGTATAAATGCAAATCTTTTCAAAGTTTTCCTTGTTTTTTGAGTATTTTTGAACAGTTTGTTGTGTCAGTACATTATGGATTAGTGGACTTCATCTATAATCAGCTGAACCAACAGCAATACCAGCAGCCATCGAGGGATAACCGTGCCAGTCATCAACGCCGTCTGGACAACACTTTTCATTTGCGCTAAGCTTTGATTTGATTAATGCTCAGATTAATAGTCAATTCAGATCAAATCTTCATTTCAAATATTTATTCTTCTGTTTGTCATCTTTGTTTAAATCTTCTCTGGTTTTTTCTTTTGTTTTCAACTTTATCACCTTAATCTTCAGTCAGATTGACATATTCTTTGATACATACCTAATATTTTATGCACTTGTTTTCTAATTTTTTACCACCGTGAATTGTGGATAAATCTCAGTTTTAAAAGAATCTTACCAGAATTATTTGTCTCTCGGATCAAAGCTTGCGCCTATGAAAATCACCTTTGGAGTCTTGTGGTATGTGGCATGATTTTCTTTTATCTACTAGACTAGTTAAGATCTGTACTGTTGTTTCACAGCAGTGCAGGTCCTCCTGTAGCTCGCAGCCAATGGCTCTCTGAGCCAGATTGTCTTTGTTCTTTTTTGGCTGCCAAAATAGTGAGGCTGATCAGTTTTCCTCACTAGAGCACATTTTTATGTGCTCATAGAGCTGCATGAGCATAACTGTGGTAAAAGTTCCCACACAACATATCAGCAATGCCATGCCTCAAATCAAAGTTGTCTGTTTAATTCGGATAATATCAAATTGGAACAAAACTTAGTTTTGCACATGAAGAAGCTATTTGCTCTTGAACTTTGGCTGAAAATAACGTACAATATAAATCTATTTTAACTTCCTTAAAAAAGTATAAGATTATTCTGGAGCATTATAAGTATAACCAAGACAGATCAACAAGAAATCCAGCAACAGCACATCAAGAGACTGACCCAGCATGGAAGAAAGAAGACTGCACAAGAAATCAATTTCTGTCAAAAGCAATTTTATTTATTTTTGAAATCTTCTATATGAATGAGAGTTTTAAAGTAAGGCACAAGGAATGAAATTCTGTCTAAACAAAATTCATTTTTATGACAGTTTTGAAACCATTTTATACAGAGTTTCAAAGTAAACAGTACAGGTTGAGGAAGAATCTTCCTGAATACAGGTCACATTCTTTGATTGCATTTGACTAAGATTATTAAGTCAGCAGACTGAATGCTGCTATTTCTCTACAGTCAGTCAAAATGTCACTAGTTGACGACAGAACAAGATGTTGCTGCGATAAGAAGAGGATGTCATAACCGCCAAGAAGAATTGACAAGAAGAGAAGCTGAACCTGGAATCACTACTACGCCCAATTCATTATGATCTTTCTTAACTAATTAATCATTCTCTGAATCAACATGCAGTAATTTATGTTCCTGAAATTAAACTGAAATGGCCACATCTCTCATTGAATTGAAAGGAGAATGGTTCTGAAATTTAATGCTTATTTGGGAATATTTGGTTTAACATTTAAAAAAATACATTTTCATCTTCCCTGAAGTAGTCTCAAGTTTATCCAACTACCCACGCGTATGGGCGTTTTTGATAAAGATAAAAAAATCTCGACAGCTAATTATATTTTTTTGCAGGTAATTTCTTAGTTAAAGTGCAACCAACATCGTCATATGTTTCTTGACACCAGTGACAGCAAATTTTTCACAATTTGATCATATCTTTGACTGTTTGAATTTGGTTGGTTTGCATGGGATTAACTCCTATTGGCATCTGAAGAGCCTGATCTTTGAAGAACTTAAGCAGATTGTTTGCACTTTTCTCGTCATTCTCTGTCATTATTCTCAGTAACAGCAAGAGGCTCATGCTTGACTGAGCCGTTGTTGAAAGTCCAGCCCTGAATCAACCTACATTCCAATTTGCACTCTTTTGCCGTATCAAAAGAATTGAAGCTCATAGAACAAAATATTTCACTCAATTTATCTAAAATTGCTCTTTATCAACTTTTAGCTAAGCATGGTTTTGCTGAGGCACATTTGTGACATCATCAAAGTGTGTTTTGAAATTTTTTCTTGACTTGAGATGAATGTAAGTGCTTTTTACAATTCTCAATGTAAGTTAATTGTTTGGGACAGAAAGTTCTAGTTCATATGTTTCCAAGGATATGAAAGCAAAGCACGCAGTTTATGTGGGTAGGTCCACATGTCAGAAGCACTCTACAGATCACCATGTCTTTCCTCTTCAACCTGCACTATAGAGAACTCTCTTGTAACATTTTTAAATCAAGTTGTCTTTTTAAAAGTAGTCTCATTTAATATTACATATTAATATTACATTTGACCTCCTCAGTTATTTATATTTGATTTGGTTTACCTACAAAGAACACATCCAAAATTCTTAATTATGCAGCCTATGAGGTTGTTTTGATTCTTTCTGTAACTTTGCTCTTGGAGGACATCCTAAGTCACTATCACATAGGCTTTATTTGTTTCAAAGCGGAACTTGATCTAATATAATTATCACTTATTAAAAGCAGCATTAAGGTGAGTGTCATGATAGACACCACTGCATTTGTTGTATTTTATTTCAGTCACATTACTTAACAACTTAAGAATTGATCTAAAAGTTTTGGTCTATTTAACTTGTCAACTCATTATTTGTACTATGGTAGTGTCATAAAAGAAAATTCCAACCGTTTTTTTGTCTACTTTCAAAGTTTGGGGTACTGAGGTAGTGTCATAAAATAGAATTCCAACCTTTTTTTTTCTACTTTCAAAGTTGGTTTTCATTCACTGAATCTATGATTACCAAATTGTGTTGACCTTCTCTCAACAAACTACTCGGAAATCTCAAGATCTCAGTCTTCTGCAAGACGGCCGTCCAAATGCTGGATCATTTAGTCTTTGGCTTTGTGTAATGATCTAATGATAGCATAGGAGACAATTGGTTTCAAAGTGCAGTTGATCTTTTCCCTTTTTCTCTAGACCTAAATTTTATTTATTCTCAGTGATAATTTCATTCAGTTTTCGTGTTGAAGAAAATGAGCGTTGTTACTAAACAGTACAGTGGTTTCTTTACAACTTGATGATCAGAGTCAGAGGGGGACATTTTTTTAGGCTTCTGGTGTGTTTGGGTTTGCCTTGCTTACTCGTGTCCTGGAGAATTAGAGATGACTGAATGTAATTATCTGTGTGGTAATTTCATTTGGTTCTGGAACTTTCTGTCTGCATACAGATCTGTACCTGCTGCCTATCGGGTTCAGCGCCTTAACCTCTGCTCATTGTAGAGGGATGTTTGACTTTGAGAGGTAAGACTTGTAAAAACTGATAAAATTTAATTGTAAACTGCTCTTATAAAGATTTTTTAAAAGTAGCAGATACTTTGATGATGTCACTAACTCACAACACAGACATACTACATGTGCATGCCAGAATAAGTAGTAATAAGTTCCTTTGTTGTATCAACTGTATTGGAAAGGTGGTAGTGGCCACAAAGCAATATTCTATGCAACAGATTTTTTTTCTAATTGAATCAAACTTAATATTCTTTGTGTTCTGTTCCACCTTTCAATGTTGATGCGTGTTTTTCTTGTCACATCTGTTCCAATTTACTTTATCGTCTTTTTTCCATCTTGGCCACAGGTGAAGGAATAGAGCCGCTATTTGGCTTCATGTCAGCCCGCAGAGTTGTACAAATATTGCCTGTCAGGCCTGATGAAGGTCAGTTATGAGGTCTTTCAGGATTTCAGACTTTGATTGCTGCTTTCTGATATGTCATTCGATTTTCTGAATGAATTTCTTATGGCTTCATTTCTATTGCAGGAAACAATCATGCCAGATCTAGATCAAGTTCAAACCAAAGAGATAGTAGTCGAAGGTTTGAAAGACACGACAGTAGAGGCAAGTACAGCATATCTGTCATCAATTAAAATTTGTAGCTTTGTTTCCTTCTATGAAATGTGTAGGTTTAATCCATATATTTTTTTGTAAAATTTTCAGGCGATAGTTCAAGAAGACCTCTTGATGGTTATCGCCCGGACAGGGATGATGAAAGAAAAAGAGAAGAACGGAGAAAAGATAGAGAAAGGGAAGAAGAGCGAAGGAGAGAGCTGGCGCGAGACAGAGACCGAGAGCGCGAGCGCAGCAGGAAGAGGGAGGAGCCAATTAAAACAGAGCCAGAGGAAACAGAAGCTCCTACGGAAGATCAAGAGACCCACGAAAATGGAGGACCTGTAAGTTTAAATGAAAATAAATTAAAGTATTCAGTTCAGAGATAGATTAAAGTGAATGAAGTTGTTCAGTGAAGAAGTTTTTGATATTACCAAGAACATATTATAAAATCCGTGTTTCTGTTTATAAGTTTCTCTTTTGATGTGTGCTTTCAGTCTCATGGAGGGCATGGTCCGAGGCCACCACAATTCAGACCTCCCGTGCGGCCGCCCATGTTTTACCCGCCACATGCGTTCCCTCCTCCCATGGGTCCACCAATGTGGGGACCTTATCCACCCCCACCCAGGCTTTTCCACCCCAGTAAGTGGAGCAAATTTCCTTACACTTTATCTTCAATTGAAAAAAAAAAATCTGAAAATTTGGTTTTTTTTAATTGCAGGACCGAATATTCGCCGCCCTCCTAGGTTTTGATTCAACGAGTTGTTGTAATTTATTAAACAAGCAGAAGAAGTTTCTCCAAGTTTTTACTGCTTTTAAACTTTGTTGAGGCTGATCAAGTTTTAATCATGAAACATGTAATGGAGCATGCATACACTTTCCAAAATGTAAATTCAAAGGGCCCATGTACAGGACAAGATGTGCATTTTAGATTTTAAGATAAAATAAATTGTTTTTATTTGTTGACGTCAAGGTTTTTATTTCTTCCCTTTGATCATGAAACAATCACGACTATGTTGAGACTTAGTTTTCCTCTTAATCGAGTCACAGAAAAGAAGTTAGGGAACAAATAATGTCTCAATGGGGGTTCCTGGCGAATATGTGGCTACAGCGCCCGCTCGTCTTACGCACCCTTTAACGCCTGTAGACCCTGCCCGCAACACACTGGTGTGAAGACGGTGGCCTACCTCGCCCCTGTCGTCTTCACAGGGGCGAGGTAGGCTACCGTCTCCACACCGGTGTGTCGTAGGATGGGCTCGTGGCCTACCTCGCAGGCGCTTACAGTCACTGCAGCAAGCGGTGCTCTCGCTCTGGGAGGACAGGAGGGCCAACAGGTCTCCCAACAGAGATGTCCCTTAGATTGCGCGAGACTCTTCTCGCGGCGTGCGGGCCGAGGCGCACCACTTCCACTGCAGCGCGTGGGGGCCGTGCCTGGCCGTGCTGTGACGTCTGGGGTGGTCTGGGGCCCGTATCCGTCCTGGCCCAAGGACTGATTCACCACACTTGCCGGCTATCGCTATCGGCGATAAGGAATGCCCGCGCGGCCCTGCGCGTCGTCGCTGTCTCTCTCACCCGTACCGGATGCCCCGTGAGCGCGGCAGGGGCCGAGCGACGGAAGGACGTCTCGGAATCGGCGTGCCGGCGGTATACATACTCACACACTGGCGTGCGGCCGGGTGTTCCACCCTCGCAGTCATCCTCGGAGGTTAGCACGGGTTGATGGAACGTGCAGCCTTCCTCGCACTGAAGCGCTTGCTCGCCCCCAACGAGAACAAGAAGGTCAAGGTGAGGCCACACTGAGATCCAGGATGACATTTTGACATCGAACCGTTCCCCCTGGGCTCGTCCAAAAACGCCACTGTGGGTTCGGCCTCTGGTCCATGGTTAGAGGCGGAGTGACCGGTCTGTAGCGCCTGGTGGGTAGGCAACCAGTCCATCCTGGGGCACACTGGCGTAAGGACGGTGGCGCCGGCCGGCCGGCTTCCTCCTCCGTGGTGGGAACAGGACGAACAGGGACGTGCTTAACATGTTGGCCATGAACTGGCAGGGAGTCTCCTTGGAACGTCACCGCCATGGGAGTGTCCTTCCGCATCGAGTTCGACCGGCCGAACGGCGTGTACTTCCCAGGGGAGTTGGTGGCGGGCCGAGTCTTCATGAACGTGAGCAAGCCCCAGAAAGCAACAGGTAAGAGAGAGACACGCCCGGTCTGTTTCTGTCTCTCTGCATCCTCCTCGTCATAACCGACGCTCTTCGGCCCATGCAGACCTAACCTAACCTAACGGTTCGAGTCAGCTAACTGTTGCTCACTTTTAATTTCATCGACAGGTGTTAGCGTCCAGATCAGAGGCTTGACGTTCTTCGTGTGGACCGAGAGCTTCACAGAAAGAATTAAAAAGCTCAAAGTGCATTACGAACCCGGCACGTTCGTTGGAAACTAAGTGCTTTTTGACAACAAGGCCTACCTCCTCGGCGATAAAACTGGTACGTTTGGATTTGTAGAAGTATGATTTGCGGGGAGGATACCGAAATTAGTGTCCTTCGATAGTGGTGCTAGCTGGGCCAGGCCAGGTGGACGCACCTAAGGCTTCAGTACTATGCTGGCAGTTGAAAAGTTCAACCGCTTGACTTATGTTCCGGTTGGCAGGCGAGGTGGACATCTCCCCCGGCGACCACGAGTTCAATTTCGAATGCCGACTTCCCGGCTCGCTTCTGACGTCCTTCGAGGGCAAGTACGGCGGTACCCGCTACAGTGCCACTGCCAGCCTGCACAGGCCATGGCGGCTGGACCTCAAGGAGAGGGCGGCCTTCACCGTCATCTCGCACCGCGACCTCAACCACTGGACGCAGGCAATGGTAGGCGCCAGGGACGCTCGTCTTCGCTCAAGTCGGCGTCCTAATGGAGGGACACTGGTAGAACCGAAGGCCTTACCATGAGGCTGTGCTTGTTGCAGAGGCCCGCCTCCCACAAGGAGACGAAGAACTTCTCCTGGGGCGCGTCCGGCGCGCTCTCCGTCGACGTGCAGCTGCCGCTCGGCGGCTACGTCCCCGGCCAGACCATCTTCGGCCAGATCCAGGTGGACAACGGCAGCAACGTGCGCGTGGAGCGCGTGGTCTGCACCCTGCACGAGGTGACGGAGGACCGCTCGAGGACAGGCCAGAGGGCCAGAGAGGTTTCGTTGCTGACTGAGGCGTTGCTTGTGCAGGAGGTCAAGTGGACCGCGAACAGGGGGTCGACGACGACGGTCACCGAGGTGACGTCCTCCGTGTTCGAAGGCGCAGTGCAGGCGCACTCCAGCAAGACCATCTCGCTGGCCATGCCGGTTCCCACCGTGGCGCCCTCCAAAGAGGCGCTATTCTCGCTCATCGAGCTCAAGTACTTCCTGAGGGTGCGTCCCGGCCGCCACCATGTGCTCCAGCATGCCGACCTCAAAACTAATTTTGAATGGTGGTGCTCGCGCAGGTGACAGCGGAGGTCTCCGGTTACCGTGGCAACCTGCACTACGACTTGCCCGTCATGGTGGGCACCATCCCCGTGTTCGGCCCAGACGACCACAAGGCCGAGAAGTCGGACAGGGCATCGCCGCCGCGCAAGACGGACCTCCGTAAGCCCCCAGTCGCCCCGTGCACTGCAGTGCCTCGGCTTTGAAGCTCACTTTGAACGTAAAGTAATGTCGGTTCCTCCCTGCAGCGCCGCCAACGTACGAGGAGGCTGACTTGAAGGGGAAGAACAAATTCGTGAGGCGGTTCAAGTTAGGGCAGGCGCCTTACAAGCCGCGCTACCCTGTGTGGGACTTCAGCAACGTGCTCCGCGGGAAATGACTCATGCCTGCGTCCTGCTCTCAGTGACTTATTTATTCGTTATATGTTGTACTGTAAAAGTATTGTATAATAAATTTTTCTGATAAAAATGGAACAAATTACTTTTGTTGGATGTTTTTATTACTATTGGTGCATGCCTGTGCCCCTCTCATATCGACGACAATGTCTTGTGAAAGTCCTCCAGGCGAAAACACGCCAACGACCGTGGGGAGATTTTGAGTCCGGCAAAGCGTCCCCGAGACCCATGACGGGGCGCTTGAACCCTCCCCTTTGCTTCAACTTTGTCGCAACTGGCTGCACTGTCCGGAGCTCACGTCCTGGGTGGATGAAAATGAACCCTCCACGACTGCATTGCCTTCCCGCCGCCAACGCGGGTTAAGTTCGAGGCCCCATGTCGAGCATTTTTTTCTGCAGGCTGACTCCACGATCAGAGCTTTGTCGCTCTGTCTCTCTCGGGTCGACTGGTCGAGACCTCGGTCGAGACGCGAGAGAGACAAGAGCGACGAAGCGACTGTCCGGAATCAAACCTCGGCATGTGACGACGACGACGGTGACTCACTCTTCCGATGCCACCTGCGGGCCGTGCGCCGCGCGCCGTCATTTTGACGTCCCTAGGCCCTCTGCCGCCGCGTCGACGCTTTATCACATTGTTTTGGCGGTATCGCACTATCGCCGATAGGGAAGGTCTTCCTGCGTACGCGGCCAGAGTGGCCATGCCTCATGGCACATGTGGCATAAGTACTTTTCACTGCCACTGGCTGGGCGCCGCCCGTCCGCCCCTCCTCGCAGAATCCTCGGTGGAAGGTGAGTACGTCAGTGCTTCGGGCGTGGCAGCCTGCCGGCCCACCGCAGCCCTGCGCCTGGGAGGTAGGCAGCCAACCCACCGCGAAGGGCACCGGCGTGCGGAAGGTGGCCTACCTCGCCCCCGAGAGGGAAGACCTTGAGGCTCAAGGCTGGGTGCGTCTGACTGGCCGACCCACACTTTAAACATATATGTAAATTTCAAATTCTCAAAGGTGAGTTGAGCTGCTGCAGTCAGCCAGCATGGCGGTGACCCTCCGCATCGAGTTCGACCGGCCGGACGCCGTGTACCTCGCCGGGGAGTTGGTGACGGGCCGAGTCTGCCTGCACGTGACGAAGCCCAAGAGAGTCACAGGTAAAACGCACTCCACTGGTATGCGTGAGTGCCCCCGCCGCCCCCGCTGCTGATTTTCCTGTAGTCAAATTTCCGGCAGATTTCAGCATCCAGTTGAAAGGCGCGGCCGATGTCAGGTGGAACAAGTCTGTCACGAGGAGCAGTGGCGCCGGCTCCTCCAGCAGGGAGATCAAGAGGTACAGCGCGACCGAAAATTATTTCGTCAACAAAGTCTGCTTCGTGGGTGGCGGAACTGGTGCGTGGCCTCATCCTTTATTCTTGCCTGCGCCATTTCCTTTGCGGGAGATTTCCTCGTAGGATATCAAGAGTGCGTTTGGTGGACCTGGGGAAACGGAGGACTCTTGTCTTTGGTCGCGCTGTTGGCAGGTGAGGTGGACGTCTGCCCCGGGGACCATGAGTACCCGTTTGAATGCCAGTTGCCCGGCGTGGCGCCGTCCTCCTTCGAGGGTGTGCACGGCGGCGTCCGCTACACCGCCAAGGCCACCCTGTACCGGCCGTGGAACGTCGACCACACTGTCAGGGCGGCCTTCACCGTCATCTCGCCCCTGGACCTCAACGACGGCTGGCCGCAGGCCAAGGTAGTGCACTCAACAGCGTGAAGAAGCAAGTGGCGATCCCTAACACGCCCTCACGAGGATACGCTCGCTGCAGGAGCCCGTGCGCAGGAAGGAGACCAAGAACTTCTCCGGCGGGGCCTCCGGCGGCCCGCTCAGCATCGACGTGCACCTGCCAACCGGCGGCTACGTCCCCGGCCAGGCCATCCGGGGGGAAATCCTAATCGAAAACGGCAGCGACAGGCTGGTGCGGCACGTTCTCTTCGCGCTGGAGAAGGTGAGGGCAGGACTGAGGATAGAGAGGTGGGTCTGGCGGAGGCGGTGCCAGGCGGTGCTGACCATGCTGTTGCTCGCAGGAAGTCACGTGGCGCTCGTCCAGGGGCATGTCGCAGGTGACGCGCGCTTCCGTGGCGGCTGCCATGTTCGACGGCGGGGTGGACAAGCAAAGCAGCAAGGCGATCTCGCTGGTGATGCCCGTACCCGCCGTGCCGCCGTCCAACCTGGAGCACTGCGGCCTCATCGACCTGCAGTACTTCGTTAAGGTGCGTCCTGGACTCTGGCCTTTATGGTGGAGCCTCGATGTCGAGTGTAAAACTTGATCAGGGGCACTGTGCAGGTGACAGCCGAGGTCGCCGGCAGCCACCGCGGTCTGCAGTGCGACGTCCCCGTCCTGGTGGGCACCGTCCCCGTGCTCGTCCGAGACGGCACCCAGGAGTCCGCCAGCGCGCCCCATGGTCCACCACCGACGTACGGGTCCGACCAGTTTGAGCCCGACCTCCGTAAGCACCCCGACGCACCGGTTTTAAAAGTGCACTTGAAAACAAAAATCAATTTTTGTATTGTGCCTCCTTTCTGCAGCGCCACCGACCTACGAGGAGAGCGTCATGCAGTCGGCAGACGCGTGCACGACGGGGCAAGCGGACCCGCGGTATCCAGTGTGGGCCTTCAGCAACGCGCCCACCGCAAAATAATGGACTTAGCCAACTAGCAGTGGCCTCGATCGATGGAAAAGCTCACAGACAGATGTTTCGTGGAATGTAAAGAAAATTTTGTGTGTAACAAGTCAATGGAAAATAAAAATAAGAAGAATGGTATTTAACCTGCGTTCTTAAGACCGTTTCGACCATGCCATCGGTGCCCGTGCCCCTCACGTCACTCAAAACTCTGTTCGCGTTGGTTCCCATTCGAACATGCAAACTGGGCTCGCCCGGCGAAAGCACAGCGCGCCAACAACCTGAGGCTGAGGCGATTGTTTTGGCACAGTGTGTCGCCGCGGTACCCACGTTGCTCACGTAATACAGGGGTCTCAGACGGGCGGCCCGCGGGCCGCTCCGGCCCGGAGCTCGGGTGCCACACGGCCCGCAGCGGGCCGCAATGGGAAAGATAGGCGGGCCAGACTCGGGCCGCACAGGTCCAGGCTGGCTGGGCGGCGGCGCGCTGCCTCGTCGCCCAGCTGTCAAACGTGTCAACCGGCCGGCTCGCCGTGGCTGGCCGGCATCTCTCTCGCACTCACAAGGCCATATGGGAGGAACAAGGACAGACAGTCAGCCCGTGCGGCCGAGGCAGCGTAGCGCTGGGTCGCCGTCGCCGCCGTCGCCGCTGCCGTGCGGCTGGGTCGAGTCCGGCGTGTCACACCTTCGCCGCCTCACTCATTTCATCTCCTATCTCTCTTCTTTGCCTTTCTCTCTCTCTCTATGCGGCCCGCAAGCCATGCTCACTCTGAGACCCCTGACGTAATAGTCGTGACGTCTCCAGGGCCATTAATTCCCAGAGTCCCGCCTCCAGTGACTCGCCATCCTTTGGCGGTTATCGCTATCGCTGATGACGATAAGGCCTTCCCGCCCGTCCGCGGCTCGCGGCCACGACGTGCGGAAGGGCCGCGCACTCGCGCAGTCATCGGCGAGGCGCTGCGAGACAGCCTTCCATCCGTCACCCCCGTCACCTCAAGGTCAGTGCAGGTAGAGTGGTATTGGTTTCGCCTGCGGCCGTGTTGGGGATAAAGAGACAGGTGCGTGGCGCGCGAGGTGGCGCGCCGCCAGCCGGCCTGTAGCGCCTACCAACCTTCCTGGAGCGCACCGCGGTGGAGACGGTGGCCTACCCCGCCATTACCATTACCATTAAAGGCTAGGCCACACATGATCGTATGCCATTTCAGGCCCGACACATGCTCGCCTGCACTGGAAAACGGGACATGGCCGTCCTTACTAGGGCGACACGTTATGCCGGCAAAGAAGAACCTCAATTGGTTACATGCTCCCACTCGCAGTACGACCAGTCAGGGAGGAGGTATAGATCCCCGGGAGGGAATGCAGGCCTCCGCCCCAGAACAGCCTCTTTGAGCACCACCGGGTCCGGTGTCCGCCTGCTTCGTCCCCTTGTAGGCCGCCGTCAGGCTGACCGGCAGGCTTCCCATCTGGTATATACCCCACTGCTTGTGTCAATACCCCACGCTCCTTAGTTCTAGCTTCTGCCGTCAGCGCTGTTAGTGTCATTCCCGTACAGTGTCGCGCTCTTTCGGAGCCTCCGTATGTCAACCTGTGTCAAGTCAGTCCGAATTATATCCTTGCCGAGTCAACATGTGCCCATGATTCCCATCCCGTTCAGTATCGACAAGTATTCAACACCATCCATAATCGAGCCAAAAGATGATGCGTAACGTGTACCTAAACTCGCAGACAGCGCTCCGGGGCCGCCGCATCGCAGCCAGCCACCAACCTCACCATGGCGGTGACCCTCCGCATCGAGTTCGACCGGCCGGACGCCGTGTACTTCGCCGGGGAGTTGGTGACGGGCCGAGTCTGCCTGCACGTGACGAAGCCCAAGAGAGTCACAGGTAAAACTGCGCGCCGTAGCAACGCCCACCACCACCGCCTCGTCCCTAAGTTGGAGTATTGCGGGCAGGTTTCAGCATCCAGTTGAGAGGCGTGGCGAACGTGAGGTGGACCGAGAGAACTTCGAGATCGAGACGAAGAGGCTCGCACAGTGAGACCTACAGTGCGTCCGAAACTTATTTCGACAACAAAGTCTTCCTCCTTGGCGGAACAACCGGTGCGTTTTGCTGTGGTTTTGTCTTTATGTTAAATTGTGGATTGGTTACAATCGGTTGAAGCCGCGGTTAAACGGGTTGAAGAGCTCTTCAATCGATAGCGCTTTCTCTGTTGCAATGCGAGGGTGTAGCAGAGAGCAGAGTTATTGACAGAGATGTGACGGTTGGCAGGCGAGGTGGAAATCTCCCCCGGGGACCATGTCTACAACTTCGAGTGCCTGCTGCCCAGTGTGGTGCCTTCCTCGTTCGAGGGCCATCACGGCAGCATTCGCTACACCGCCACGGCCGCCATGCACCGGCCCTGGAAGTTCGACCACACCGCCAAGACGGCCTTCACCGTCATCTCGCACCTGGACCTCAACAGCCGCCTGCAGGCCAGGGTAAGGGTGAATCAACTCATGGCATTTCCAACCGTTGGAGACAAGAACACAACCGCTAACGGTGTGTTGTCATCCTTGCAGGAGCCCGTGTCCTCAGGCGCGACCAAGCACTTCTACTGCGGCCTGTGCAGGTCCGGCCCGCTCAGCGTCGACGTGCACCTGCCGTCCGGAGGCTACGTCCCCGGCCAGGCCATCCTGGGGCAGATACAGGTGGACAACGGCAGCGGCAAGCAAGCGCAGCGCGTGCTCTGCTCCCTGGAGAAGGTGAAGCACCCACCCGCACGACGCACTGGAGTCCAAAGGGTTGCCAACCTCTGCCTGCCTAACACGCCCGTCTCGGGAGGAAAGCCTGGAGACTTTAGGCAGAAGGCTGAGGTTGGCGGTTGGCAACTTTCTCGACACGGTGCATCGTGATTACTGATAATTATGTGGCAACACCGGCGCTGACTGACACACTCCTTGCAGGAAGTCACGTGGCACTCCAACAGAGGCAGGACGAAGGTGACGCGCACCCCGGTGACGGCCACCATGTTCGACGGCGCCGTGCAGACGCACAGCAGCAAGGTCATCTCGCTGGTGATGCCGGTGCCCGCCGTGCCGCCGTCCAACCTGGAGCACTGCAGCATCATCGACCTCCAGTACTTCCTGAAGGTAGCTTTGGGGGCTTTAGGACGCGGCCGTCGACGCTGACGATGTAGAGAGAGTGGTACGACGCCCGGCTGGCGGCCTCTGTTGACGATGCCCTTGCTTGCTGCAGGTGACCGTCGAGGTACCCGGGTTCCACCTGAACCTGCACTGCGACGTACCCATCCTGGTGGGCACCATCCCCGCCTTCGTGCAGGACGGCTGGAACAGGACCAACATGGCCGGGCCGTCCCTGGAGACGCCCAGCGCACCGCCACCCGCAAGTCCACCACCGATGTACCAGTCTGAGCTGCGTAAGTACCCGCCTAAACGCTTTACTTTGGCTAGTTCCAAGGTTTACAAATCTTACGTTTTAAATCGTCTTCCCGCAGCGCCGCCGTCCTACGAGGAGAGCGTCTTGAAGGGGAACAACATCATGGACCCCACGGACACCTACACGATGGGGCAAGCTGACTTCACGCCGCGGTACCCCGTGTGGGCCTTCAGCAACCCGTCCTTCGAAAAATACTGATTCACACGGCCAGCCTGTAGCCTGCTGTGTGCTGTCTCTCTGTAATGTGATATGTTTGTGATATTTGGAGCTTCCAAAGTGAACCTAATTTATACGTTTCGAGTAATGTAAGAAACGGATCGTGTAACACGTGTTTCGGAGAAATTAAAAAGCGAAGTAATGCAATTCACTCCGAGTTCTTGTGACAACCGCCATACCGACACGTCCCCATGTGCACTGCGAGCAAAATCTGCTCTTAACAGTATTTCAGTACACAGGATTTGCCGTACTCACAGCACGTTGTGGTTCTAAGGGAATTCCCAGTACTCGCTAAAAGCGCTACAAGGGTTTGGCAAATCCAGAGGGCTGCCCTTTAAGAAACTATTCCTAAAAACGATGTCTAATAGATGCGAAACGTCCATTTATCGCCAATTCTGTGGTCTAGGTACCATCGATTCGATCGTCAGTCGATCTCGGACCAAACAAGGTTTACCGTATACTTTCTCGCAGTGTTTGAGACCGACCGCCAGCTGAGCGATATCGAAGTTTCGTTTCGTCTCTGTCTCTGTCGCACTCATGGGGCTTACCGAAGGGGTGCGAGAGAGGCAGGATCTTCGGAGTCACTCAGCTGGCGAAGTCACGCCACTGATCTTCGGGCTGAGGCGCTCCGTTATTTTGGCTCGGTGTGTCATGACTGCACTCGTAACTGTGACGTCTCTGGCACACTGTTTTGGCGGCTATCGTCGTTATCGGCGATAAGCAAGGAATTCTCTCCTCGCGGCCACAGCGGCCACAGCGGCCCGTGCGGCATAAGTGCGCCGACCGTCCCCACCGCCTCTTCGGCTGAAAAGCGAAGGTCAGTAGTGCCGCCCCACAGTGGGTAAGTTACACCGATCAGTAGCAGAGAAACGCGTGAATAACTTGACTGCAAACCGACTCGCAGACAGTCTTGTTGGGACGTCAGCGCAGCCAGCCGCGCCGCCAGCATGTCGGTGACCCTCCGCATCCACTTCGACCGGCCGAACGCCGTGTACTTCCCCGGGGAGTTGGTGACGGGCCGAGTCTTCCTGAACGTGAGCAGGCCCAAGAAAGTCAGAGGTGAGCTAGAAGGACAGTAGCCCCGCTCTCCACTTCCCATGCTCGTTTCGGTTTCTTAATCTCAAATTCCTACTGCCTGGACAGCGTTCAGCATCCAACTGCGAGGCTTGGCGGACGTCAAGTGGACCGAGTCCAAGTCCAAGTCTAACAGTCACGGCTCCTCCAGCAGCGAGACGGAGACGTACAGCGCGACAGAGACATATTTCGACAACAAAGTCTACTTCCTGGGCGGCGCAACAGGTGTGCAATTGGTTTAAACCGGTTGGGACTCATTCGATTGGCATAAGTACATGTCCTTCGATGTTGACGCTATCTGTGTGGTGCGGTGCGGGGTGGCGAGCAGAGAGTTTAACAGTTTGACGGTTGGTAGGCGAGGTGGAAATCTCCCCCGGGGACCACGTCTACAACTTCGAGTGCATGCTGCCCCGAGTAGTGCCGTCTTCTTTCGAGGGAGTACACGGCAGCATCCGCTACACCGCTACGGCCGCCATGCACCGGCCATGGAAGTTCGACCACACCGCCAAGGCCGCCTTCACTGTCATCTCGCACCTGGACCTCAACAACCGGCCGCAGGCCAGGGTAAGCTGCACCGCGTTAAGTATTGATCACCATTCTTAATGCAAAAGGGTCACGTTCTATTTCCTGACGCTGTTCGCCTTGCAGGAGCCCGTGTCAGCCAGCGCGACCAAGCACTTCTGCTGCTGCTTTTGCAAGTCCGGCCCGCTCAGCGTCGACGTGCACCTGCCGACCGGCGGCTACGTCCCTGGCCAGGTCATCCTGGGGCAGATCCAGGTGGACAACGCCAGCAGCACGCGCGTGCAGCGCGTCCTCTGCGCCCTGGTGAAGCGGGTCACGTACTACGCGTCGGGCAGCACCAACAAGTCCAACGTCACGGTGGCGGCCACCATGTTCGACGGCGCCGTGGAGACGCACGACAGCAAGGTCATCTCGCTGGTGATGCCCGTGCCCGCCGTGCCGCCGTCCAACCTGGAGCACTGCAAGATCATCGACCTGCAGTACGCCCTGACGGTACGTCCCCCTGAATGGTAAGCCTTGGCGGCGCTTGGTGGTCATTCACTGACTCCTCACTCGCCTCTAGCTTCTAATTGGTGACGTTCCTTTTGCGGCTGTGTGCAGGTGACAGCTGAAGTCCCCGGCATCCGCTTCAACCTGCACTGTGTCGCGCCCATCCTGGTGGGCACCATTCCCGTGTTCGTCGAGGACGGCTGGAATAGGGCCAACACGTCAGGGCCGGCCCTGGCCTCCGCCAGCGCCCCGCCAATGTACAGCCAGTCAGACTTCCGTAAGCAGCCCGATGTTCGTGTTCGGTCCGTTTCGGTTCGTTTCGAAACCAAAATAAGTGTGGTCGCTCTTCCCGACAGCACCGCCGTCCTACGAGGAGAGCGTCTTGAAGGGGAACAACATCATTGATCCGACGGACAAGTACACGATGGGGAAGGCGGACTTCACGCCGCGGTACCCCGTGTGGGCCTTCAGCAACCCGTCCTTCGAGCGTTAGTCGTTGACTTCTCGTCCACCCGTCCACCCGAGGCCAACAGCATCACAAATTACATCAAATTGAATTTTTTTCTAGAATTTTAATACCCTAGTGAGCTAATTCCGACCAAAACACCAAAAAATATTAAAATTTGTTTGCAATTTTTTTTAAAACAAATGTGCACAATTTCATTGGAATTTAACGTTAACAATCCTGTATCGTTTAAAGGAGTACAGAAATGAGAAAAAAAAGTTCGCACCACACAGTAACATTAGTTGAGAACCAACCGGTGTTCTTGTTTGCCGTCGTCGGTCGGACATTGCCGCGCGCCCCTCACATGCCGATGAAATTGTCGAGCAGTAAAAGCACGCCGATGTCAACAAACTTTGTGTATGGCGTCGCATCCCCGAGACTCGAGGCATGACGGCCTAACGGCGTGACGGGGTGCTTGAACCCGCACAGCACGGGGGACGGCAGGACGGGGCAGGACGGGGCCGCCATCTGGCCGATTTATCCGATTTATCGTGGAGGCGGCGACACTCGGCGACACTCGGCGACCATCCGCGGCACTTACTTGCGCCGCTTCGCCGCTCCCGCACCGCCAAGTGATCGTGATCCTGGCGGCTCCCTGACCTCGCCTCAACCCTTGCCTCCGTCGCCCGGGGCGCCCAGCCACCCCGCCACGCCCCCACCCGGAGCTGCAGCCTGGCTGGGGCTGGCTGGGGCTGGCCGTCCCCGCACAACGGCGCGCGGGCAGGGCTCGGGGATCAGGGCGGCCAGGGCGGTGACAGCGTGGAGGGGGAGGAGGATGACAGCACACCGTAATGCCCTCTGCAAAGTGGCAACCAAACAAGCCGCGTAAAGTCGCCCAAAGCCCCGCCCCACTCTACCCCTCGCCCCTGGCGCGCCCCTTCGCAGCCCCGCTAGCCCTGCAAAGGGGCTCCGAGCGCTCCGAGTCGGTCAGGAAAAATCAATATGTAGCGGCGGGGGTGCCTCAGGGCCCAGTCCCGAGGCCCTAGCCCCTAGCGGGCAGCAGGCCCTGAGCAGGCCCCAGGCCCTAGCAGGCAGCAGACCCCAGGCCCAGCAAGCACCAGGCCCAACCAGGCCCCAGCGAGCCCCAGCCAGCCCCGCCAGGCCCCAGGCCGCAGGGTGGGGTGGGTACGTGGTCACTGTCACCATGGCACCGCCGTGACGTCACACCGCAGCGCTGCCAACCCCGCGGCGCGGCCACCGGTGCGGCGCCGGTCGCGCCACTACCGGCTCGCTCCGCCCGCGCGCCCTCACGCTCCACCCGCTCCTCCCGCTCCACCCGCTCCACCGGCACGCCGCGCGGGTGTATTTTAAATCCCCGACACAGAAAGGGCGCGGGTGCGCGGCGGAGAAAATGACCTGTAATCCGCGCGCCACTCACACACACTAACACAGCTCTCTCCCCTACCGTCGTGGGCGTCCGGCTCCGGCTGCGAGCTTACCAGAGCGGAAGAGCCCTGCCCGGCCCTGCCCGGCCCTGCACGTCCTTGCCGCACCCTCGCGGGGAAGGGCCACGCAGCCTTCCGCCCCGCGCCCCGCTAATGCGTTACAAATAAAGTCCCGGCGCGGGCATTGCGGGCATGCGCGCCGCGGCGGCGTGGCTTTGGGCGGCGTGGCAGGCTGTGTGCTGTGTTCACCTCGTGTGGGTAGAGTCCCACACAACTCCTAGAACTGTTCCAGGAATCTAGGATGGGCTGCCACTAGGCGGCTGCAAAGGCTGCACGCACGGTGGGCGGTGACCCGGTTCGCTGTCAGGCCCGTGTGGGCGCCTCGCCTCGCCTCCCACCATGACACGCAGACTCCATAGAAAGTCTTTGCCGCTCCATTCCCGTCCACCCCCCACCCCTGGGACCGCTCAGCTTCCCCGCCGTGCCGAAGCGTCTGCCCAGCGAAATGAAACGGACCGGTGAGCGGCGTTCCTCCCCCGGCCCGCCCCCGACCCGCCCCCGGCCCGCCCGCCACCAACCCACCCCCCGGAAGGATTGTCGTTTTTCATCCTCCGCACCTCGCAGCGCTCGCAGCGCGCAGCGTGACACGTTGAGTCTAAGAGCACTCTGCTGACGGCCGTGTGGGCGTGTGGGCGTGCGGATGGCGAGCTTTTCTCTTTCCTCGGTCACTGAATCAAAGAGACAGGGCAGCGAGTTGTTCTCCTGGTGTGTTATTATTGAAAAATGATTTGTTCGCCGTGATAAAGGGGCCGGGGGAGGTCCAACGCGCACGGCCGTGGGCGGCGCGGTGGCTCAGTCGTGCGTGGCCGTGTGGCCGTGTGGCCGTGCGCTGCGCAGCGCTGCGCGGACCATGAATGGATGCATCGCCCACGCGGTGCACGGGGCGGCTCCACAGGGGGGGGCCGCAGCCTGCAGCGCCATGGCAGCACCCTGCGCACCCTGCACTGCAGCCCTGTTGGCCTCTCGCCGGGCACGAGGGCTTTTTGGCGGGCCACTGTTGGCAGCGCCGCCACTGGCCGCCACCGCCTTGTCCGCGGAGACGGTGCGTCCCTCTGTCTGTCTCGCTCGCACGCGCGCGCCACCCACATGCGCCCTCTCACTCGCACCGCCGGGCGCCACCCCTTCGCCCTACGCCCGTTCATGCCGCGCCAAGCGGTGACGTCACGCGGCACGGGGCGGTGGCGGGGCGAGGGCGGGGCGGGGCGCTCGGCTCGTCACGGCTCGGAGCCGCGGTGGGGTTGCGGGGGCTCAGTGGCGCTGGGGCTGCGGCACGATGCTGGTGGCGCGCCGTCCGGCGAGCTCTAGCCCTGCGAGCCTTGCGACGTCGAGCACAGCATATCGACGGTCTGCCTAGGGATCGCCGCGCCGCCGCTAGGCCGCCAGCAGGCCGAGCAGTGTGGGTACGCGACGGGTACGGGCCGCGCAGCGAAGTGACGGCCACGCTTGTGACGAGTGACCTGACAGTGCCGTTAGGACCCACCGCCTGCAACCGCCGCCGCAGCGCCCCAGGCTGCACCGTTCCACCGCACCACCGCCGCCACACGCCGCCACGCCCCGCTGGGCAACGCGGTCGACACGCTGCAGATGTTGTCGTAGTCCCCGGGAGTCTTGACGCGGACAGGCCTGACAGGCGCCCCGCACCCTGACGGGCCCTGACGCACCGGGACGCACCGCGACGCACCGCACCCCGACGGCTGCATGCCCCGGCCACCGACCACGGTGAGTCCCAGTCGCCATCCCGAATGGCCGAATCCGAGCGGAGAGCCCCAGCCAGCAGGGCAGCAGCAGGGCAGCAGCAGGCCCCTCGCTGCAGGCTCATTCCGGACGGCGCTTCCGTCGTGCTGTCTCCCTCGCACTCATGGGCCGTTGCGTGGGGGTGCGAGGGAGACAGCGCGACGCGGCGCGACGGAGTGATGGGCGGCGTCCCTGCCTGAAGCGCCGCCGGCGCCGCCATCGCGTCTCGCTGGCCTGCATCCCGCCTTTCAGTGGAGGCACCGCGCAACAGTGGACCCGCGCAAACGTCTGGCGGACGACGAGGACAGCATGTTGAACTTTTCGGTGTCGGAGCTAGCGCTTTGGGTGCTGCATATCTTGCAAGTGCATGTGTTTACATGTAGGCAAACGTTTGGCACCCATACAACTGCAGTCCTCCTTGCACAAAACGAGTGTGTGCTCATGGGGGAAGCCACAAACAAGATCCCAAGCAAGCAAAGCGGTGCCCAACTGGCTTAAAATCTTATGTCTGAACGACAAGGACCGTCATCATTCAGATATAGGATCAATGTGCTCGGGAGTAGCTCCTCGTTGCCGATGATTTTCCTCGTGAATTCGTGACCAGTCCAGTTGCCCCGAAATCCAAGCACTGCTTTACGCTCCCTGCAACATGCACGGCCGTGGCACTGCTTCGGGTTCGGTTAAGAATTAATTCTTCTTGCCCGCACCCTCGTCTCGGGATGGAGGTGGAGGTGCATGACCTCATGACCTGCCTGGCTCTGGTTCCTGGTATTTCCTGGTTCCGCCTCCCCGCCCACCAACTCCCCAACTTGGAGAGGATGGCAAGCATGCCTATTGAAGACCCCAGAAACTCGGGCCGCATAAAAACTTAAAAAATAAAAGCGAGTTCTACGCCAAGGCATGCTGCACCGATGCAGGCAGGCCTGGAATAAAAATGAGGACGTCGCCGTGGGCGCTTGAGTCGTCCAGTATTAACTGAAGTCGAGTCACGGACTTTATGGCTGTGAATATAAAGCCGCATTCATACTTCACATCACATGCCTCGTATGGTTATGCGCCTCAAGAGCCTCTCCGCATTTTGTGAAAGTTTTTTTTAAAAAATGAGGCATTGTCTTGACTCCCTGGTTAGCTCACTTCTTTTAAGTACAACCAAAACTTTGGTGCTGTTCTTTGTTTTGTAAAGGAAATTGTAAGCTGTCCATCTTTAGCAGGTACATGTATCTGAAAAATTCCTCAGAGACAAGGCGTGCAACACTATCGCTTGACGTTGTCCGTTGGCTAGTAGTGCGCACCCATACGAAAATACCAAGCACCCGTTCTAGTACGTGTACCGTACAACTAGCTAATGCAAGGAAGTTGAGAACTGCTGAGGCAGGACGCGCTACGATATTGCAGCTGAGCGTCCGCCGAAGCCCGAAGCGTGTTACTAGTTCCGTGGTGTCTTTGAGAACCTGTTGGATACACCCTCCTGGTTGGAACGGGGTGGCGGGTGAGGCACAGCGAGGCGAGGCAGCGAGGCTCTGGCACGAATTATTGCCGAGCTCCCATCAGGGCGCAGGTAATTAGTCAGCTAGTTAGTTAGTTAGTCTGTGACGGCCTACTTGGCCCGTTCGTATCACTTCGAACACGCGGACAACAGCCGGCCGGTAGGTCGGGCGGTCGCAGGATGTGGCGAAACAAGCGGACCCCTTTCGGATCCACACTCACAAACAAACGCACCCAGGACTCAGAGAGGCACTGGCCACTTTCAGATCACTTATCGTCTACTCGATATCATTTTGACAAGAGAAATGAGTTAATTTCCTTCCTCCTTTCAATTCAAAAGTCTAAATGCAGCGTTGGTAAATATATAACGGTTTAAAGCAGGGTAGTTTAAAAATGTAGCACTGCAGAGTTAAAAAACAAATAAGAATTGGGTGCATTCTACACACTAAATGCTAAATTTACACACTAAATTTACATGCTTAAGCACAATATGGAAATATTGTTCCTAATTTATGTACAAATTTGTACAGGTTCTCTAGCACGGAAACGGCCCGCAGGACAGTACTAACTAGCTACAAACCTGGCCCAGGAGAAACGTTTGAGTGCCCAGAAGCCCGAAAAGCGGTGGCCGTGATCAACCTGGGATAACGGCCTCCATATGGCCGGGCGTCCGGTGAGCAGCCGCGTTGGCGGAGCCGCATAGGACGAATTGCCGAAACTTAGGCGCAGAGATTGAGATAGTGAGATGAAACGCATGTGAGGCGGCGAAGGTGTACACGCCGGACTCGACCCAGCCGCACGGCAGCGGCGACGGCGGCGACGGCGACCCAGCGCTCGCTGCCTCGGCCGCACGGGCTGACTGTCTGTCCTTGTTCCTCCCATATGGCCTTGTGAGTGCGAGAAGATGCCGGCCAGCCACGGCGAGCCGGCCGGTTGACACGTTTGACAGCTGGGCGACGAGGCAGCGCGCCGCCGCCCAGCCAGCCTGGACCTGTGCGGCCCGAGTCTGGCCGCCTATCTTTCCCATTGCGGCCCGCTGCGGGCCGTGTGGCACCCGAGCTCCGGGCCGGAGCGGCCCGCGGGCCGCCCGTCTGAGACCCCTGAGATAGGCGGGCCAGACTCGGGCCGCACAGGTCCAGGCTGGCTGGGCGGCGGCGCGCTGCCTCGTCGCCCAGCTGTCAAACGTGTCAACCGGCCGGCTCGCCGTGGCTGGCCGGCATCTCTCTCGCACTCACAAGGCCATATGGGAGGAACAAGGACAGACAGTCAGCCCGTGCGGCCGAGGCAGCGTAGCGCTGGGTCGCCGCCGTCGCCGCTGCCGTGCGGCTGGGTCGAGTCCGGCGTGTCACACCTTCGCCGCCTCACTCATTTCATCTCCTATCTCTCTTCTTTGCCTTTCTCTCTCTCTCTATGCGGCCCGCAAGCCATGCTCACTCTGAGACCCCTGAATTTGTACATAAGTTCTGTATGCACAAAAACGGCCATAGCAATGGACAATAAAGTACATAAAACATTTAGTGTGTACTACAAAAACACTGAGTTCCCACCAACGCGAGAAACGTTTTTGAGTCCTGTCTCAAAGAAGTCCAGAAAAGAGAGGGTGGACCGTGAATCACACCTGCGGCGCGGATCGAAAACCCTGGCCGCCTCCAATCATTGGCCCGCCCGGCCGCTTCCGGTTCGGTCCGAGCCGCCGTTCCGGTTCCGGAGCCGTTAGGCCTACTCTGGATATTTTGCCGCAAACTTGTTAGGCGCGTGATTAGATTGTGGATGAGAACCGCATGCTGCAGAGCGACCTGCCACACGCCCCCCCCCCTCTCTCTCTCTCTTTCTCTCTCTTTCTCTCTCTCTTTTTGCGACAGACTGCTGTACCTGTCTCACCCACACCCCCTTCCCCCGGTGGTCCGCGTCGCGCTCCGCCCCTTTGTCGCTCTCCAGTTTCGGCTCGAATCAGACGATTGAGTCGGCGTGGCATTTTTAGAACGGAATCGAGTCCGACAAAACAAAAAAAAAAAATGCGGAAAGGACGGAGGGCCCTTCGGTGTGGCGAACCGCGCGCGAGTGATGGCCGGAGAGATCCAATCACACAGCTCATTGAAGAGTATGCGACATGCAGCCACACTCCAGGTGGAGTGAGCCATGCTGAGCATGGCATGCTCACTGTTCATTTTGTACAGTAGACCATACGATTCCCATTTCATATCGAGTTAGCGGCGTGGACGGAAGAAAACAGCATCAAAATTTTACGTCTTCGTGCCGCGGTGGGGGTGAAAATGTGGTTCGCGCTCTTCCTCGTCGCACTGCAATAGCGTGCGCTCGACGAGACGAAACTACTTGTGATTATAAAAGATTCTCACTTCGTCATACATTCAGCGCCTAAAGTAGTTCCAATGCTAGACCTGTCTAGGGATCGAACGGATCATAATAGCTTCTTTATCAGGTTCACTGTAAATAAATGATCGGCCGTCGCATGCAAGCAATCGAGTATGTGTGTCACGATCGTCTGCATATGGGGCCACGTTCCTTACGTCATCCAGTCTTCATCCATGTTTTAGCCGCTCTGACAGGGTTTTCAGTCCAGATTCATGACTTGAAGAAAATGTCATGGCGAGGTCGTTTTGTCGTTGACAAGACGCGAGTTAAGTTGAAATTTGGGCCGACGTAAAATCTATCTCACTTTCTAATGCCCTGGGGTGTCTGACGCGTGGATTAATCAGCACAATCAGATACGACTTGCTGGCAGGCAAGATTGGTAAGATGCCGCCCACTGCGTGCCCCGGAATCGATGCTGAGCCGTCCGGGGGTCGACGTTCCGTTGATCCACCCCGCCGGGCCCCGCCCCGACCTGCCCCGCCCCGTTTTGTTTTTAACCAAAGCCCCCACTCAATCTCGGCCACCGAGACGACTCCCCCTTCCTTGCTCCCACCGTGCTTGCTGAGGGTTTTTCCTTTGCTTCCGCCAACGCTGCCACATCCACTGCTGCGAAAAACTGGAAAAAGAAAAGAGTGATATCTATCCAAGACACTGGCATCCCAAAGGCGTCTTCTTTGATGGCAGCACACCGCAAAAAAACCTCTTTCTTTTGGTGTTTGACGAGCTGCCTTGGGTTTGAATCCCTCGCTATCCAGGGTGTGCTGTAGGACTTCACCGGGGCTCAAATTGCACCCCTTTTGGTGAGATTAGAGCGACCACCAAAGCAGCGGAACTGTCTTTACTGTGGATGCGCGTCGCAGCTCTGCCTGGGAAGACAGAGGATTTGTAACTACACGAGTGAAACGTATTTTTGCGGTGCGCTTTTCTGTGCGTTTTTGCTTGTGCAAACCGGAAGCAGTAGCGCGTTAAGTCAACGAAGAAACACACTAAAAAAAGTCTTTGAAAATAAAATACGAAGCTAGCCGGCGGCTGGAAAGGGAAAGGACCTGCTGCTGCCGCGAATTCCAGCGCAGTGTCGCTCCACCCCGCTTTCTCCGCGACATAGGCAACCCGCCAGGAAGTCCTGTCCACGCCCCGGCCCCTCCCCGCAGTGTCCTTGGCCCAGCAGCCTGGCTGGCGCTGGCTGGCTCTGGCTGGCGCTGGCTGGCTGGCTGGCGCGCTGGCTGGCGCGCTGGCTGGCCTGTCTGGCGCTGGCTGGCGCGCTGGCTGGCTCTGGCTGGCGCTGGCAGGCCAGAAGCACCAGGACGCAGCAGAGCCAGCTGGCAAGGCCACTGGTAGAAAAAAGGACAGAAAAAGTGCGAAACGTGTCTGGTCAACTTTACCTGGACCGTCCGCGCACCTAGCTTGCCAACTGCGGAGGTTCCGTACAAGTTTCCCGCACCAGTTTACGCGAGATCCCTATTTCGGGCCCCATTTTCCGTCCATTTTCCGTGGCAAAATGTAGAATTTTTATTACAATTTTTTGCAGTGTCGCTGGCAGCAGGTGCCGCACGCTGCGATCAGGACAGGGTTCACTGTGCGAAAAAACTACAGTAAATCCTGTATTGATTAGTACAGCTGACACTGTAGTTCAGATTACAGGATTTATTGTACTTTTTTTTTACAGAATCTACTGTACTTTTACTGGATTTACTGTGCAACGGAGTTGGAGTGCGGAAAATGCTGTACAAGGCACAGTATATCCTGTAGCCAGGTACAGTAATTCCTGTATTCTGATCTACAGTAGATCATGGCAAAAAATAACCAGAATTCATTGTGTTTTTTCGCACAGTGTTGGGGGTCATCTCTCCATCCTTGTCACGCTCGGCCAGTCTGGCCGGAGCAATGGCGGGACTGGGGAAGCGCCGCCGTCGGGTATTCCGGGCTGCGGCGGTGCACCGGAAGGAGGAGGGGGAAGGGGCGCTTTGTTTAATGGCAGTCGCGGTGAAATGAGACTGGACCCTGCACTGCGAGAAAAAGAGATGGTCGTGCCTACTGTGCCTGTTGTGACTACTGTATCCTGTATTCTGGGTACGGCTGAATCCTTCTTTCAGGGTACAGTGGACAGTCACTTCGAAATAAACAGCCACAACCTTCTTTTTTTTCTCGCAGTGCATCCCTCCCCCTTTTGCTTTTCCCTCGACCCTCGTCCTGACCTGTAGCCGACAGTGGAGGCGCACGGAATCGAGTCTCCGGACAGGGCTCGGACTTCTCATCGGGCACTGCGATGCTGCGTTGCCTGGACGGCCCCGCCTGCCAAAAGCAGAGTCTGCATCTCCATGGCAGGCAGGCAGGCGGGCAGGCAGGCAGGCAGGCGGGCAGGCAGGCAGGCGGGCAGGCAGGCAGGCGGGCAGCAGGCGGGCGGGCAGGCAGGCGGCAGGCAGGCAGGCGGGGGGCAGGCAGGCGGGCAGGCAGGCAGGCGGGCAGGCAGGCGGCGGCAGGCAGGCAGGCGGGCAGGCAGGCAGGCGGGCAGCAGGCGGGCGGGCCGAACGCCGTGCAGGTAGGCAACGCTGCGGCCGGGCGACAGCGCTGTGTTGCGGGCTGGCCTATGCTCCCGTTCACAGGCGCTCCCCGGGGCACGTCCACGCCAAGCCACCCAGCCAAGCCACACGGCCAAGCCGCGGCTGCCTGTAAGTCCGTGCACCGGTCTTTGAGGGGGTTTGCCGACTCTGTCTTTGTGTTGCTCGCCGGGAGGGGAGCAGGGGAGCGTAGGGCCGCGGGGTGTAGGAAGTTACCGCAGACCAAATTCCGGCTTGTGAGGGCCCGGGGGCGTTGGAAAGGGGGGGGGAATCATTCTGGGACGTGAAGCGACTCTGCCCTTGCCGGGATTTGCCTGATGCCTGCCACAAAGTGTCTCAAAATTGGGTGGAACTGGGAGAGAAAGCTGCAAATTTGTGTGGATCGTTACAACAGCAGTTGTTCAGCGTCGACTGGTTCCTTGTTTCGTACAGTCAACGAAAGCGACATGGGCAACCTGACGCAGGCACCCTGACGCAGGCTCCCTGACGCAGGCTCCCTGACGCAGGCACCCTGACGCAGGCACCCTGACGCAGGCACCCTGACGCAGGCACCCTGTCGCAGGCTCCCCGACGCACCAGGCTGCTTATCAGCCAAGCGCTGCGCGTCAGGAGGCAATGGGTGTACCCTCGTCAACGTATCAGTGAAAGCGTTTCCCAAATAAGAGCAACCGTAAGTCATAAGCCGGCCATATCACCTCGCTGCAGACGCCAGCCCGCCCGCCAGCCCCGTCCACAGTTCCACATCAGCAGCCGCCAAGGCAGCCGACCTGCTCTGCAAAGCTCTGCGAGGCTCTGCAAGGCGCTCTCGGCAGCCATGCGGCAGCCCACCCCGCTTATCGCGTGTTCCCACGGGCCACCCGGCGTACGGTATACACACACCGCGCGACACACAGCACGTGTTAAAATTCCAGATGACAGAATGAAATACCTTCTTTTTTTTCCTGTGATGGAAAGAGATTCCCATCTCGCGCGCGCCCCGAGGCGGGAAAAGTCCGGGGCGAGACCATCATCACATCGAAGCCGCTATATCGCCACCTGGCCCAATCCAATAGCAAGCCTCGGCCGAGCCATCGGCCCAGCCATCGGCCCAGCCATCGGCCCATCGGCTGCGGAATGCGCCCCAGCATCCCTTCCTTTTCATCCCCAAGACTCTTGTGCAGACAGTGATCTCCAAGCCCCACCCCCTTAACGCTTAGAAAAGCAGCTGCCATAGTTCCCTTGCACAGCCCCCCCCCCTTTCTCTCGCCCCCCCCCTCTCTCTCTCTCTCTCGCCCTCCCAGTCGCACTTGAGCAGCCGCGAGGCCGTGGTTCCCGCTAGCCAGCCCTGCCCCCTCCCCCTCCCTCCCAGCACGGCCCTATCGATCCCTATCCCAGTGAGGCAGTCACGGGGGGTGCATGGCGGGGCGGGGCGGGGTGAAGGGGGAAGTCCTGCGCGCCAAACGACGCACGGAGCGAAAAGTGTAAGGAGGGGAAGGGGGAAGGGGGATGAAGGCTGCAGCAGGCAATGTGCACCCGACGTCTCCCCGCGGCCGCGGCTAGGCTGCGGGGCTGCGCTCGTGATACGTTATCAGCCCGGGGCGCTGCAGAATGCAGGGTGCAGAGGGGCAGACAGCCGGAAAACAAAAGCAAAGAGACGAGCTGCGTCGAGCCGCGTCGCCGAAACCTTTGTCCGTCAGCAAAGACCCGTGGCTCCTGCTGCAGCTGCGTTCAAACACAGAGCAACCTCTTTTTCTTGGGAGGAGGGGGAGGGGAGGATCCCATTGCTTTGGATTACATCTGAGTAATGGGTACACTGGTAAAACTAAGGCGTAACACGGTGCCTTTCGTGGCCCGGGCACATACGCTCCTTTCATCCTATCTTAATGCACGGGGAATGTTGACTTGAAGCGTAGAACTACCGGCACGCTTCAGTTTCACAGTGTACACTGCAAAAGCGTGGCCCTGACGCGCCCCTCTTTCCGTTGCAGGTGGTGTGAGAGTCCACAGGGTCTGCATCCGCAGCCATGCCGGAGCAGAGTAATGACTACCGGGTCGTGGTGTTCGGCGCGGGCGGCGTGGGCAAGTCCTCGCTCGTCCTGCGCTTCGTCAAGGGCACCTTCCGGGAGTCCTACATACCCACCATCGAAGACACCTACCGGCAGGTCAGTGCGCAACGCCCGCAACGCCTCACAGTGGATTTGCCAGAACTCGCTACACGTGTTTTGAGCTCCAGAGTCGCGAAATGGGACTCGAATCGAACATGTGACCCCACCAATGGATAGCTCTCCGAACGAGGAATTCATTCGCGGGGTTACACGTTCGGTTCGAGTTCTGTTCAGCGACTCTGGAGCTCAAAGAGCATCCAGAGTTTTGTCCGCCTGCGCTCGATTCAGACATTCTGAAAAACGAACTCAGCAACGAGGTATGGATGTTAACCTGTTTCATTGTGTGCAGGTGATAAGCTGTAACAAGAACATTTGCACGCTGCAAATCACGGACACGACCGGCTCGCACCAGTTCCCCGCCATGCAGAGACTGTCCATCTCCAAGGGCCACGCCTTCATCCTAGTGTACTCGTGCACCTCCAAGCAGTCGCTGGAGGAGCTGAGACCCATCTGGGAGGTCATCAAGGAGATGAAGGTGCGTTGGCGACGACACTCGTTCAATCTGTGTACACGGCGAGAAAGCAGGGTCCTGGTTTCCCAGGCAAACCGGAAAATGATGAAGGCCATCCAGGGTGTGCCTGGGAAAGCCGGACACTGGTTCTGCAGTGTGCACACAAGTCGGGTGTGTTCCTCTCCACCAAGTGACGCGAACGTGATTGTTGGCAGGGCGCCGAGCTGCCCAACATCCCCGTCATGTTGGTGGGCAACAAGTGCGACGAGACGGAGAACCGGGAGGTGGCCGTGACGGAAGGCGAGGCCGAGTCCAAGGGCTGGGGCTGCAACTTCATGGAGACCTCAGCCAAGACCAACCACAACGTCAAGGAGCTGTTCCAGGAGCTTCTCAACATGGAGAAGAACCGGAACATCTCCCTGCAGTTCGACTCGAAGGGGAAGTCCCAGCTCAAAGGCACCAAGAAGATCCGGGAGAAGTGCTCGCTCATGTAGAGAACGCTAGGCAGGCGGGCACTCAAAGGCATTCCGAGTCAATTTTGTTTCACATCGAAATTAACACCAAATTCGTTATTATTACTCACAAAATAAGGTATGCTTCCGGAGTATAATGTCGAAACATGCTAGGCATGAATTTTGCTAGAGACATGTAGACTGCGTTTTATATTATTGTAAATGGCCACGATATGATGAAGACGTGTAGAAATGCCTAAAGGGTGCGTATGGATACGAATGGGAACGGATCGTCCACACATTCCGTAACGCAATTTCTTAACTCTGTCCGTTTCGCTCCCTATGGACTTTCAATGAGTGCGACAGAGACAGAAGGCTTTACGTAATGTGTGGCTACACCGCCAGGCTCTCGCCGCGCTCGTCCTTCGCTCACTTGCAAGTGCCGTCTGACGTTTTCATCGTATGGTTGTTGCATCTTTATCTAGAATGTTAAAAAATTAATCTCATCTACAGATATTTATCTTTAATACGCATTAATTATGAATTATGAATTAAGATTTACGCACGTAACGCATATAATTTTTTTAAACATTAGGTACTGGAATCATTGATACATTGTATTACTGTAAGTTGTATTTTGTTGTCTGTTTGTCGAGTACGAGTCTGGCCGGCGGGGGTTCTTGACACTCAAAACCGGGACGAGTAAGGGTGAGACAACGTCGGAAAAAGGCGATTAAGAAAGAAAATACTGGGAGACTGTTTCAAAGTCCAGGCTGTTTCTGCTGGCATAGCGCAGCATAACGCCCCACGGAATGGTGACGTTGTCCACTCTTCGGCGGCCTTGTTGAAAATTATTGGAACGAATCGAACGAACCAGAAATGATTTGATAGCCGCTGGAAGTGAGAAACCCGGAGACCATAAAAGTGTGAAAAAAAAACGCAAGCCAGGCCAGGTGTCTTTTGAAAACCAGTCCGAGCTGGTCTTGTTGTTCCTGAAGTGTTTTTGTTGTTTTTATAAAAATGTGTTCGTAGCCACTAAAATTTCAAACTTCTCTCTTCACCATATGTTTATAGTGTATGGGAAGCTCTTGTGGGGCTAACGGAAATCCGATCTCGTTGTCCATACATTCTCTTTGAGAGCGCTGCGCCTCGTGGCTGCTCCGCGCGATGGGGCCCCGGCTCTACGTTTGAACTCCAGCCGGTCCTGCTGTTGCAAGGACCGGCTGCGCATGCCTTCCTAGCGGCACTCGCGTTTACGTTGACGGTTCCTTGACCGGGGTTATTAATCTTATTAATTAATTTATTTATTTATTCGTGTTGATTATTTTAAACCGCAATTTGTATTACCTAGAATGTTCATTTTCGTATCTAATATGCTCAAGTTTGATTTCGTCAGAAATCGTCGGGTAAAATAATAACTTTCCAAGATAAAATGAAACGGTGTGTTTCTTCCCTCTCAATGTTCATTTAAGACACCACAGAAATCAGAGCGAGACCCGATATTTTTCCCTACAACACGCACAGGCATCAGCCCTTTCAAAAGTGGTACATATACAATGTTTGTCCTCATGTACTCTACAAAGTGAAGTGTGTACTCAGTATGCATCTACAGATGCATACTTACAAGTACACACCTACAGATGCATACCTAACTGAGTACACATCTACAGATGCATACTTGGCTGAGTATACATCTACAGATGCATACTTGACAGGTATGCATCTGTAGATGTGTACTCAGCCCAGTATGCATCTGTAGATGTGTACTTGATACTGGGCATTTATATGGTGACAAGTACACACCTACTAATGCATACTTGCCAAGTATGCACCTACAGATGCATACTTCACAGGTATGCATCTGTAGATGTGTACTCAGCTAGGTATGCATCTGTAGGTGTGTACTTATAAGTATGCATCTGTAGATGCATACGGAGTACACACTTCAGTTTGTAGAGTATCTATGATGAAATATAAGTGCGTGCCATTTGAACTTCCGAGGGAAGTTCAAAGCTTTTGACGGAGTAAAAAAATGCATTCTTTATTATTCCAAAAAAGTTGAGGGTAAACAGACGGAAACGGTGAAGACGGGGAAGATTTCTCCGGAAAAATGGTACGGAAATTCTATCCTTGTAGCCCGACCATTTACGTACAATTCTCCTTCGCGTGAACCCATCCACCGATCACCTACGCTGCGGTTTTCCACTGGAAAACTGTACGATTTCGATCTATCTTTGTACGAAAGTGCCTGCGCATACTCTATATACTGAAGTGTGTACTTAGTATGCGTCTGTAGACGCATACTTGCAAGTATACACCTACAGATGCATACTTAGATGAGTACACATCTACACATCATACTTGGATGAGTTAGGTATGCATCTGTAGATGTGTACTCAGCTGAGTATGCATCTGTAGATGTGTACTCAGCTGAGTATGCATCTGTAGATGTGTTCTCAGCTGAGTATGCATCTGTAGACGTGTACCCAGCGGAGTGCATCTGTAGATGTGTACTGACAAGTATGCATCTGTAGACGCGTACTGAGTACACACTTCAGTTTGTAGAGTAGACCAAAGTTGTACGATCGTACGACTCGTTGTACGACGCCTCGTTGTAATAGAGTTTGGTACGAAATTTACTACCCATATTTAGACATCAATAACAGTTTTTTTTAATGCATAAGAGGGATTTACCATTTTTCATACATTTTAAAATAAAACATCCATTCTCAAGAGGGAATTTTACGTTGACTGAATCGGATTTTAAACGGAAGGACGACAGTGCCGCCCCGACTGCATCACACTGATTTGGCTGCAGCTAGCGGTACTGTTATTCTTCTTCTAGAATCCATTTCGATTAAAGTGAACTACCCTAGTGTAACGAGGCAAGAAATGCCCTGTTTAACGACGCCGCTGAAGAAAGCTTTAATTTATGTACATACATTACTTTCGAATTTAGCCTTTTTATCGTTTTATAAAGCTAATGTTTAACAATAATTATAATGAATTTATCGTCCATTCGTTAGTATCATTATATATATGTTATAATTTCCTTCTTTCTACTTGCATGTTTTGGACTGCTGTCCCTCGCCCGTTTATCTGCAGTGCGTCTCTCTCGCACCGCACGGTCAGACAATAATATGTAGATTCACTGCTTAAAGTCTATGGCCTGCAAAGGTGAGGCAATGTTGTTCGTTTTTCTTCCATTCGTGCGCCTCCCAAGAGAAGGCCCTGTGTTTGCAATGACGCCGTGTTGGGTGTCTTGCTCGTGCGTCGTTTCTTTCATTTGAGACCCTCTTCAGACCAGACTACAAAATAATCGTGCCAATGTGTGGGAATGCGCCCCTGAGGTCACGGCAAAATGAGTTGAGAACTCGCCTTAAAATCTTTCTCTTCGTTTACCTTTCTGCAATTTTTTGAGCGTATTTGTTATTCGTGCCATCTTTTACGCCTTCTTGAGTAAAGAGCTCACGTGTTCGAAAAACAACAAATTAGTTTAGAATTTCTCGATTTACAGTACCATTAGGATTAGGCAGTTATTGTTATTGTTGTTGTTGTTGGATAACATATCACTTTATTACAAGGGAACTGGAAATCAAGATCATTGTATAAAATATAATAAATTTTGTTCACTTGGCACAAAGCTTGTTGTTTTTTAGCGTTGAGGCTATCTCCTACTTTGTAAATAATACCCGATGTCAGATTGTAAATATGTTGGCAGAGTACTTGATTGGCACTGACGGTCCGGGCCAAAACGACATGTGTGGAAAAATACTTCCGAAAAATTTCAAGAAGCGCTCAAATACCGAAGATTTCTGATGTACCCACCTAACGACTAATAAACATAAGTTTATTCCCGATGTTCGTGACTCTTCTGCGCGCTCTTCAGCCCTCACTTCGCAAAAGTTGAGCTTTGCACTATCTTGAGACGTCGGGCGGCGGGGCGGCGTGTTTTATATCCCACCCCACGGGCTCACTCTGCCCCTGTTAGTGGGCAACTTTTCCTCCTCCCCCTCCCTTCCCCCTCCACAAAAACACCACCACCCCCTCTTTCAAGCCATTGTCCATATACGCAACTGGCAACTGAGTGCGTAATCCTCCCCAAACTAATAAAGGCATGAGAGAATTTCCTTAGCTCGCTTCAAGAAGATAATAAGCATCTTACGCTTATTTAAGAACTGTAACCCAAATGGAAAAAAAATACGCCACTGTAATAACATCTTGATCAAATCGTCACTAAATCATCACTAACGAACCTCCTCCCCTTTTGACCCTAACGTAGCCTCCTGAAAAATAGGCAAGAAGCAACGCTTGGCACCTGTAAATAGGCAAAAGGTGCTACTTTGTCCTCCCCCGCCCCCTTGGACTGACTGTAGATCCGCCACTTGCACTGCTTGGGGCTGCGCAAACCCTGGCAAACCTCACACCATTATCAAATAGAGAAAACAGAGCTTAACTAGGCCCTATCAACAACGTTGAAAGAAAGTCTCCTCAGTTTGATTCGTTAATTTTGTTTTGTTCCCTACTGCCCTACTCTGCACTGCAGTTGGCACCAATGGCTATTAGTAGAAGGAAAGATGGCTTCTCGCCTGAATGTCGTCAGATTGCGAAATCTATTTCCATGTTTTGGTGTTCAACTCAACTCACAGTATGTCACTCTGACTTATCTTCTTGAATGGAACCTATATTAACTCATTTGTGATAAAATATCGGCACTAGTAGTGTTACGTCTTGTTTTATCTTCCGTATACGCAGTTACTATCAATTCTCTAACCTCAAATGTCTTCACTGCTCCTCACTTTTTGCATAAAAATGAGGACATATTTTCTGGAAATCTTATCTTATCTTTTAAGTTTTATATGTACTTGAATCCAAAGTAATCTGTAGCTTTCAGAGGAACATATTGCCTTTCTGAATGTTGAACTATTCATCCTCTTGTCTATATTTTCTGCCGTTGATTAACTTCCCTGTTTCTATTTTTTAGGAATGTATGGAATGTACGAGACCTTCATATTGTTGCTGCTCGTGGGTTAAAACCTAGCATCAAACCTCAAGCCTACGATTTACTGCAACCACGATATGGCATTCTTGAGGCTCGGCGCTCAATGTTTATCCAAACTCAAGATACTCCAAATCCTAATAGTTTAAAATTTTTACCTGGTATTGAGGTAATTAAAACATCAAACATATTATTGTATTTCTTTGTAAAACTCTGACATTAGGCAATTTACCCCTTCAGGTGCTCGGTCCAGGAAAAACCATGGATTTTCCTAATGGTACAGAGGCGTACTGCTCACCTTTAGGAAAATTACTTTTCCGCATAGAAGGAGTTAAAGGAGTTTTTTTGGGTCCAGATTTTATTACAGTCACAAAGGTACAGCATAAATTTTATTTCTTCAGAATATAAATCAATTCAATAAATTTTGTTGGAAACGCATCCCATTTTAACTGCATATAATTTTGCAAGGTTGATGAAGATATTGATTGGAAGGTTCTGAAACCAGAAATCTTTGCGACAATCATGGACTTTTTTGCCAGTGGTCTGCCTGTAATTAATGAGTCAGCTCAGAAGCCCTCTGACACAGGTAATACATTTTAATAATAGAAGTGTTGATGTGCATTGATTCACTTTCTGTTTTAAATGCTGAATCCACAGGAAGTCTTCATTTCATTGAATCTTTGACTTTGCAGAAATAGCTGAAGATGATGACGAAACAGTGCAAATGATAAAAGAACTACTTGATACTCGAATCAGACCCACTGTACAAGAGGATGGTGGTGACATCTTATTTATGGCAAGTATTATAGCTCCTTGTGTGAATGGCTACAATCTGTAAAAGATGTGCATCTCACTTTAATTTTCTCTGTAATAGGGTTTCAAGGATGGTATAGTCAGCCTGAAAATGCAAGGTTCTTGTTCATCTTGCCCTAGTTCTGTTGTTACCCTTAAAAACGGTGTTCAGAACATGCTACAGTTTTACATACCAGAAGTAAGTTTTGAAGTGAATTTTCCAATGAACAGTTGTTTACATCTATTTTTAATTCGCTAACAATTAATTGCAGGTAGTTTCCGTTGAAGAGGTGACAAATGACGACATGGAAATTATGACTAAATATGAGTTCCAAAAACTGGAAAGAAAACTACAAGGCAAAGAGAATGAGGAGAATTCCACTAAATAGTCAATCATGTCATCTTTTTCGTTTATTATGTATAAATGGTCTTTGTTACAACTTCTTTCTTGATTTGTTTATATAATCTTCATGCCTTATAATGGGGAAAAAAATTACCATCACAGAGGAACTGTTTCATGGAACTGTCAATTGATTTTTGGACTAAATATTTCAGTATGTACAGTCAGATAAATAATTAAAGTAAGGACAGGTTTCTCTTAAGATTTTCTGTGCTTGATCCATTGAATTGTCAGTGTTCTCAAACAATTATCAAGAGATGAATTAGCAATATTAGTATCATCAATATCTGTAAAATGACATCCTAGCTCCAGCAAGTCAAAGAATTGGCGCTTGTTGGGGCAGAGTGGGGAAATGGTTTCTAAAGTTGACAATAGAAGGTCCTTGGTAAAAACAGAGAAATTCTCTGCACTAAGGTGTGGCACCACATTGGACAGTAAACTAACATAATGGCATAATGTTTCAGTAGAAACAGAAGCTTTGAGCTTATCTTTCAATGCTAGCAGGAGGCGAAACACAGTGCCAGCAGGATTTGCTGGGTGTGGGATTCCTGGGTTGCCCTTAGATGGTAGTGACAACGACTCCCACAATTTTGACACTAGCCTTACCATAGTATCAATGAGGGTTGAATCTTCTACTTTTGTACTAAGAATAGATTGGTGTAACCATGATGAAAGACTGTAATCTCTGACAAGGCGACAAGCGCCATACTGAACGCTTATGGCTGATTGGATGCAACTCAGGATAAAAAGCTGAAAAGCAAAAGCAAATTAAAGAGAAATTCCAATACACAAAACCTCTTGGAAAACATTACTAGATTAAAATCAATTATAACAAAATAAAACTTACTTTGCTTTTGGTGTCACACAGACAGCTTGAATAAAAGGAGAGCAACATCTTGAAGACGAACATTTCCATGCATATGTCAACATCAGAAGCAGATTTGATACCATCTTTCACAACCTCCAAGATCCAATGGCGGTGAGCTCTGTGTATCAATAATAAACAGAACAAAGTCAGGACACAATGATACCAAGATCCAAGGAAAATATTCCAGACAGATACTCACAAATGGTCCACATGGCTTGAATGCATTAGCTCCAAGAACTCTGGTATGGTTCGCATATTTAAAACTGGCTTAGCAAGAATAAATTTAACTAAGGGTTTATTCAAGGGGCTGAAAGGGTCAGCAATATGCAAAGTGGCCTTGGCAAGGAATACGGTAATAATGCTTGGTAGCCGAGTATTTTCACCGTCCAAAGCTACAATTCCTTCATGCATGACAGACAAGAACTGCAAAGCTATCTCCTTGCCAATTCCTCTGTAAAGGCAACACGAAAAGAGTTTGGTACACAATTTTTTACTTGAGATGAAAACACTAGACATACACGATATACACACCTTGCCATTTCCAGTTGAGAGCGGTAGCGAGCAAGAACAGTATACGCTGCAGCTCTCACATCATCATCGTAACTTGACAATGCTGCAAGCGTGATGCCTAGCCCTCCAGATGTCATGAACGTATGACAAACTACTAGTGACTCTGGAGACAAAAGATATATGAAGAGTGGAAGATAAAATGATGGGTCATAGACTTGCACAGTGCCAACAAATTTTGTCTCTGCATCTGTAATCTGCAAAACACAAATCAAGTTTAAGGTTGATAAGAAGTAAAAATTTGGAGCATTTGCAAATTAAATGTGAAGAGACGAATTCACTGCACATACCTTAAAAGTGGAATGAAGGGGAAAATTAGCAATGGTTTCATTTACCATACTTTCTTTTAAATGGTTAAGAAGTTGATCAGGTCTCAGCTGCTTATCCAGCGACCTATTGACCTTTGCCTGAGACCATATGGCATAATAATCAGCACCTTGACGGCCCCAATAGAAAGGCCGGTACTGAGAGAGATCAACTCCACACTGTTCGTACATCATCAAGATTTTGAGCAAAGCTCTATCAGTTTTGCTAACAGATGCATTATATGCAGAAAGCAAAACAGGTGCATGGGAACTTTCCATAATTTTTGGGTTTCGTTCAAGAAGAATATAGAGAAACTGAATGAGGTCAAATTTACATGGATTGTGGCTCAACATAAGTCTAATATATTCAGAATGCTGAATGATCATGCTATGAACCATGGGTACATGTTCATGGCCTTCTTGAGGAGAGTACATCTTCTGAAAAACAGTAGATAAAGTTTGGAGCAGCACACAGGCCAAATCTGACTGTTCTTCATCCTTTGCAACAAGTGCAAACTTCAGGACTATTCTCAGTGTCTCTTGCCAAACCTTGCTCTCTACAACAGATTTAAAATCTTCTTGAGTTTCTTCCTGCAGAAATTTTGATATAGCCTCACACAGAGGTTTAGCCAAGACAGCTTGTTCTGAAGCACTTCCATATTTCTTCAAAGCAACACCAAGCCAAGCAAGAAGTAATAGCAACAGTTGAGGCTGATGTATTTGCAAAACTTCTGTAATGAGCTGCAAATAGTAAAGTCTCTCTTTGGTCAAAGCCGGAGCTCTTTCTTTCAAAGCCAGGCACACTTTTTCTCGTTCAGCTTGTTTCATGTGACGTTTCATCAAGAGAACCACAACATCAGTATTCATGGGCAACCATACTGGGTGCCTATCCACTTTAACAGCATAGTCCTCAATTCTTCTTCTAAGGTGGGAATATACAATACCACAGACTGGCATTTTGATGCCTGAAAAAAGACAAGAAATCCATGGCAAACAGTCTAAATAACATAATACACACATAAAATATGAAAACAGATAAGACATACTTTCCAAATTGTCCTTCAAAACAGCTCTGAGAAGCGGCAAAATAACATGCATGTGGTCCTCTAAGCCTTTTGTCTTGTAGCTATTGACAGTAGCTGTTAATGAGGCTGTCAAATCTTTTACTGGCATGCAAGATGCCATCCACCTAAGAAGGTTATTAACTGCAGCATTGCATCGGAATGTGGTCAGAATACATGGGAACAGTTGCTGGAATGGAAAGAAAGCATATTAGTGGCTTATTTCTTTGAATGAAATGATTTGTCATGAAATTGCTAAAGTGCTTACGTCACTTAAATGACATGTCTGTTGAGGACACGATTTTATATAGAGCATGAAAGCTTCAAGTAGGGATGTCACATCAATGCTCTCATTTGGAAGAAAATACACAATCCAGTTTGATATTTGCAGCACTACAGAGGGTGGCAATATCATGACTTCACTGACATTAGGGCTGCCTTTAGTCCGAAGTTCAGATGCTCGAGTAAGTAGGTGCTCTGCTAATTGCACCCACTGAGAAAGTTTTTGATTTTCTTTAGTACCAACAATGAAAGTTGAGCATGAAAGGTCTGATATTAAGACCAGAGTATCAGATATATCTTGAAATGTGAGTTGGAAAGAATCCACCATGTTGGTGATGTTTTCCTTTGGGTCTTTCTCATGTGTTGTAAGTTTGAGTCCCTCTAAAAATTTCCTTTTGAAGGGCAAAATGTTGGGCCCAAGTTCAGAACATGTTGATGCTTTTTTTAACACTTTCATCATCAGATTTGTCAATAATGCAGAGGACTTAGTCCTGCCCTTGACAAGAGGGTTAAATTGTTGGTATAGGAATGGATGAAAGAGAATGACCTGTAGAAAGGTATCTTGTCAGTATTAAGTGAACTAAATTACTAAATTTAACTACATTAATACTTTGCATATAGTATTTTCTAACCTTGAAGCAGTCAATGAACAGTCCTGCATTTCTTTTCTTTCCAAACTGGTCAAAATGTGTAGCGGTGTCAAGTATGAATAGAAGTATTTCTTGAGATCTAAGTACGCAACCCTCAGTCAATTTCTCTAATTGAGTTAGTTGCATTAAATGAAAACAAATAAAATGAACTACTTGAATAACAGCATAGGAGCCTTTCAACCTTTCAGCCTCTGATAAATTTTCTGGAAAATAAAGATATTATGCTATTTAAAGATATGTGGACATCCTCCCAGGAAAGTGACAATAAACATATAAGACTCACCTTTAGGGTTGTCATGCATTGTAGGAAGAGCAAGACTAATAAACATTTTGTTGATGGTGTCTTGTAAAGAAGAATCATCGTTTTCACAGAACAAAAAGGTACTCAATTTAACTTCTGCACTATTCTCCCCAAGAACATTCAGCTCAACTGGTTGGGGACTGCCGCCAGGAAGCCATGATTGCAGGTAATTAGCCAATTTAGAAGGAATGACATTAGGATAGGTATGCAAAACCAGATGCAGAAATGCTCCAGAGTGTGGAAAACGACAAAGCAAGCGTAAAACTACCTTGCAACAGAAGTCTTGAACAACCTAGCAAAACATTGATAAATTGTAAAATGTTGGCTTAGTTTCAAAATCACTGTCTAAAAATGTTCTCGATTTGAAAATAATCACCTGTTTTTGATGCCGTTTCAATTTCTTTCCATTTATGTTCTCCCTAAGAACTTCTAGGAAGGCAGGAAGCCATGGGCTGAGCTTTGCAGAGTGGGCCATGTCATCGCAAGGCAATGCATCTTTGTTTTCTGAAAGATCTGGAAAATCCATTGCAGTGTCAGAGTAGTAAACAGAGAATTGGAAAAATTGCAGTTCATATTCATATTGATCAACTTTAATGATAATTTACCATCAAACAGCTCCTGCAGTGTTCTTCCGTCTGAGAGTGCTAATGTAGATGGACAATGCTTGTACATCATTTTTCCAGCTTCATCCTCAGCACAAGCAATTATGTCAAGATATTTGGGGCATGAAACACAGGCACGTATCATACTCTCAACAAGAATGTTAACTGCTTCTGAACATTCTTTCTTTCCGGATGCAGTTTCTTGAAAATTTGATAACCATATAATGGCCTCATGAGAAGAACCTTCCAAAGATCTAGACCTTTTGATCAATCTCTGGAGTACAAGAGAAGCCATGCTACCGACAATGGGGTTGGGGCTGATCAAATCTTGAAATACAATTGTAATAACATTTCTCAGCTCATTCTGGAATTAATAATATCAATTTAAATTCAATCAATCATTTGGGTGAATTTTTTTTCGCTTTAAGCTGGATTAAATCAAGTATTACCCACATTTTCCACAACAAAGTTTACATCTTGGATAGAGAGAAGCAGTTGAAAGAAGCGATTGCGAAGCAACGCAATATCTTCTGAGGAGTGATCCTGCAGTACAACATTAGTCAAAGATGTCTTGAAATCAGACTGGGCAGAATGTAATGGATTCAAAATTTTTGGACAAAGTCTCTGATACATTTCCAAGACTTCCAAAAGGAGAGACAACACATCTACTGGTCTAGTAGTTGCTTCACCATCAATTTCCATACTATCAGATTCAGACAGTTTACTGCTCCACACCTGCCATGCCTTCTGAAGGGAATCAAGACTGGGAACATTCTGAAAACAATTAAAGATAAATAATTCATATTAATAATAAAAGGGAAAAAAGAGAGTAGATTTGTCTAAATGAGGTTGGTATGCTCACCTCAAGTATACATTTTGTGAAAAGGTTGAGGAAAGCTGCTGATTGAGCATAGTGTAAAATTTTTTCAGAGCTCCACTTGCGAACAACATCACAAAAGGCAGTAGCCTTTCGGAGCATGGACAACAAGAGTTGTAATGATGATTTAGCAACATCGATGTTTTCCTTGCAAGATACCTCTGCTTCACGGGCATTCAAAGCACGCACAACAGGAATAGGAATGCACATGTTAATGGCAGCAGTAGATAACTTCATTGCTGACATTGGGAGTTGACGCAACAAAACCTCCTCTGGGTGCTGGTCCTCAAGGACCTGTGTGAAAAACAAGAAATATGATAGGTGTTTATAAGAAACAGCTTAAGGTAGCAGAGGAGAAAACTGTAGAATCATGAATAAAGTAACGTTTTTTTAGTCAGTAAATTTTTTTAAAATAATAATTTGTGGAGAAGGAAGGGGGAAGAAAAGAGTACAAACCTGACAGAGAAATTTAGCACATAGGAACCATTGAGGTGATGATCTTGGTTGAATGAACGGACGAATAGAATTCATAGTATCATCCAATGAGTCTGGACAAGCTGCTAAAGTCTTGGATATAAGATCCGCAACTTTAGGATTTCCCCACGGATGACCAACTCTCTGCCAAAATGAAAATAGAAATGCTTTGTAAAAATTAAAACTTATGGTAGAAAAAAAATTCAATTTTAGAGGGTAAATCTTAACTTTGCACAGTTACAGACGACCTCACAGATAATAACAACAGGTTTTACCTTTAAAACATTGGATACCAATCGATTATTGCGGTCAGTTTGCTGTGTGCCTCCAAAGATTATTCCATAACGGTGGGAAGTCAAAAGCACAAGCAAAAGTTCATGAACTGCAGAGGAGACAAGGCCAGCTTCTTCACTGTCAATCTACAAAGAAAGTTATTAAACCTCAGAAAATTATTTATTAGGAGAAAAACACATTCCAGTAAAAATCCAACACACGCAGAAACCCCCACCCCCTGGGGGAAAATCAAAGCATAGAACTGTACTCACTTCATTCTCCATCTTAGGCTTTTCTTTAATATTTTTCATTGCCCAGGGGGCAAGTGATTTTGTCTTGGGTCTGTTTTGAGGTCCTTTCCACTTGTACAGATGCAGCAATGAAATTATTGTGTTCGGGTTGAAAATGTTAACTTTTGATGTTTTAAAAACAGATGATTTCTCAACAATAGCCTTCTTAATTGTCATGAGGTACATCACTACAATGTTAGATGGGTCATATAACAAGCCTTCCATGACACAGGTAAGTATCCCTGCAGATAAGAAACATACAAAAATACTGCAACCTGATGCCTCAAAAGGTAATAGAAGTTACTGTGGTGCAACTTACAAGGCATTTGTGAGACAGCCAACAGCAAGCTACTGTCAGCATCAATTAGAAGAGCAACAAGTAATTTGAGATAAGCAACTCGAGACCTCAGTGGAGCTCGTAAAGATGTTAAATTTACAACAACTTCTTCGTCCAGAGTTACTTTCTGTAATATTTCTTTGGCAAATTTTGTATCTAGTGCCACCATAGCTAAAAAAAACATTCTTTGTTAATACCAGAAATACTTCTTCAAGTACAGCAAAAAAAAACAAACTATTTTTCATAACATAAGGAAAAATTTCTACCTGTGAGAAGATCCAAACAGAAATGCGGCTCACGTTGGCGTTTTAAAATATTATTAATTACTTGTAAATAAGAATCCAGCAGTTCTCGACAGGCTTCAACTGCTTCAGGCACTTTGTCACGATGGCTGGCAGATATTCTACATAAAAAATAAGAGATTGTTATCAAAAGCTGGATTTGAAAGCCTACCGAAAAGGTCAAAAATACAAACCTGACAAGAACTTTGAAGAGGGTACGGAAAATGTATTGAATTTGAGAAACCTTTTCAAAAAATTCAGGCGAAGGCAAAGTGCCAATGATGTCTTTGACAGAACCTCCAGAGGTAAGAAAACAATCAATGTGCTCAGCACACTCATTTGTAACCAAATCTATATTAAATAAACCAAAGAGTTAGCAAAAGTTGAAAGATATGAGGAATTGGTTTTTTACATGGAGCTGGAAAGATGCCATGTGTCACATATTATCCCTCATCTTACCCTCTGTTTCATTTTTCTCCTTCTCAAAACCCTTTTCTTCATCCTTCTCTTCATCTTTTTCAGTAGGAGTCAAGTTGTCAACTTCATCACTTTTCTCTTCACTGTCATTCTTCTCTGTCGATTGCAGTTTGTTGTATTCTCTTTGAGCTTGCCTTTCAGGTTTCAGTCTGTTCAACGTCCGGTCCATAAGAGATTTCTCCCATTCACTTGAAATCATGTACAGCCATTCACGTACAGCTTTAACAAAATATTGAGCAATTATTGGTCTCCTTAGGAATTATTTTTAAAAATTGTGCCTGATTCCTACCTTCAGGTCCATCGGACCCTTTCAGAGCGGCAATGAATTCTTCAGTGGAAAGCCCCTTGTGTTTCTTCTTTGGAGGTTCTGATATAGAAGAGATGGCAGTCTCCTTTGACACTGATACATCTGGTACATCTTCAGATGCTTTCCGTTTAAGTTTCTTTACCCCCATGATGAAGATTATCAAAATTCAACCTGAAATAAGATGAATGTAGTGATGACAAAAATAAATGAGAAGATGAACGGAATAACAAGCCAAAATAAGTGTCCAGGAAAGAACAAATACACTATACGGTGGTGATGGTTGTCCTGTTAACTCAATAACACAAATACCATTAAATACTGCCATCACTAACCTCTCAGACCACGCGCTGAACCCGCTGAACGTGTGTTGTGGGGGTGGCGTTCCGGCCGCTGCTGGCCTGGGGGGGGGGGGGGAGGAGGAGAGGAGAGGTCGAGAAGTCGACGGCTTTCGAGCTCTCGAGTCTCGAGCGACTGTCTCGATAGGGCCCGTGCACCGCTGGAGGAAGAACAAAAACTCCTGGTGGGCATTTCCGCGCGAGCCTTCAAAGCTGGGACCCAGCTGGGGTGCCTGTTTGTTGTATTTTATTATTTTTACCGGTTTTAAACAAGTGGCTAAGGATCGCGGCAGGTTGCGGTGTCGGTTCACGATAATTGGAGAAGGAAACTAGTCGATTACGCCGAACCTTAAGCAAAATAAGTGAACTTGTCAAGATAGTGCAGGTTAGGTTGACTAAGATGTCTGCTAGGTCGACGCCATGTTAACTCCGCGCACCCGTCGCTGCTGGTGGGCAAACGAAACAGCCTTTTTCTGCTTTTCCCGATACGAGTATGCCACAAAAGCTCTCAACGCGAGTCGGAAATTTTTATTTAATTTAATTTCGACAATGTAAAAGGTTGGATGAATTCCAGTCACTTCTCAAAACGCGAAAACGCGAGAACCAAATTTGAACTTCGCGCTGCTTTTCCCACCAGCACGGAAGGGAACGTTATGCGTCGTTTAACAGCACCGTTTCGAGATCCTCGACCTGCACGGGCCCTATGTGTTCGATCCTGGTGTGGTGCCGGACCGGGGACAAGACGCAAAACAGGCAGGTAACTCTAGGTAAATTTTGATCGTACGGCGTATTTGGCAGTCGCCAACTTCTGACCTAACGCTCTGTCTGTCTTTATAGTGCGTTCGGCAGCTTCAAAGCTGAGTTCTTACTTCTCCTCGCTCGACCACAATTTTACGTGTTCGACATGTTGTCTCTCCGACGTGCCGCATCTTCTGTTGTGAGGTAATTCTTGTCAAGGGGTCTTGAAGGTTTAGTTGAACCAGTATGATTTCGACTTAAGATCATGTGGGTTTTCACTTTTCACTGATTTTACTTCTTGTTAACTCTTATATAATCAAGTTCACGAAGGTCAAGTTTTGAGGTGGTTAGTTTATAAGGGTTATGGTTTGCTCCAACGTAGGTAGAAATTTTATCTTCCAAACGCAAGATCTTGGCAAGTTAGAATGTGGGCAAGAGCTGTCGGCTCCTTGTGTTCTTTGTTAAATGACTATGATTTGCGATCCTCATGTGACATGATCTAAGACTGAGTGACTGATACATATAAAACTCCCGAAGATAAGCCTTGTTGTTGCTCCATCGTATTCACCTTTGACCCTGTTTCCAGGCGTAATACCCTCGCTTTGTCCGGAGCAGCACAACAATGTGCTTTCAAGAGCACACTTCCTGAACTTCCTTATGAATACAGTGCCTTGGAGCCGGTTGTTTCTCGGGACATTATGACTTTGCACCATCAGAAACATCATGCTGCTTATGTTACCAATTACAACGCCACACTGGAGAAGTTGCAAGCTGCTGTCAGCAGAAGTGAGTTTTGAGTTTAGTCCAACTGTTTGTCAACTTTAGTTTATTTCTTTACTTTTAATATTTTGATTGCGTCTTTCAGATGATATTTCAGCCCAGATTGAACTTCAGCCAGCTTTGAAATTCAATGGAGGTGGTCATATTAACCATTCCATATTTTGGCAGAACCTTACTCCTGACACTACTAAGCCAGAAGGTCAGTACACCTTCTAAGATTAAGCCATTTATTATTTGAAATCAAGCATTTAATTTTGGTTCTTTTAACAGCTGGTCTGGAAGATGCCATCAATCTTCGATTTGGTAGCTTTGAGAAATTTAAGAATGAAATGTCAACCAAGGCAGTTGGTGTTCAAGGGTCTGGGTGGGCTTGGCTGGGCTATGACAAAACTAGCAAGAGCCTTCAGATTGCTACTTGTGCTAACCAAGATCCTCTGCAAGGAACAACTGGTATGTAAAACCCAAGATAATTCCAGAATTTTAGCATAACTTTGCAAGGCTTACAATTTATGTTTGAGTACTGTAGTAACAATGACATTGTCTGTCATTCAGAGACCAATTTGATTGTCTTTTGTTTTATTTCTTATTTCTTAAACTCAACTGTTTTCTTTTCAAGTGAAATTGAGTTTACAGAGACATTTGTCTGCACTCCCAATGATGAACTGACTATTTCATCCTTGCTCGCATATTGGTTTTAATAGACCAAGATGACGTAAAATGTGGCCGACTTTGTCAAGCCTGAGGCAGATAGAGTCCTGAGGGAGTGAAATTTGTTTTAGTTTTTTGTATATTTGCAGCTGTTTGTTTATCCCAATGATGAACTGACTAGTTCATCCTTGCTCGCAAATTGGTCTTGACAACCAAGATGACATAAATTGTGGCAGACTTTATCAAGCCTGAGGCAGATAAGGTTCTGAGGGAGCCAACTTTTTTTAATTCACATACGGTATTCACAGCTGTTTGTTATTCCCACTGATGAACTGACTTTTTCATCCTTGCTCGCATATTGGTTTTATGGACCAAGATGACGTAAAATGAGGCCGACTTTGTCAAGCCTGAGGCAGATGAAGTCCTGAGGGAGTTCCATCCTGAGGCAATTTGGAGTACTTACAGGGGCACTTGCAGGTTGCGGTCAGGGGCGGGAACGATGCCATTGCTTCGAATCAATTCAGTTTCGTGTTTTAATAAGTGTTTTCTATTCTGTTTATCATGCAGGTCTGATACCCTTGCTTGGAATTGATGTTTGGGAGCATGCCTACTATCTTCAGTACAAAAATGTGCGTGCTGATTATGTGAAGGCTATTTTTGATGTTGTTAATTGGAAGGATGTCTCAAAACGTTTTGCTGATGCCAAAGCCTAGTCACTCTGTTCATAATTTTGTGCTAAGTAATAACTTTTGTTCAGGTATCATATTATTCTTTTTACTTAGTTAATTAATTTTCCACTCTGTGTGATGTTTAGATGTGCAATGTAATGTATACCCACTTTGTTATTGTTTTGTTGTCTCAATGTTTTTGTAAAGAATTTTAATTGGATTCATCTTGATATAGAATGTGATACTCAATAAATAATGATCGAAAAATTTTAGAATCTAATTAGTCTTTTCATGCCTATCTTTAGACCTTTCTCATTCTTATCACCAGACAGACAGCGCGTGGCGAGCTGGTGAGTGATTTTGTGGCTTCCCTGCCTTTGCCTTCGCCCACGTTGTCTGTAACCTGGGAACAGCCGAAGGCATATAGTTCTCCTGCCGGGAACCACAGGTAGGCTTCCTTTCAAAAATGACATGAGAAGGAACAACAAACGAAGGTTATTGGTGCTACCAACAACAAGAAACAAAACAACGCAATTACATTTAGTTTCCTTCTTAATTTACGTTCTATAAGTCAATTATTACAGTCAAAGCTAAATGTTTATGTCCGTAAAAATGAGATCGTCTTCGTGAACTACTGCGTACATGCGTTGCGTAAGTACAAGTTGGTACTGCGCGTACTGCAGTGAGAGGTGGGGGTGGGGGGGCAAACTCAAAGGGGCTGTGAAATATTCAACTGCAGAAGGTTTCCTGTTCAAACTAGTAAGAGGTTAATTGTTTATGTAATTTTGTCCATGGCAATCTTCAGAAACACCCAGAATGGTTACCGGGCCTAAAGAGTATTTCTGGAATTAACTTATGGCAATTTGTCTTGGATGTCATTCAATGTACCACACACAAGACTGAAACTTAACCTGGGCTTGTCGATTCCATCGTCTGCATTTTTAAATGCACGAACATGTTGATTTGATGATAGCTTTGAATGAGATCCAATGAACTGACTTTTGTATTTGGAAATCCCAACTCCATTAATAGGGTTTTAGTGCTTCGCCAAAGGTTTGTGTAACCAAGGAAGTGTTTGATGGTGTTATTGATTCTATGTTTATACTATACTAAAATCTTAATTGGCTTGAATGAACATCAGGATACTCTCTTCCTTTTGACAGGTGGTATGTGGAATTGAAATGGCTGACCAACGGGCAGAATCTAGTCATTCATGTGAAATATGTGGTGTGGATGGTTTGTCAGATGACAGCCTACGCTCACACATGGCCAACAACCATCTGGAGGGTGCCGCTACTTGCCCATTTTGTGACCTAGGAGACATAACTCCAAAAGAAATGTTAATCCATGTCAATAGTGCTCACTTAGATTATCTGACACCTGAAAACGAGTGTATATCTTTCATAGATGAAGATGAGGACCATGACTCTTCCGTAAGTCAATCGCTTTATGATTATAAAACACAATTTTATTTGTTTTGAGTGTGTTTCAACTTTGCCATTAATTATTTTACTAAGGAATATGGGAAGGATTTCACAAGCAACCACTCTAAGCCCATCCACCAGAATTCAATTGTTGAACCCAGTCCCAGCTCCAGTGTTCTTACAGGTTGGTAAATTGAAGTGTTTTTGCGAGAGTGGTCTTTTTACCAAACTTTGTTCATGATTTTATATTTTTACACAGGTCACTTTTCTGGGTTGTCTGGAGGAAGAGGAGAGCATGGCCCCGGTTCACCACTGCGCAAGAAACTAGCCCTACAGCTGACGTCGGAGGCTCCATGTGTCCAGCTTCTGCAATGCCCTCTTTGTCCTTTCACTAATGCATCTTCTTCTCAACTTGAAGAACATGTCAACAGGGCTCATTTAGACCCACTTAGTCCAAGCACTGGAGGTCACAATGAGGCTGTGGAGGAAAAAAAATTAGACTGCCCACTCTGTATTGCAAAGTTTCAGTCTTCTACTGAACTTGAGAGACATGTGAATTCAGCTCACCTAGACATACTTAGCCCACAAAAGGTGTGTTCCCTTTTATGTTTCTTATTTATTATTATTATTTCAACCACCATGACATACAATTGAACATCTTTACAGCCTGTGTCTAGAAATGAAGCTTGTGGAAGTGAACGCAGGAATGGAAGCTCTGGGGATGGTTGTCCTTTGTGTAAAATGTCTAACTTTGCATGCGACCGTGATTTAGCTCTTCATTTGGAAGAGCACTACAGAAGAAGTGGTATGACTTCTTTCAGCTACATTTCATTGCTTGAATCTTTGCTTAGAACATTTTTGTAATTGTTCTCCTTATTTTTCCCCTTTTTTTGTGTGTTTATTTCAGATACAACACCAGATTTGTCATCAGATCAGTTGCTAGCTCGTGCAGTTGAACAACAGGAGAAGGATAACCGACGTCTTCAAGAACAGAAAGAATTTGATATGCTCCGGGTATGCAAATGACATTTGAAATGAAGTTTGGCTCTTTTTAACACAGTTTTAACGCTTGGGGTAAAAATAATTTTCGATTTATTCCTTGTACATCAGGCACAATATGGAATGGACAACCAAGGAAACTTTAGACAACAAAGTTTGACAAATATGCAAAGAGCTGTGTGCTCTGGAGAGCTGACAATAACTGACTACTATGAAAGACAAATGGAGCTGAGAATGGCTGAAAATTATGGAATTGATGATCAATCATCTTGCACCAAAGGTAATTTTTTGACTTTTGGCGTGAATTTTTTTAGCTGGTTTTGTCTTTATTCAATGTAATAAGCCTTTAAAGTTAAAAAAAATATATTAGAAATTACCTAACAAACCTTTATTGCAGACATCATTCAGAAAATTCACACTTTGAGTTCAATGTCAAAAAATGTTGTCCGCACCTATGTCTGCAGCAGAATTGATCATTATGCTTCAACTTATGGTGATAAAGGATGGGGTTGTGGGTACAGGTAGGGTGATATTACAGCTGCATGCTCATAAAAATCAATTTTTCTTTTCCTTAACTTGGATTTTTATTATCATTTGACTAGGAACATGCAGATGATGTTGTCGTCCCTGATGCATCATACAAAATACAGTGATCTCATGTACCAAGAAGGAAGTGGTCTTCTGGGTATTAATCAACGAATGGCTGTACCCTCTATCTCTCGGCTACAGAAGCATATTGAATGGGCCTGGGGCAATGGCTTTGATCCTCAGGGATGTGATCAGCTTGGTCGTAAACTGTACAACACAAGGAAGTGGATAGGGGCAACAGAAATGACGACTCTTTTGTCTTCCATGCGCATCAGGTAGGTATTATGGCCCTATTTGCACCTCTTGCCTCTCTGTCCCCTCTGAGGAGGAAATTAAACAGAATACCTATATGTCTTTCTATTAATTAATTATAGATGTGAACTAGTTGACTTTCACCGTCCCACTGCTCCTGATGGAAGTCATCCACAGCTTTTCAATTGGATATTGCAATATTTCCAGAAAGCAGATGAATTTAAGCCTCCTCTCTACCTTCAACATCAAGGTATATACAGTTTTACAGTTACAGTTTTTCTCTAGACTGGCTTGTGTTCTAGGAGACCTTCATTTTTTCTTTCCCTTTTCTAATTTTTCTCTCCTTCCAGGTCATAGCAGAACTATTGTGGGAATAGAAGTTCTTCAACATAGCTTGAACCTTCTGGTTTTAGACCCCAGCCATGCTCCCCGACAAATGGCTCAATTTTGTGACACATCTGGTGGGGCAAACTCAATGCGCATCATCCGAAAGGGATCTGGCACTATGAGAGCAAGACAATATCAGCTTGTGAGTGTAACAGGGGTTATACAGTCAGAACGAGAATTAGAGGTAAATTGTCATGGAATAACAATTTTGATGATGAATTTATTCTTTGAAATGACTGAATGAACTGAATTCTGGTTTCTATCTACAGAACAGCAAGGTTTTATCTTCTACCAGGATTCCCTGATTTCATGATTTGACTATAAACACTTGATCTGAGATGAAGTCATCAGGTCTGAATGTATATAAAATGTTTCATTTAATTTTTTTGTCTAATTAATAAAATGTTTAAAATGCACTGCAAAATTTTATAGCATTAGTCAGTATAATAATTTAAAAAAGCCTTTCACTGAAGATTATTCGTTTTACTTCAAATGAGCTGTTGATAAAAAATTTTGTTTTCCTTTGGAAGTACTGCTGCTAGAGCCCAGTGTCACCTGGCCGTCATCTCATTAAGCCTGTGATATGTATGCTTAAGTTATTTTTTCTTTAAATGCTTTTTTCTTTCTATTTATCTGTCACTATATTTTTAAAGTTAAATTTTGCTGCCATATTGCTATGTTATTGAGATTTTTTAGAGAAGTATGAATATGACTTAACTTCTAATGCACTTTCAAACTTTTGTCACCCGTGTAATTCTTTGTAGGTTGGCCAAGCCCTTCCGTATCAAAGTCTGGCATTTGCAGGGTCTTGAGAAGGTAATCTCAGCGCAGTGTTCACTGCCTTTTTTTCTAAGCATACTTTACCCTGTACACTGTTTGATTGCTTTTCTTTTCTTTAAATAGACGAATAAAAATTTCATGATAAAGAAAAATAATGGGTCTTGTCCCTTGAAAATGAAAAATACACCTCTGCCAGATGTAATAGAGATAATTTACTACATTCTATATGAACTTAACGAACCCTGTTCGAGTGTCACTCACGGTTAAGAAAAAGCTTAGGCCTGAACGCCTGAACAGAACACGCGCTTTTGCTTTCCCCGGCGTGGCACGGTGACACTAAGGTCTAATACAGGTGACACAGCCGCTGTCTCTCTCGCACTCAAGGGGCATCCCGTACAGGTGCGAGAGAGACAGATCGACGAAAACGACTCTCGGAATCAGTCCACGCTGACACACACTTGGCACGATTTAACCCGGCCTGACAGCCGACAGCGCCGCCAGCTCGCCGGCCCGGCCTCCTCTCCCGTCTCCGGCTGCTGGGGCGGGGGGCGGGGCCAGCCGACGAGAGGCAGCGGTCGGCGGGGGCGGGGTGGGCGGGGGAGCCGGCACGGAAAGTCGGAACCGCGCCGGCGGGACTGCGGGACGAGACCCGGCATGCCTGCGGGACGGGCGGCTGGGCGGGCGGCCTGCTTGCTGCTGCTGCTGGCACGCTCTCCCTTTCCCGGCCGCGTGGCTGTGCAGTCCGCCCACCTTGGCCGTACCGTGCTGCTCACGCTGCCCCAGTCCGCGCTCGCAAATCCGCGGACATGGGCAGCTGCTGCCAGCCAGGACCCAGACATGTCGGCCAAACATTCGTGCGAATGACGGCACAGCAGCAAATACTGTGGCAAGACCTTGTTGCACGCACACTGCTTTACTGCACACGCCAACGATCCCAAAGGGACCTCTGCACGGAGCCTGGAGGCCGGGAGGCTCCAGCCTGGAGCTTTTTGGACAAATACAATGGCCCGGCCGGTCGCCTCGTTTACCTGGCCCATCCCACAGGGCCGAGGCAAGGCCGGGATCCTAGGCCGGGGGCCGGACAGGCCTAGCTAGAGGCCTGGCCACTGGACCAGCTTCACCTGCAAGCTGCAGTACTACAGTGCACCGCACTCAGCGCGCCCCCACCCCTCCCCTACCCACCTCACCTGCGGAACCTGCGGCCTGCACGGCATGGGCTGGATGGTGCGGGCTGTGAGCTCGATACGTGAATGTCGCATCGGTGCGTGCCTGCGTGCATCATGCACATGCATGAGGTTAAGCCGGTGCTTTGACTGGTGGTTTAGCAAGGATAGAAAAGGGGGAGGGTGGAGCTGGAGCGCAAGAAATAGACGCTTTGCTCGCCGTCCAGAGTAGAACAAAAGTAATCAAAAAGCCAGGAACCAGTGGGCACGTTCGAAAACGACTTTCCTATACTGTACTCTGACCACAAAGCGAAGACCCCTGAGTTGTAGCACAGAGCGAGTTTCTGGAAGTACCGCACTCTAAATACTCGACCGACATGCATGCTGTGAAGAGGGGCAGAGGCCGGCAATGTCCTGCTGCGGGGCGATGTCCTTGCGAAGGCCACACAGCCAGACGCGGATTGGGGAGGGGGCAAACGCTGCATACCCCTATGCCCACGTCAACCCTAGTCCGCTTGCACACAGCCCAATGCAGGATACTATGGCGGAAAGACAGGGGGGGGCAATTTTTAGAGCGGTATCGATACATACCTCATCATTCCCCACTAGGGTAACCTGGCACGTTCGGGTCAGGTCAGCCCTGATGGCCACTTCCTTACTTCCAGTATGTAGAGTAGTACATCTTATAGGGAAAAGGAGAGGGGGCCCACCCTCACCCGCTCCCTCTCTCCACTCGCATCGTACGTACGCGTACGTACGCGTAAAACCTCTCCTCTCCTCGAGTGTGGAGAGCAGGACGTTTCCGAGACACGTGGACCCACGTGGGGCTGTGACCTGCTTTGTCAAGCAGGGATGTGGAGCAAATCCTTTGTCACGCAGTTCACGGCCGCCGAGGTCACTTCCGAGGTCGCAAACGCACAGAACCTCCCTGCAAGCCAGTGGCGAGGCAGTGCATTGATTTACAGGGCCGGCCTGCCGGCCTACCAACAAGCCGAGTGACACTTTTAGAGCCGGGACTGACAGCCTCGTTTGCAGTGTACAGAGACCTGGTCTCTTTGGCAAGACGAATGAAGAAAAGAAGTCCACCTACAATCACCCTCACACTGAGCAAGTGGCAAGGAGGAGAAGGAGGAGAAGAAGGAACCGACAGGACAGGGCGGGCTCTTTGCAAGTCCGAACAAGCAAGCCCTACCCGGCCTGCTTTGTCTGAGGCCCGGAGAGGGGCGGGGCGGGGCGCGGGCGGCGGGGCACAGGAAGAGCCGGCGGGGCGGAGGGGCTGAGAAGGGGGCGGCACCGGCGGCACAGAAGGGGCGGGGGGCGGTGGGCTTCTCCGAGCACCGCGCAGCACCGCCGGGACGTCGTCGTGGTCGTGGAGGGTTCGCTTCTCAGGTCGAGAGCACCGGCGGCGGCGGCGAGGGGCGTCCGGTTGAGTGCGGCGCCGCTAGATGGCAGCACGAGTCCGCTCCAGCTGCTGCGCGCACGATGTGGCGGCTGAGCAGCACAGCGCCTGCCGCTGCTGCTGCAGCATCCCAATCCCACACCCAGCACACGAAACTGCTGCCACAACCGCCGCCACTCCACCAACAACAAGCATCCCTCCCCCCTCCCTTCTGTTCCTGCTCCGACGCGCGGGCAGCGGTGCTCCCCTCCCCGCCGTCGGCCACCGCACCCGCACCGCGCACAACGCCGCGCCGCGCCCGCGCCCGCGCCGCGCGCTAGTGGAGTGCTAGCGGAGCTCGGAGCAGCATCGTCGTGTGTGTCGCAGCTCTGTTGTGCCGCTCGACCAGCCCGTCCGCCCCTCGTGGCAGTTTAGCCGCGCACCGCCGCGACGCGCCGACTGCGTCAACTAGTGCGTCAAGCCGCACTAAGCACAGGACTCGCGGCTACCCCTGCCGGGGTCACACCTTGACCGTGGATACTCTCACCGCTGACGCAATGGACCAGGACAGCGAGATCAACCTGGCCGCGCAGTGCCTGCTGGCCATGTCGCACGGCAGCGCGTGGACCAAGAGGACCACCGCGCCCCTCGACCTGTCCAACCCGCACCCCAACGCCCAGCCCCAGATGCACCAGTACCACCAGCACCACCACCAGCAGCAGCAGCAGCAGCAACAGCAGCAACAACAGCAGTCAACGCCGCAGCAGCAGGGGGAGGCGGGGGCGCGTGGGGACACGCTCTACATGGTGGCGCGCATCCTGACGGACCTCACGCGGATCAAGCAGGATCCCGTGGACTTGGACAGCGACCGCAGCGAGCCGGACGACTGCGACGCCCTGGTGATCGACGAGCGCATGGACGACTACGACGAGGACGGCCAGCAGCACGCGGAGTCCGAGGGGCTCAAGACGCATAAGTGCGCGCAGCCCGGATGCGGCAAGGAGTACGGCAAGAGCTCACACCTCAAGGCGCACCTGCGGACCCACACAGGTGAGGTTTCCTTGTTCTTGTCCGTCTTGTCGCGGTTCAACCTGATGCAGGCCGTGCAGGCCGAGGTGGCAACCACGAGGCGCGCCACCGCGGCGTGGTGGGCTGCGTCGTCGCCCGGCCCGGCCCAGGGGGGCGTAGGGAGGGGAGCCTCCCCCACCTCTTCCTCCTTGGGGTTGGCCGGGTTGGCGACGGCGAGCCGAGCACGGAGTTGAGGTGGAGGTGCCCGGTGCTGGGCTGGCACCGTGGCCTGGCGGCCTGCCTTGCGCTGGAGGTTCTGGAGGTGCCTCGCGTCGTGCCATGCCATGCCGCCGACCCAAGCCGGGCCTCCCTCGGCCAGGTGCGTCGAAACGTGCTGCGTGCCGCTGCGTGCTGCTCCACTCCACCAGCGCTAGTACTCCCTGCCCCTCGTGGCTGGGACTGCACTGTGTTGCATTCGATGTGTGTCGACGTCCCTCCCTTTGGCGCGACGTGTTCGCAGTGTAGGGCAGGTCAGATAAGGGAGTGGGACTGTAGGCAGAGCAGAGCGAGTCCCTCGGGTTTGTTCGTGGAAGCGTGGTTGTCGCTGTCGCAGCCCCGCGGCCGCACGCTGCACGCGGCCCTCGACTAACGGTTGCGCTGGAGCGGAGAGTGGTTGGGGGTGGGATGGGATGGGAGGTCACCGGGGCTGGCACTTCGATCACGCGGCACGCGGCCACAAGTGTAGGTAGGGTGGGGCTTGCCTGGCTTGCCTGCCTTTCGTCCGGTCTGCTAGTTCATCATCCACGGCGCCGCGCCGCGAAGCGTCGTGTCCCTCGGGAACGCCCCTCGCGCCACGCCCCGCCACGCCCCGCCACGCCCCGCCACGCCCCGAGACGGTACGCCTCGCTTGGCCCCGCTAGGGTACGCCCCAGCCCGGCTGCTGGGCAGCGCTGAGCGCGGGCTGCCCGTCTAACCGGGCAAACTTCTTTTGCGTTCGTGGAACCGTGAGAGGGTGACTCAGGCTGCGGTGCGGAGTGCGGACGGAGAGGACGGAGCGGGGGCTTGCTCTGGGTTCGAGCAGCGCGGCGTGGCGTGGCGCGGCGAGGCGAGGCGAGGGTACAACAGGTACGCTTGGCACCGCCCCGCCGAGCCTCGCCCTCGCCCCTCACCCCGGCGTCGGGGCCAGCAGCGGCGCTCCTAGTGTAGAAGGGCCTCTCCGTGGTCGGAGGGCCAGAGGGTGGGACAGATGCGCCCTGCTACGCTTGCTACGCCCATGCCTGCGTCGCGGCCGTCAGTACGGCTTCCAAGGGGAGTCTCGGCTCGCCAGTCTGACGAATCTCGGGCCTCGCCGCCTCGGCAGCATTTTTTGTGCGTCTCTCTCATCTGCTCGGCATCTCGGCCATGCTGGCTGTGTCTGGCTGCTCTGGCTGGTCGTGTTGTAATCTCCGTCGCAGGTGAAGGTCCTCTGGCAAGGCACGGGGGGTGGTGGGGTGGGGCCGAGCGCGGCTTGGGCGTGGCGACGCCGATTCTCGCTGGCATCGCCGCGTTTATGGCTTGCTTTGTCTAAAGTTGACAGTTTTTCTAACTCCCGTTTTTCAAGGACTGCGCTCGGCGTTCCTGGAGTGGCCGTGCCAGGGCCGTCGAGACGCAGGCAGGCCGCGTCGGCAGAGATTCCCCCCGCCCCTGCAGCCCCTGCCGCCCCTGCCACACGTGGGCGTGCTGGGGGAGTCCCTTGCCTTCCCCTCCCTCCCCCTTCCTCGTTAGCATGGAGGTGAGGGGGAGGGCCACAGCCACATGTGGACCCCAGCCCTTCACTGCGTGACTGGTGCATCGTACACCAAGCAGTGCGGGCCCGACTAGCGAGGCTGGCGACCCCCCGGCCTGGTCTGGTGTGGCCTGGCCAGCACTAGCGCCCCACAACTCTGTATATTTCCTCTCTCGGCAGGACAACACGGAGTCCCTTCTGGGGGCCGCGGCTCAGCCTGACATTGTGCTTGAACGTGCGGACGTCGGCGTTGGCTTAGTACGTAGGTCCGGCACACAGACACACACACACAGACACTGATGTTATGCAAGGGGAGGCTTTGTCGGCGCTCGCGGTCGCGGGCCGCAGCCACCCCTGGCCGTGCTCCAGCAGGTTGCTTCCGAACGGCGCTGTCTCTCTCGCACTCATTAGGGGGCTCGCAGAGGCGCAAGCGAGCACGACAACTGCTGGAGGGGATCTAGAGGCCGGATTACGCTACGCGACAAGTCCGCAGACCACGTGGACCTCGTCGACCACGCGGACGGGCGTGGCGGGAGTCACGGCACGGCACGGCCAGTCGCCCGCTCGCGCCGACTGGGACCGTTTTGTGGCAAAGTTGAGTGACACACGTGGTCGGTCCCCGCTTGGCCCCGCGCTGCTTGGCCGTGGGAGAGATGGCCTGGCCTCGCGATTGGTTGTTCTTGGCGGCGTGCCCAACGAGGGTCGCGCCGTCCAATGGACAGGTCACTAGACGCTGCGAGCGCGCGTGCGCGCGTGCAACACACACACACACACACACACACACACACACACACACACGCACGCACGCACGCACGCACGCTTACTCACGTCACGCACGCCACGCGCCGTCCGTGATTTGATGATGAGCAGGGCGTCTCGCGCGGCGGAGCACGCCGTACGCCGTGAACCGAGGGTGGCCGAGGCCCTTGCCTGCCGGGCTGACGGGCTGCCCTTGGCGAGGAGGCGCGTGGTTGGCTGCCGCTGGCGGCACGCCGGCCGGCCGGGTGCATCGGGGCCGAACCAAACGCAAAGACAGCGCGACTGGGAACTTGAATTTCTCTGGTGGGTGGGAATGCTAAAGAGTCCCGCCGCGGGCCGCGGGGTGCAATGCCCTTGCTCGGCCCACTCCGCCCGCTCCGCCTGCTCGCAGTGCAGTGCACCACCTTTGTCAAGTGTTGCGTCTGAAGCGCTGAAGATGAAGAGTGGCGAACTCGGCGTCCGGCGCAAGATCCTTGCGGTGGCGCGGTCGAGGTCTGGCGCATGCGTTGCCCCACGTGGGCGTGGCGACGCGGCGTCGTCGTCGCTCGCAGGGGCGTCCCTTGGATGTGCAAGAGAGGCAGTGGGCTCGATGTAGTACGCAGGACGCCCACGCGCGGCGTCTCGTGGCGGCGCCGTGTGGCGCCGTCCTACCGAGCGAGCAGCGTCTGTGGCCGCGCGTCTTGTGTGACGCCTTCCACTTAGCGAGACGCGCGGGCTGATAGGCGCCCCTATGGGACGGCGGCGACGGGACGGGACGGGACGGGACGGGACGCCCTACCCGCAGCTGCACGCCCTGCACGCGCTGCGCCGGGGCGGCCAGCATGGCGGCCAGCATGGCGGCCAGGGAGGCTGGCGGGGACCCGGATGACTCACTGTGGGGTCACTGCGTGTTGCTGACCTGCAGGCCGGTCCCTCTGCCCCCCCCTCTCTCTCTCTCTCTCTCTCTCTCTCTCTCTCTCTCTCTCTCTCTCTCTCTCTCTCTCTCTCTCTCTCTCTGTCGCACTCATGTGGCGCCTAGTGCGAGAGAGACAGAGCGACGAGAGCACACTGTTGGAATCGGCCTGCTATACGCGGAGTTTCCTCGGGCTTCCCGGGCGACGGCCGCTCTGTTCCCGGGACCGCCGAGTACGTACGTCTTCGCCGTAAGCTGGTGGGCTACGTCGTCCGGCCGAGCCAGCCCCAGCCCAGCCTGCCCCTGCGTACCCCAGGGCCACGGTGGAGGGAGGGCCCTGGGCCCACGGTGCCTGGGCCCACGGTGCCTGGGCCCCAGGTGGGGCTTGTTGCGGGAAGTGGCGCGTAGGAGCGGCGTGACGCACGTGGGGCTGTGTGGCGCTGTGCTGTACTCGGCTCGGCTTTCGCGCGTCGCGCATCAAAACCAGGTCAAATCTTCGAACCATCGTCGAACGCCCCCGTTGCCCGGACCCGCACTGTACAGTGTACCGCCTTTACCGTGTACAGTAGCGTTATCTGGATCCGCGACGCGACGCGCCGACGCGTCGCTCGGCAATTAGTCGTCTGGCCGTGACGTTTCTCGAGTATCGAACTTTAATCCAATTTTTGTGGACGTCCGCCTTATTTCGTACGTTCGAGCAGCCGGCCCTTTCCAATCGCGGCCAACGCCTTATCGGGGAAATTCGAGTCTGGTCTTCCGTAACCCCTCTCTCCTCCCTGCTGTCTCGACCACGCCCCCCCCCCCCCCCCCCCACCGCGCCACCGCGCCTCGAAGCACTGCGCAGCACAGGCTCTGGTTTCCGTCGCTGTGGTCCCAACCGTTGTGCTGATTTTGCCAGCAGGCCGTCGTCGCCGCGTCTCAAGTTGTGCGCGGACTGCGGCACTGCGGCGGACTGTCCCGACGGCATGGGAACGGATCCCCTCCCCCTCTGTTTCCCCGCCCGCCTAGTCTTTTTTTACTCGATCGGTTTTTGCTAGGAAAGGATTCTACCATTTCCCACCGACGATGCCGCCTGTGGCCAGTTTAGTCGCGGTTTAAACCCGCCCTCCCGTATGTACTATGTCGCGAGTCTCGAGGCGTTTGACGCGCAGTTATGCAACCGTTCTAGGCGGTCTAGGGAGCGGTGGTGGGGGGCATGGCGATGCACCTGGTGGGCCTGGCGGCCGCTGATACCGATGCGTCCTGTCCCGTTCTTGCCTAGTCAGACCACGCCGCTTAGGCTTATCGGGCCAATCTAGGAATCGTGGCTCACGGTAGTCGCGGCGTTCGGGCCAAAGTCTGGCTCTCCGAAAAATGGCGCGGCTAACGACGCGAATTTCTCCCTTCCTCCATTCCTATCCCCTCCGCGCTCCGCTCCCCTCAACCTGGCGGCGAACGGTCCCGGTCGTCCTCGTCGTCCTTGGTGCTCTGGGTCCATCCGCAGTTCGAAAATTGACACGCCGTCGCGTCGCCTGCCCTGCGGGCGGATCTGCCTGCCGCGCGACGCTCACGCTACGCGACGCGGCGAGTCAAGTCCACCCCAAGGCCACGCCTCCTCCACGTGCGCCGCCCGCCGCGGCGTGTCCC